AATTCGCTGCGCATTTCTTCTGACTAAATCTAGGGTCTCTCTTTCGAAACTTGTTGCTATATTTACGATGGAACTAATGGCCTGCGTGCTGTGAGCTAAGACTGAGAAACATGTGAAAGAATAGTTAAATATCTCCATTTCCCCATTCATTGTTTGGACGGACTCTTTAATAGTCCTTCAATGTATAAAAAATACGACTAAAAGAATTGAAAAGTTTGCAAGTAATAGGTTAGCAACTATACATAAATTATTAATAATATCAGTATGATAATTAGTAGTATTTGAATTGTAGTATAAACTAGTAATCCCAGGAATAACGCAATTTAATCAAGAAGTATCAGATGGGCCCGAACGAATGTATTGTATTTGGAATTCAAAATTACAACAGTTATCAATACTAAGAAGTCATTGATTTATTTAAACACTACAACCGCCACAGCTCGAATTGGAGTGTAGGTGTCTGTAATCGATTGTTCGTCTTCTTAAATTCATCTTACATCGGTCCGAAAGTGTATTGGATGTAGACTCTGTATTATTTAGAATGCACTCATTAGTATTAGAATTAACAACCAAAATTGGAACAGACTCACCTGGGTTCTGGAATTGTATACAATCAGCATGCCGGCTTTGTAGTGAAACCATTGATATTTAGAATTTGCATCATGGGTTTTCCAACAATATCCTCCCCCACGAAATAATGTTGGGTCCTTATGCCGCAATGTTTTAGCCAATATGACATTTCCAATTTGCAGTATCTTCTCAAATCTCACGCATCGACTACTGTATATGAGTATTTGGGAATAAACACTGATATATAATTCGAGGTATTCCATCATGTGACTTTGATTTGAATAAAAATCATGATACATATACTTTTTGTTATTCATATTAGAATATACAGATGGATATGCATTGATATATGTAATTAACACATGTGATTCAACTAGGCTTGATTTACCTGCGAAACAATCGAATAGAAAACATTCATCTGCTTCATATTCATTAGGATAATCTTGGATTTGATTTGGATTTTCTGTCTGTGCAAGCTTCACTTCTGGGCAAGCTGGTTCTCTGATTATTTCGGTAAATTTTGCTATCCCCTCTGATTCATCATACCCCTGACTAGGGATTCTATTCAACATACATTGTTCGTGAGAGTATCCAACATATGACACAATAACATCAGAAATATGACTAGAATTCAACTCATAAGAAACATATTTGTCACATTCATGAGGAATATCATTAGAGATAAATTCATTGTGAGGACCACTGACACTTGATATGATATCAGAATTTGATTTCTCTGAAATATTTTCCTCAAATGGATTAAGAGTTTCATTAAAGAATAATGAATCAGCAGGGAATTCAGCATCTACCAAGACTGAATCTGGTTTTTGATCATGATTTGACTCATTTAACATTCTATTCTCAGAGTTGTAAGAAATTACATCAGAAGTATGTGAATTATTACGACAAACCATATCTGGTACAATAACATGAGAAATCTGATAAGTTGGTTGGTTGAGAATTTTCGCCTCCCAATGACTCTGGGTTTCATTCAACTCTGGACTGTTATATAACGTTATACCTCTTCTAGATAAAGATAACTGATCATTAGAAGCATCCATCTTAGCATTACTTTCAGCGAAATGAACCATGGTATTACAAACTGACTGAATATGTCCAGTTATACCACATTTAAAGCATTTAGAATTACGAAATATACATGAATTACATGGGTGAAACTTGCCGCAGAACATGCATTTACTAAACTTGTGCTCATCATCATGGACTGTTTCACAACTCAATGAAGTATTATCTGAATAAATTTGATTACGCATCGAACTACGACGACTGTTTGAATAAGTGGAATTCCTGATGTTCTGACGAGTCATTTTATCGGATTTTCCTTTCTTACCGCATTCGGAATTTGTATACTTTACATGATCCAACAGCAGTTGCTTGAGAGTTGCATAGGGGAGTGAAATCGGTTTGTCTGGAAGTGCCAAAATCTTTATAAGGCTGTATGCTTCTTTCCCGATGAATGTAAGGAAATGGGCCACAATATTAAAATCCTCATCATCTTCCTTGGTCATAGCCCAGATTTCGAACCTTTCCATGTACTCCTCAAAAGCATTAAAATCTGAATTTATATTTAACCGTTCCATCACAGGCTCAATCGCGACGCCAATATGATAATTAGAAGTATTTGAATTGTAGTATAAACTAGTAATCCCAGGAATAACGCAATTTAATCAAGAAGTATCAGATGAGCCCGAACGAATGTATTGTATTTGGAATTCAAAATTACAACAGTCATCAATACTAAGAAGTCATTGATTTATTTAAACACCACAATCAGTCCCTTCTTGTACGTATACTGTCAGCTCTCAACTTTAAGCATACGTGTTACTGTCCAACTACTTACTTTCAAATCCTTACCCATTGTCCTAAAATTATTAGATTCCATAAATCTTCTAACCACTAATTTGTTAGTGCTACCATATTTTATTTGACAATTTACACTATAACCTATGCTACTATACAATACTATTTCGATACTCTACCAAAGGCCTACCAACCTCAACTGTCCGATATGCTTGTTCAAAGTGCTTGGAGAATTCGCGTATTCTAACAGGCTGTGGAACATAGGACTTGGAGGTTAGACATAACTATGATCTAACCAACAAGTTAAAATGGCCTAACACCAAAATATGAGAGAGGACAGAGTTACTAGGCAATTAACATTGATGGTGTGGGCGATTATCCCAATCCACCCAATGTTTGTAAGGCAGAACATTTTGGTTGTCCTCAACTCTTTACGGTTGATAATAAGGCAACCATTCAAAGATATTGAGGTTGTCATACCATGTTTGCTGCTTCTAAGACTCGTGTATCCTACCTTATGTTGGTTTCGCTATTATGCCAAGTTGTCCTTCCACATCCATTTTCAAACGCTTAAGCACAGACACGAGAGTTGGCATTCGATAACAATAGAAAAGAGCAATAAATGAATGACGGCCATAGTGATAAATCCACATAGAAATACAAACAGTTTACGTTAATATCAGTTTTTCAGAACCAATAAACATTTACCCTACTTTGTTCTTCAATTTCCCACTAAGGCCTGTTACTTTGTTACAGGTCTCCACACACTGCCTTCGTATAGTTTATCTGAAGTTACCGACGCTGGGTCTGATTGGAAAAACTTCGAGAAGTGGTCAAATTATGACATTTTGTCGTTGTATTAAAGAAAGTCGAGCAAGACGGACATCTGTTGGTTCTTCATGACTCTGTGGTTGGACTTCAAAGGATAATCCAACACAGTGGCTTGAGAAGTTATCAGATATAGGTCAGAATACTATTACTATTATGATTAGCTTTATTTAATATTATATTTTTGGTGCAATGTGGAATTCTTAGCCTTGTGGGGAGTAGTGTAACGTCGTGTACTATATTACACCTACATAGCTTATTCTAGTTTCTGGACAAGCCAATTCACCTATAACGTTATGAGTCATATTTTGATCATGTTAATTATTCCCTTATTGACCTTGTCTATTTTTTTATATGAGCGTATGTGTATGCACACTTCTTATCCTACCTATCACATGTCTGTCATTCATTTTAGTCTGACTATAAATGTTGATTAATGCTTGCTTATAACGAGTTGGCTTACCAGCCATCTCCCATGTATGTTATTTTTTCTTCGCTCGCTAACATTTACTCATGTGCTTACTGCCTTCTAGCCTATGTTATTTGTCAATAAAAATGTAGTTGCCACTTCCCTTTGTCTCCTGATATTATACACCGTTCAGATTGATATAATAACGGTTATCGAGACGATCGATTAACGAAGCACTACACTACAGCATAAAGTATTTCAGTGAGTTTCCATTTTCTCTTTCTTGATCGATATTGACAATGAATATTAAACGGTCGCCAGTTAGATGTTAGCATTTCAGAAATCGTCGTCTAAATAATGTTCATTCTTTTAAATCCATGTTGCCTGCAATCACTATGTCTCTGATTGTACATTTTGTAACTGAATAGGTATGCAATAAGTTGACATAATGATCTGTTAAAACAAACAAAGAAACATAACTTGTTGAAATATCTAGATAGCGGGAACAGGTAGCCCAGATGTTCAAGTAGGCCGCCAGTGATGATCTTGGTGTCACTTTTAATTTCTTTATAAAAATGACTGGAAATTCATCGAGACGATAATTTATGGATGATCTCGGAATGGTTCAGAGGTGATCTTGGGTGATGAGTACATATCAGAGCAGATAATCAGAGGTTAGGAATAAGAACCAAAGTTAATAAATAATGCCAAAATGCCATTTAGCTATATAGATGGATGATTTTCACTCCAAAATTCAAGAATCGCGGTCTTAAATTTGATTGGTTCGTCAACAAATTATGGTCACGCCATTATTTTTCACTTTCATACACCAATTTATTTTTGTTCTTTTTCACCACACTCGCCTTTATTTCTTTATATCTTCACTTTTATTGTATCGGATACATTTTAATGTTCCCTTGATCCAATTCTAATGTGTTTAAAGAAATAAATAAATAAAGTATGGAAAAATCACTTCATGTCTCGTAATTGTTTATATTCCATTTTAACACAAAATAATAAATGTATAACTAAAGTATTCGCTTCGCAATCAATGCTGTTCGGAGAATACAATCACACTTTTGATAATTCTTGAGAAATGACCCTAAAATTATGAGTATAGCGTTTGGCTGATATTTAATCCATGATATTTTTAAGATGATATATATACATACTTTTAAGTAGTACCACAATAGGCTATCACAGCCTCCCGTTTCATGCTTGAAAAATAAAGATCTTTAGCATTAGGTAGGCTTTTAAATAAACATGAAACTACTTAAAGGGGACTAGAAAACAAAGTTATTGACTGACTATGTAAACTACTGTCTAGAAATGTTTGTTATGTACACAAAAATTATGAGATCGTTTGATATACCACTATTACACCTATGTTGTATAAAACTTGATTGTTGAGCATACTTATTTAATCTCGAAACATAAAAAGCATAATGATTAAAGGTCAGTTTATTATATTTATATAAAAATATAATTGAGGCTTATATATTTTTAATCCGATAAATGGAACAGTATGCATTTTTTGCAGTCTAATTGAAAACGAATAACTTGTCACATTTTGTTTAATGGATATTGACCGTTTTATTTCAACAATTATTCTAATATTTTCTGTACGGTTCGACTTAATAAGCTGTGAACCTGGTAGACATAAATATGAATCGACTTGCACAGAAGATGATTCAGAATATTTATATTATGGGGGTGATGTTTTATTGGGTGGTTTGTTTCCAATCCATCAACGTCGAATTATTGATAAAGGGATATTACAGAAACCTCAATTAACGGCAAACGGATATAAGGTGAGAGTAATCATTCTATTAGTCAGGAAGATATCTCCATCATATTTTTTAAAACATTTTGTTTACTTGAAGTGACTGGATGGAAAGTTAAAAAAATCTGAAGAAACTTATTGATGTGATTATTGTTAACTAGATTGTCTAACATCTATCAATGATACGAATATGTACACCTGCTTACTTACTTACGCCTGTTACCCTTCGTGGAGGAGCACAGGCCGCTCACCAGAAATATGTACACGAATGTGTAAAACTTTATTATATATCGAAAGTGAATACATAATCCATGGAATCAATAGAAACATATTTGTATGCAATATTCTACGTGAAGTGATCTCGATTGAGGTATCATTGAAAGCCAGACAGGACCAAATGAGATTCCACAGTGGTGACCGCCCACAACCTCATAGCAATCGAACCCAAGACTTTCAGTTCTCGTAGCAAATAACCAACTTTTTAAAAAATTAGCTCATCATGTCTGGGGATATTATTTCTTGGACTTTTAAAGTATGATGTTTTACACTAATATGTAATCAACAAAGACTTCTATGGGACATAACTTAGATGTACACTACAAAATTCAATAATAATTCCTGTAACATTAGTAATAACTTAATATCATAGTGTAAATGATCAAAGTTTTGTGAAACTAGTCTCGTTTGTGTAAATTAAATGATAAATAAACTTTCATTTTGCCTTAAAAGCTTTTAGAAGCAATGCTTTATGCGATCGATAATATTAATTCACGTGAAAATTACTTAAACTTTTCACTGGGAGCCTTAATTTTTGATACATGTGAAAATCCAGATATTGCTTTTATGCAATCACTACATTTTATTGTTGTAAGTTTGTCTACCTTGCTTATATTCGTTACAATTTATTACTCTTTGTAAATTTTACATAAATAACTTGAATGTGAAGAACACGAAAACTTAAACATTCCACTGACTGTCAACTAAGGCATAAATCCAATAAAATGATGCATTGAATTACGAACTTATTTGAAGTTCTCAAATCTAACCTTGGTAATGATAGATATGACATAACGGATTGTTTAAAATATTTTTCTCTCTCTCAGATCTACTATAATAATACATCAATACAATCATGAGATTAGTCACGTCATATGAGATTCGGGACTCATGACCTAGAATGGTGAACTGAATGAACACTAGGTAACACTTTATTGCATACAACTAGAAGCAGTTACCGTCAGTGAACCCTGAGTAGAAATTAGTGGGAGGAAAGGAAATCACATATTTAGCAGTCCGAAGGTTGAATGCTTGTACGTCCACGCTCAGTAATCAATCATATTTTACTCTCATTACCTCACACATCAACATTTACACAGTGTATATAATTTGTGCAGTTTTATGAAACATTTATGTTATGATATTAATGAACTTAATTATGTATAGCAAAGGGACTAAGGTTAACCAATCAAATTCACTGAATTACTAGCTTTAACAAATGGACTCCTGTACGACCGAGGGGCATTTGAAGGTCAGTGACATCACGGATAAATCAAGGGTGAAGTTTATTAATGTGAACTTACTGTAAAGCTGGGTGACATAGAATCGAATCTGATAGGAAGCATCAGTTCCCTTAGGGTTATAGGTACACCTTGCCAAGGAGTGCCAAATAGCTCGAAACCTAGGTCCAGAGTTTCCTGTTGGAAACCTCCAACCACTACGTTGAAGTATATTATTGTAATAACGTTATCTGACGGCTGACTCTGTTTTATCAAACCATAGGATAAGATTCATGGAAAAATTATTTACCAATTTATCGAAGCTATATTGAGATAGTCATTTTTCCTGCAAATTTTTGCTTGTGTTCAAAATTGCCATCAATGAAAGGGAAATATGTTTTCAATCAAAATTACAAAATGGAGTAATTGTGTTTAATATACAAACCGTATTTGTTATTGAACGTATTTTGGGACAGAGACATGGTTGTTCTTACCACTATAGGTAAGGAATCTATGGTTTATTTATTATTATTTTATAGTTTGATGATCCGTTGGATAATGACACTAAGAAGACTGGTTTGGAAGAACAGTACACTCAAAGATCTACTGAAACTTATGTCACAGCTGTTGTTGGTGGTTCACAAAGTGATGTATCTATTAGCGTGGCAAATATGTTAAAATTCTTAGATATACCACAGGTAGGTGTAAACGTTTATTAGAAGTTTGACAATAAGTACACGAACTTAGGTGATAGATACTACTTTACGAACTTCGAGATAAGTCAATCTTATCCCCCTTTAAGTAGTACTAATTTCTCGCGCTTCGTTCAGTTCCGATTCGAACATGTAAATATTGCCGAAAGTTTTCAGAAGTTATCTCCAGCTCCCTTATCCTTCAACATTTCATTCAATTAGAATCATGTTCATAGATGATTCTTTCGAATTTAGTTATTCAGAAATCATCTAGAGAGTAAGTTGGCCTGCATGCAAAGAATTATAAATATCCTATTTTTTAATCAACACCAAAAATCAAAAATCTTTCTGATCTAATGTCTTCCATGAAGTCTTTATAGGCTCTACAAGAAACAGTGATCCTATTGATAAGGCTATGTTTTTTTCAAAGGGAGATTTTCAATAAACAGCCTTACAAATTTCATAGTTTTGATTGGTGACTTTTGTAAGTCCCACAGAAAACCTCGTTAGCTTGTTTTGTGCAAACGTATGAGCTGAAATTATTGTACATGTATTTACATACAAGTATTGTCAGTCTAGATGGATTTCTTATGTGGTTGTTTTAGTTGTTTGCTGGAGACTGGATATCTGATGGTGAATGCGAAAGTGTCAGATTTTATTGTTTAAGAAGTCAGAAATAACAATCTTTTTTCTAACATTACTGTGATTCATCAGATTGTAACATATAGTTGTTAGTTCTTAAAATGTTAGGCCTATTCACTGTGAAGCTCTATACGAACCAAGCAAATAATGGTATTTCTACACAAAATTTTATCTTAAAGTCGTTATGTAAACCGGTAATTACTGTTGGACAGCTTCTTCTTATTCATATGTCCTTGCGGGTATGTTGAGCATTTCAAGTAAAAATTAAAAACAAAACAATACGTCCAGATTATAAACTTATTTAACGGCAGTAAAGACTTGAATTTCGCTACTGGAAGTATTAGTATATACAAAAGGTGCACATGCAATCTAGAGGAAAGCTATGCTCTCTGTAGAACACTAATCTATGAAGCTACGGTTCTATTATAGCGCCTCCGCTACAATTAAGTTTGTTTACTGTTAATTTTGTCGAGCCATTTCACTAACTCATTTAACAGTGTGGCTAGAACGGCATCAATTTGTTTATTTCTTTGTATTATTATTATTACTATCATGTCTGTATAAACATCTACCCTTGATTACTTGTGGTAGCCTAAACACATATTCCTCACTCTACCTTAAATGTTGGTTGCTTTAATATTGCTCAATGAATTATTCACTTTCCTGTTTATATATACCTTAATCTTATTAATTAATCGGGTTTGAGTTGACTCTGAATCCGCCTCTGTATTCACTTGCTCGTGCGCATTAGTCTTTCTGTTCAAATTTGCTTGGTAGGCTCGCAACTTTGTTATCTTAGCTGTACAATAATAAACTGTAGTTGGCGCTTCGTGTGGCCTTCTGAATTCAAACACAGTTGGTATTTACTTAATAATGGTTATCAGGGTGATTGATTTACAAAGCCTAAGGATTTATCTCGAAACCTAAGCCACTATATTATAAAGCTTTGAATATCTTCCCTAAAAAGTATACTAATAGTACTATTTTATAATTTTCAATTCCAGATCAGCTATATGTCTGCTTCATCACAATTAGATGATGCAGATAAATATACGTATTTTATGAGAACAGTCCCCAGCATTAGTATGACAACTGATGTGATTATTGACTTGTTGAGGTGAGTATTAATGTTTAGATTTTGTTGATTTATCAGTAAACGATAACTACAATCTATCTTTAGTCAGTGATAAACACAATAGGGTTTCAAATAAATTATCATCTACTCAAATTACTATAATTCACTTCAAAAATAGTGCAGAGCTAAACGTTGCATATATTTGTAGGTATCATTACCAAGTTTTGATTTGATAATTTTGAATAAATTGAGCATTGAGTAGATTGTTATGAATAAAATATATACTCATTGGAATATTACAAATATATTATTTATGTATTGCAAATATTGTTCAAAAAGGATCAGTTGGAATGAGAATTATGATTTTTTTTAAAATACTGATCTTATAACTTGGAGAAAAGTAGATAATGAACTCATTTACTCTACTGAAATCAATTTTAACCATATGGGTTAAGATAAAAAAGCATGAGCAACAATAATCTTTGAAACCCGAAGTAAGAATTCTTGGTTTTCAAATGCTGTTAATAATTTCGTGGACTAATATTATCTCTTGCTTTATGCACCACCATGAACATTTTTTCCAGCCTACGCCTATAGTGTAAATCATAACACATTAAGATAAGTAATGGCATAATTAAGTGACCATACTGTAAATCTTAGCTAACAAACGTATAACAAACTGTATGCAATACTAGTTATATGTTAAACATAATTGTTAGAACGATACTAAACCGGATATTCGAAGTCCAATTAGATATCAATTGTATTATACAGAGGAATAACTTATCATAAAAGTTGCAGGGACGTTGTTCCGTTTTTATGTTTACCATGTCACACAATTCAATCTGTTAGTTTCTGCCTCCTGCTTACTCTGTACACAAATTAAGCACTAAAGCTATATGAACTAATTAAAGAAAATTACTTCATTATCTAGAATAATCATAAAATGAGTTAGTTTTATTTGAAAACACGTAAAACAGATCATCAAAATCATTTGAAAGTCTGATCAAAGGAATCTGTTATTTAAAGCTGGAATATAACAACACAATGTCAAAGCATAGTGCTTTCTACTTTTATTCACTAATGTTTAATAATATTATTAATACCATTAATTTATTGCATACATAGTTATGATATGTGAATGAAGTCAAAGAAGAACCAAATTCTACTCTTTTTCGGTACACAACTTAACATATCAAATGAAAATATTATATTTTCACAAACTTCAGTTGTTCAGACGTCTTAAGGTAGGAAGACTAAGTTGTCTGGTTAGATTACGGAGTTAGAACAAAGTGAAGTTAGTTTTCATAATAAAATAAACAGTTGGAGAACTATTGAAACCGAGGTATACTGAATAGTTTATCTGCGTTAGTTTTGAATTGTTTAGCTGTATACAACCAGGAATCGTCAAGTTTCATGGAGGACATGGTAAATGTAGAGAGTAAAGGAAGCATCCCGCAGTTCACCTTTCTAATTTCAGCCAGTTAACAATATAGCACTTGCATCAAACTACGTTACTGAGATGACTGCCTTACTGTCAAGACGACTGAATTTTAATGGTTATAGAATATGCCTGTTAGAAAACAGTGATTTAAATTTTAAAAGTGAACATTTGAAGTAACTGTGACAATCGCAAGTGTTGATAGCAGTTGTTATATCCCCTGGTGAATTATGAATGGTAACTCTGAGGACTATTAATGGACCAAAGTGATATGTATATTTCCTATTGTATAATTGTTAAGTAACTAAACTACTCATATCCATGTTACCCTTATTATAAGTTTTATTTTGACCTATGAACTATTATTATACGATTTACCGTTCTTCAGTTATCCCCAGTCTATTGATTATTATCCCCCTATTCACAGCCATATTTGGCTGAATCTTGTACAAATGTTATTTCCTATTTTATTATTATTATTATTTATTTTATTTCACTTCCTGACAAAAAGTCCTTGAAATAATTTCATTCTATTTTTGTATTTTACGTGAATAAAGCTTTCTAAGATGTTTTTGTCCAAATAGAAATTTGAAAGAAAGGTCAATTGTTAAAATGGATTTCAGTGTTTGTAATATCTGTTCACATGCTATGGTTATCAAACCACCTGAACTTGATCACAATTTGCTTAGGCGAGTAAGAATAGATATGCTAAGTTTGTTTTATCAGTAACTGATTGATTGTTTGATTTTGGTAAATTAACTTAAATATGGTGACATCTGTTTCCTCACTAAAATTAATATTTATATCCAGCTTGCTATTGTCAAAAGTACGACTTTCTTTTTTTTGAATGAAGAAAAATCGTCAGTAAAGTCATATAGATAATCTGTTTTTAATGAGTATAAATTTAATAAACATACTAGGTTTTCTTTTTTTCCATAAAAAACACGAAACCGCAATTTATATAGGAAGTATAACTGGTTTTATGTCAATGTTGTACTGGACAGTTCCGAGCATGGTGAATCTAATTATGGTGTTTTTATGGAGAAATTAAATGGATTCAGTCAAATTATATGTATAGCTAAAAATGTTCGATTGATCACCTATCCTTTAGATGCTAACGATATTGGTAGAAGATTGAAAACGTTACTGGATTCTCCAGCTTCAGGTAGGTGAAACGACTAGTTAAAAATAAGGGTATTTTTAAACTTGAAAACTTGACTTAAGTATATAACCTTTCAAATGAAATGGGCAGATAAATAGTATCTGATAAAATAGAAAAACTGAAATGAAAATGACGTTAGGAAGTAAAGACACTATTATTTTTCGTACCTAATTCTTTTCTTTGCAGTTTACTGTGGTTTATATTCAATATCATGCGTAAGCCACGGGTTCACTATCAACTTGATTGACTCCATAGCTCATAATGTCAAAACGTCTTTCTTAAATCATATCCCTAACGAAAATGTATTGATTTAGTTCACTGCTAATGTATTTTTGGTAATTTTCTAACTGATATCTACAAAACGATTTTAGTTATAAAGTTTGACATGTGATCCTTTAATCAGAGTTAAATCAAAAACATTCAGGAAACTCCAGCCATGATTTGGTAGCTAGATCTGTTGTTACAAAATGAGATAGTACGAGTGTCCTGAAAATCATCTGAAAATATATGGTGTTTAATAAATGTCATAGAAATGAATCACCGATTCCTCAGCAAAATATATAATTTGCCTTGGATAGTAATAAGCGTATAGATTAGAAATATGTTTTATGCATAAAACAAAACTTGTTTCCTTTATTATTTGAATGAACAATTGCTCATCTGTAAACTTCTACTCAGCAGAAATCAAGAATTTAATTTATATAATTAATAAAATGTAGTGCTAAAAAACTGAGTTATAAAACTTTTTTTACTATGCCACAGTTATTTTACTGATGTACATCGGATAGAGATTAGATAATAATACTAATAAACCTGAAATATTTTAAACCCTTTTTCTTCTACCAATAATATACAGTTAAACGTTTTGTTTGAATCAATTGTATATATTCTACTTACGTATCCGATTATGTAATAAGACATTTAAGTTTTGGTGGAGATGAAATGATAAATCATACTTTCTTATGATATAGGTTGATGCCAGTACATTTGTTTTGTAGCAGTAAAGTTTTCGTGGATTATCTGAAATAGATTAAATATTAGTAAGGGTTTGTAATTTCTCATTTTTGATATTTCGGATTGGATATGATCAGTCTAAAATCGCTAATGTGAATCCAGAGCAGGTTTCTGAGATATAATATTTCGTTTAAGATCCTCACATATTTTTAACGGTGGCTGGCATTTCAACCTAGAATGCCCATTGAAGTGTCATTATGTATTATTATTATTTATGCCGATTAAATTTTGTATGCTTCAAATTATCCTTTCAACATTATTATTAGTTAATATCCTGTTAGTAACATCGTATACTGCAAGTCTGGCCATTAGTGAGCTTCTTAAATGGAACCAGTCAGATCTTGATCGATTTCTTTGGATTGGTACAAATGGTCTTATCTCAACTTTCAGAGAATTATATTTAACTGAAGATTTCGATCCAGTTTATGCAGAGCATTTCCATGGATTCAAAAAATTTATCTTAGTTTTACCACATTTACCGGAAGAGAAGAATATGAAAAAATATTCTATTAAGTAAGTCACGTGAATAGTACTTTATAATGAAATTAAAGACCATTATTACATCAAAGTAACTTTAAATTCAAATTTTACTCAAAATTATGTTTCAACAGTTGTCATCCTTATTTCTAGTGGTTGTACTTATCATTCCCCTTTTCTAGAATTTTCACGAATGACTAAAAATAGACGTCAGGATTTGACAGAATGGTGTTATATGTTTATCTTTTATTCTCACAGTTGAAATCATGAGTCAATTGAAGCTAGACCACCATCGAAAACCTGGAAGCACTGGACAGCCGTTTCGCCTTATTATGGGACTTCTCAGCAGTGCGCATCCACGATCCCGCACCCGCGAGATTCGAACCCAGGACCTACCAGTCTCGAGCCGAAGCCCTTAACCGATAGACCACCGAGCCGGAATCCAATGGTGTTAATGTCTAACTTCAACCAATCCACGATTTTGAGCGACCGTTCACCAATTGTCTTCAGTGAGATGATATCTCTACAACAGACCTGGTAGAACTCCACTGGCCACTGCTTCCCACTAGAACTCAAGGAAATATCTCTTGAAGTCAGTCACTAGTGAGCATATGATTATAGATCAGAGGGGGTTTTGTGGAGAATTTAGTATTTTCACAGTTGAAATCATTGAATGTATTTAGTGCTCGTTTTACTTTTTAACCATCTTGCCCTATAGATCGAGACTAACGCTAAATAAATTTTGTTATTATTAAGATTTGAAGGCTCAACTACTTAGAATAGGTTGCTTAATTTCTTGAAAAGAGCCGGTTAAAAATGTATGAGTTTGTGAGTTAATAAAGGCTAGGGTTTATACGAGTGAATATGTACGAATGAGTTGTTATTTTTCATCTACTTTAAACGTTTTTATCCTTCTTGAATTTTGAAATGTATTGATGAGAAACTAAAGTGAGATAATTTCTATGACACTCTCGATGTCAAATAAAACCAGAACACTGTCTCAATTCCAAATAAATTCGACTTATTTGGAGTTATGAATTTATACTTCAGTTAGTAAAATCACTATCAAAGGCTCATCATCAAGTACATAAGATGATTTAAAAAAATACAAATTCGAAATGGTTCAAAGAATAGTACTTAGTCCATCAAGAAAAAGGAAGACGTTAACTGAGTTTAATAACAGCGAATTCAAATATAAATAAGTAGACAAAATTACTAATATGGGCACAGTATAAGTATGAGTGTCATTAATTTCAATTTACTTTTTTACAGGAGTGAATTAATCAGTGTGTCTGCGAAGAAATCTGTTGAATGGATGCTTCTTTATAAAATTTGTTAACACCTCGATTACATGCAGGGCGATCCAAGACTTACTTGACGGAGATCGATGACTGAAAAATATCAATCACATTAGTTCTTAAAATTAAGTGTAAATGTATAAACACTTAAATAAGAAACCATTAAATTCGTGTGTGTATTAATTTTAATAGGTTAACAAATAACTCTTTGAGTCAAAAATTACTGGTAATGTGTTTGAATTTGAATAAAAATGATGCCAATGTGATGGATATATTTCTCTCTGACACCATGAATGAAACAATTACTCTAAGTCATACTGTTGGCCACTATGAAAATGTTATGAGATGTTTTATATAATAATTTAGCATTTGGACATGATGTTAAAGATTATGAAAGAATAGTATCTAAAGTATGAACATAGATAAACCATTTGATTAGTGTAAAGAGATAGTGTGGATATGTTTCCATAACGATTCAAACGAAAATGGCTGAAATATACTACGGTTTGGTCAGTAATGAAACCCTTATTAATTCTGTCATTTCTAGTTAATACTACTGAAATGTCTTAAAATGTTTACAAGCTAGATGAATGGTAAAATTATTACAAGCCGCATAAATGGAGCGACTGGACCAGGAAAATGGGTAGTTTGGTAACCTGAACGCATAGTAATTAGATCACTTAATTTACAGAACAGTGTAAATTACTTAGACTGTAGCGTTAGTTTGTAGCCTGATTAGTATTACAAATAACAATACACTTTATTGTCATGTGATCACACAAAACTGTTAGTCCTGAAGGAATCCCACTAACAATTATTTTATCAATGTATGAGTTGGTGTTTATTTATTGTAATCGCTTTTTTTGGATTGGCCTCAGTACATAATAGCATTACTCAAACATTTCAGTTTATTTATCCTTGTTCGATTGTTTTCCGAGGTGTTTTCAAATTAACTTAATTGATTTGTAATAATTCTTTAAAAATACAGCTTAAAAAGGACAGTTTATTTAACCAACTGGACAAAATCTTACATAATGCAATTTTGTGGCTGCTTACCAAACGTAGTTGATCCAAATAATTTCACTGGTCAAGTTTGTAATGCCGAAGATGAACATGAATGCTTATCATATCTTTATAGAGGTATGTTTCTGAAGAACTTGTAGAAGAGGTTTATGCTATGATAAAGATAACTGAACATTGAAAACATTACATACTTACATTATTTAATCAATCGATATCTATCGATCTATTATTAAATGAGCCAGGATTTAAATATTCATTGAGAATGATAATCAGCGTCCTCGAAGAGCTATCGTTACTAACAAAAAACCACTGGTCAAGGAATAAGTTTTATACTGAACAAGCTGAATAAAAAGCTGACCCAATATATAGATTTCATAATAAAGTGGTTGATTGTACCTACCACAGGACTTTAAATACAGTTTTTGACTTAAAGTATGATAACTTATCACTCAGTTTATTTTGTTCAAAGAAATCTGATGGGTTCTTACTTACTACTTACTAACGCCTGTTACCCCTCGTGGAGGAGCATAGGCCGCACACCATTATTCTCCATTCAACCCTGTCTTGGGCAATCCTTTCCAGTTTTTTCCAGTTATTATCCATCCTTTTCATATCTGTTTCTATTTCCCGATGTAATATGTTCTTTGGCCTTCCTCTTTTCCGCTTCCTTTCCAGATATCAAGTTAGGGATTACCTCGTGATGCAGTTTGGTGATTTCCTCAGTGTACGTCCGACCCACTTCCAACGTCTTTTCCTAATTTCATCTTCAGCTGGAACCTGGTTTATCCTCTCCAATAAAACGCTGTTGCTGATAGTCCCCGGCCAGTGAATGTTGAGTATTTTACGTAAACAACTGTTTATAAATACTTGTACCTTCTTGATGATGGTTGTAGTAGTTCTCCAGGTTTCATCTCCGTACAGTATGACTGTCTTGACGTTCGTATTGAAGATTCTGACTTTGAAGTTAGTTTACAGCTGTTTTGAGTTGCATATGTTCTTCAATTGTAGAAATACTGTCCTTGCTTTGCCGATCCTCGCCTTCACGTCTGCATCACATCCTCCTTATTTATCAACGATGCTTCCCAGGTACATGAATGTTCCCACCTCTTCCAGAGTTTCGCGATCAAGTGTGATTGAGTTGGTGTTCATTCACCGTATTGTATTTGAGAATCTTGCTTTTTCCTTTGTGTATGTTGAGGCCTATTGATGCAGAGACTGCTGGTACATTTGTTGTCTTCGTTTGTATTTGTTCGTGTGTATGGGACAAAAATGCTAAGTCAATTGCGAAGTCCGAATCATTTAATTGATTCCGAGATGTCCATTGTATTACGTGCTTCCCTTCAGATGTCAAGGTTTTCATAAACCAGTCAGTCACCAGAAGAAAGAGGAATGGGGAGAGTAGACAGCCTTGCCTGACTCCAGTCCTTACTGGAAATGCATCTGTCAGCTGTCCTCCATGCACGACTCTGCGCTGTAGTTCTTCGTATGAGTTCTGGGTAATGTTGACAATCTTCTGAGGAACTCCATAGTGTTGAAGAAGTTTCCATAATGTTCTCCTATACACACTGTCAAACGCCTTCTCATAGTCAATGAAGTTGATGTATAGCGACGAATTCCACTCAACTGGCTGTTCCACGATGATGTGTAGTGTCGCGATTCGGTCTGTGCACGACTGATGGATTCGGCTGGATATAATTAATTAAAAAAATGAACAAAAATTTAATCAAGAGTTTTCATTGAGGTTCCTAACCTATTACACCAAAATGCAGCGATAATAATAAAATTCTATCAGTCCTTCTATTTTAAAAATATAGGATAAAGTATTTCTATTTTTCAGAAAAGTGGGAAAACAACCAAACATTCTTTAAAAAATATATTTATTAGTGTTGCTTATTTTATGAATTAACTGACCCAATTTAAAGATTAATTGTACACATCATAAAGGGAGTTGCGCACAAAATTTCTTGGTCTTACGCACTTTATCTCTGAACACGACGAAGAGCGTAAACAAATTATATCTAGGTTAACTAAAAGTCTAAGGAACGATCGTGAGCAGTGGTGGGCAACGAAAGCAAAAGAGGTGGAAAATGCAGAGACTGTAGGCAACACCAAGCAACTCTTCATACTAATAAAAGAAACTGGAATTAATAAGTCAAGTGTAAGTGAGATAATCTCGGAAAAAGACGGAACCCTTATCTGCTCTCAGCCCAGACGTTTAGAACGATGGGCGGAGCACTTTATTGAGCAGTTTAGCTAGCCTTCAGCTACTGCACAACTACCCATTACTCCCAGAAAACCTGAATGAAACATTGAAATAGGTCCCCCGAACCTACTTGAAGTTCAAAAGGGTATAACTAATCTGAAACGAGGAAGAGCAGCTGTTCCAGATGGATTGGCTCTAGAGGTCTTTAAACATAGTGGTCCAATTTTAGCGACTAGGTTGACTAATATTCTGGCTAAAATCTGGGAGTCGGACGTAATCCCATCCGACTGGTCACAATCACTTATTGTCCCAATATATAAGAAGGGGCCAAAATCATCCTGTGATAACAATAAAGGGATTAGTCTGACTAACATAGCATCTAAAATACTAGCCTCAATAATTATCAGGCGCCTAACTAAGACTCGTGAACTGTAAACACGAGAAAATCAGGCTGGCTTCAGACCTGGTCGTGGCTGTATCGACCACATATTCACTATTCGTCAGGTTTTAGAGCACAGACATGCTTATTAGCTTGCGGCAGTGATAGTTTTTTGTTGATTTAAAGGCAGCATTTGACTTTATAGACCGAGAAGTTCTGTGGCAGTGTCTGTCACTGAAAGGAGTACCTCAGAAGTGCATAAACCTTGTGAAGACTCTTTACTCGAACACTACCAGTCGAATGAGAGCTTATAGAGAACTGTCATCTGATTTTACAACCTCAAGTGGTGTCCGACAAGGCTGTCTACTATCCCTATTCTTATTTAACTTCATTATAGACCTATTGCTCAAAATAACACTTTCATCGACTGAATTTTCAGGAATTGATCTCCTTCTAGGAGGTCCACTAATCGACTTAGAATGCGCAGATGGCATAGTCCTGTTTGGTGAAGACGCTGACAAAATGCAGAGTCTTCTGTTAGAACTGAGTATTAATGCCAGGATGTTTGGGATGCGTTTCCTCCCATCTAAATGTAAATTGTTACTCCAGGACTGGTCTGCATCAACACCTGAACTAATGATAGGGAGTGAAGTAGTCGAACGCATCGACAACTTCACTTATCTTAGATGTCTGATCAGCCCTAATGGGTTGGCATCTGACGAAATCTATGCACGGATTCAAATGCGTGTTTGGCTTTTGCCAACTTACGTCAACTATGGCAAAGTTGAGATATCGGTCTATCAGTTACAAGACGAGTATACTGTGCAGCAGTTCGTTCTGTTCTACTTTGCGGCTGCGAAACGCGGCCATTAAGAGTAGAAGATACTCGTAGGTTACTAGTATTTGACCACAGATGTCTTAGAAATATTGCTCGCATCTACTGGGATCACCGGGTAAGTAATAGTGAGGTTAGACACAGGGTATTGGAAAATGATGGTAAATCAGTTGATGAGGCGATGAATCTTCATCGACTGAGATGGTTGGACCATGTGTTACGTATGCCTGAACACCGATTACCACGACGCGCTATGATGACTAGTATTGCCAATGGTTGGAAGAGAGTTAGGGGGAGGCCAAACCAAAATGTGGCATCAGAGCATGAAGTCACTAACTTCTAGTCTGAGCCATGTTGGCAGATGAAGACTACTTGGTTGGGGTCCGCGCGACTGTCGTAACCAATGGTTGGAAACTCTGTGTGACATGACTCAGAATCGATCATAATGACGCAGGTGTATACACTCTTTATCTTCCCTTAAACCTTAAAATTACAATTGCTTCATAACGTTCTTCCTTCCTCTGATATATCCCTATATACAATCTATCTTTTATATATTATCACCACTAAATTAACTACTTCTATGAATCCGGTGTTCATCTTGTTGTGCTAACGGGGTATGGCAACTTGGATCGATGCATATATGTGCGTGGTCCTACGTTATAGTTGACTGACTGACTGACTATCAACAGATATTCAATTTATAACGTTATTTTAGCATTACTATTTGATTTCCTTGTTATTTGATTTTTCTTTTATATGAAGATTCAATTTATTACGTACCTCAAGTAGTCAACTCTGTGTATGCGATAGCAAATGCATTAAAACAAGTATTTACACAGTATCCGATGTTGAAATGGCATCATAAATCCCGTGAGCAAACGAGAAGGTTGCTTTTAAGTGAATTACAAAAATGTCAGTTTGAAGGTAAACAGTTTCAATAAATAATATCATTGACGAATTTGTTTAATATACTTTATTTTCAATGTTAACTATTGGACCGTAATTAAAGTATGGCTACTTTAATCTAGACTTATATGGAATTTATGGTTTTTATTTTCAACTTACCCCTATTTTTTTGTTATCATAACAGACATATGGTAGTAAATCATATAAGCACTTTTAGTTAGTCTAAATTCATATCAACAAATGAAATTTGAACAATATATACCTTAAATTATTCATTCAGCTTCAGGAAGAAACTATAGACAAAGATTAATCTTAGATCCACTACAAATCAAGTAACAATGGACTTATGTAATTACGATCCTATACAAAGTCAATCCATGACCATCGAAATTTGTTTAAAGGCCTGTCATATTATTTTATTAAGCAAAGATCCAATGGTCAATATTTTCTACTTCAGGTAACTTATAATTTGTCGCAATCTTGATCTTTCATTATTCATGAAGTAAGGCATCAATCCTGCTTCGGTTAACTCAAAAGTTCAGTTTCTAAATGAAACTCTAAGTAGTATATTTTCAAACAGTATGTAAAATATTGATTAAAATAATCTCACCTTATACCAAATTTCTACAATATTACCAATTTGAAAAATTAAAGATTCCTAAAATATTTATTGAAACTAATCAATATTGAAAAACATTTGATCAGAGAATTAACAGGTAAACTGTTTTTGAAGAGAACTAGCCAAAAACAAATGAATTTTTGTTGATGTGGATACCGTTTAATTTATACCACTTGAACACACACTTCTTAAATAAACATCTGGGTGGTAGTGGAATAATTTATTTAAACATCGGGGTTATAAAAATTCAAATGATCTTTGTTTCCAAATTAACATTAAGTCAATTATAGTGGAGTTTGTCTAAAAGGACTAGATACTAATATCATACACAGATAGTCTACATCGCTCAATAAACGCAATGTGTACAACTCACTTAAAAGTATGTTTATAGGTATCTTTGCAGAAAGCTATCATTTCAGGTAAGTTTACGGTTGGTCATACAGTAGTTTCACATGAATAATAACTCACTTTAATCCCCTTTAATGTTACTAATTAATTTATTTAACTGTACCGGAATTATTGCTACGGTTAAAAGTCATTATTCGCGTCCAAATCAATAGACTATCTATTCAGTAAGATAAATGAAAAATTTATAGGATTTATCGAAAATCCTCTTACGTGATCACAAAAATTATTAATAACCCTAACCATTCATGTTATGTCAGTGAAAACTTTGTGATGTTTATTAATATCTGATCGTTTTCATGTCGGAACTTCAAATCGTGAATAATAGGTAATAATAGTTGAATAATAATTAATTTGATATTTAGGTGAGACTATAATTTATGAACGACGTTTGAGAGACGCTAAAATGGCCATGAGAACGTTCACTTACTTACAAGGGCTAAATGAGAGTTACAAAGCAGTGTGAGGAATAACAATTATGCTTTACAGTTGATGGTTAGGGTTAAGAACTAGATTTGGGGTTTTGATCACGAACTGCAATCAACTAAAATTCTAAGACGCTATTCAGCCAAATGGGTGCTTGAATTTCATGCCGAAATTCAAGACCTGTTATCTTATATTTGATTGGTTCGTCCATAAATTATAGTCTCTCTGATACTTATTTATAGTTATCCATATTTTGGAGTCTGCAGGCATCAAATGATTTACTTGTTTGTATGATAACTGGTAATGAAAGCTTATAGGCCATTTCTGACTTTCATTTTTATTCTTGTTCAAGCAATGGCTAGCATCAGTTTGATTACATTCATTCATTCCAAAGATTTTACTAACTATTTGTCATTTGATGACATTTATTGTGTATTTACTATTCTACTGTTTGTGAATGATAAGATATAAAGCGCGTCAACTAAAAGATATCCTGATCGTTGAATAAATGACGACTATTATTATGAAGTAGTCTATTTTGCATAACAATACAAATAATGAATTCATGGCTAATCAGTTTGGATCACAGTGAGATCATAAATGTTTGCATGTAGGTACATGTAAACGATATGTACTAAGTATATAAGAACTCTCGTCTTAATTAGAGCGAATAGTTTCACAGTATTTGAGGGCCGAGTTGATGTAAGACATTAAATAGGAATAATATATTTGTAAAATCTCAACGAATGAATTTGTAGTAAATCCAACGTTTCGCCTGGCAATCTGGTCCAAGCTTTTTCAAGGAATTAATATGTACTAAGTTTGTTGAAACTTTAGTCACTAATCAAGATATAATAAATTCATAGATTCATTTGATATGACTTTACTCATATGGTAACAAAGACTCGACACTTCACTTTTGAATACGAACAACGAAATTTCAAACTATCACAGTAAAACCATCCGTTGAAAGTACCAATAAAAGAGCTTTTTACACGTTTTTTGATCATTAACAGGTTTTGGCAATGAATCGTTTTCATTCTTCGATAAACGAAATGGTCAACCGAATTTTACAATATTAACTTTTGTGCCAAATACATTTAAATGGAAAGTATTAGCTCAGTATGATGAAACAAGATCTCCAAGTAAGTGACGTTAATTGCGAACAGCATTTTCATTTCTGTTTTGAAAATAACTACACTTTCAGTTAGAGAAATTTATGTTTAGATCTTGAGAGAAGAATATGCCAGGGAAAAAATATATTTCATGTTAATTAGCCTTTCATTATATGTGTTTTACAGATAAGACAAATGTAAAGATTACGTTCAGATAAGAATCCTTTAAATAAAAAATATTGATTATCAAAGGTAAAGATTATGGTAAATGAAGTTTGCACAACTTTCAAGTGTTTTAATTAATAAATGAGTAGGAAGGAACATGTTTCACAATAGGTGTGATCAAGTGATACCAAATATCCGATAAGAATAGAGAGATAATTAATAATAAGAGTAAGGAAGGCTTCAATGAATGAAAAACATGCAATATGAATAATACCCTTTTTCAATATATCTTCAGTCTAAATTAGTAGTCAAAATAATAGGAGTGGTTGAGCCAGTTTAATTTGAAGGCAGCGAGTTGTTTCAATAGTTTGAATAAACATGGCGTTAGAAGTAAGTAATAGACATATACTACAACATAAGATAAAATGAATTGTTTAACGAAGAAGAAATTTTAGAAAGCCGTACTCATACACTATTCACTTCATTTATTACCCGACCATTTAATAGCAAATAATCTCGTTTAGTCTAATATTCAGTGCTCATCTAGCACTTGTGATGAGTTTGTAGTATAGTCACTAGTCATACTGAGTTGGCATTACAGTGAATGTTGTATAATATTCAGTGGTTGGAAGCTCGTCAGTCAAACAGATTGTTTACAGTATGAATTATTACTTCTGTTTTAATAGATTAAATAAAATATGAAGTCAAATTAGTTAGTTGCCTTTCTTATAATGTAGACGAAGCAACTTGATTCATCTATTTGATATAATTACTTAGATATTCAAAAAGAACACAGTTTAATTGATGCAGCAAATGCTATCTGAATAACCATATTATGAATATATACAAATATTCGTCAAGGTTAGAACGAATAGCTTGACAAAAGTTGGGCGCCGAGTATAGAGAAGTCATTATATGTGAGAAATTATAATTTAAATAGTCTCAGCCATTGAAATTTAAATAACCTCGTCGTTTCGTCCAGCTAACTTGTCTGGACTTCTTCAGAGAAATAATCAAAATCACCAAAGAAATATATAAGGTTTTTTTGACAATTATATCAAAATTCTCCACATATTATAAATAAGAATAAATTAATAGAGTTCGACTTCAGAAGGAGCCTTATTTCTGCAAAAAAGTATTATTTATGATAAATAATACAATATTTTTGTAGTTTCATTCATAGTAGTAAAGAGTAACTATGGATTTCTGAGTTCTAATTCAGTAATCGTGAAAGGTGTCATTTAATGTACAACACATATTGAAATTAAATTATCCATACTTCAAATCAATTAAATGCAGAAATAAGTACATAGTTTTTCAAAGGAAATATTCTCTATCCTAAATACTGACTTCATTTAAGTGATGATGAAGAATGTAAACGATGAAAACAATAAATATACTCAATGTGTTTTCATTATTTATTTTCAACTCCAAAACTGATTGGTACCTTAAGTGATTTACTGTTAGATTTTTTAAATTATTAATTCAATATCGTAAACAATTGAGTTTGTTTGTTTAATGTAAACTCCTGGTTTAAATATTTAGTGTGGTCTGGAAATCAAAAAGTTTGTGACCTAATCATTAGTGTTTGATTGACCACAATTATTTATTGTATAAACGGACTTATATGTTTTCTATTTTAAAAAAAATTTTTGTTTATTATTTTTCGAGAAATAAATGGTTCCTTTCTAATCGATAGGGTTTTACTATATCAATGAAAATATTTCATCTTATATTCAAGAAACTATTCCAGAATCTGTATGTTCTAAACCATGTAATGTCGGTCAAATAAAACGTATTGATTGGGGTCGTTCATGTTGTTGGATTTGTATAAATTGTTCATCTCAACAAATTGTTACTTCAGTAAATTTGAATAAAAATCTTAACAATACAATAAATAACAATATTACAAATAAAAGCACTAGTAATCCAATGGCATCTCCTATGTGTCAATTTTGTAGTCCTGGTTATAGACCAAATAAAAATCAAACAAAATGTCAACTATTACCAATAAAATATATGTCAATATATGAAAAAGTTGCACAAAGCTTCGTTGGAATATCATCAACTGGTTTAATTCTATGTTTAATTGTATCAATTATTTGTATTAAATATTGGAAAACACCAATAATTAAAGCATCTGGTAAAGAAACATCTATTATATTATTTATTGGCATTATATTATCATATATATCAGGTGAATTAATTCTTGCATTATCTCCATCATTGTTTATTTGTAATTTTGCAATATTTTCTGTTGGATTTTGTACTACACTTACCTATTCAGCTATTTTGGCCAGAAGTTCACGGATCAATTCTATATTTCAAGTAAGATTATTATTCATCATTCCTGCTTAATATTTTCTTTTGTTGGTTTAACAAACTAAGTATTCTTCGTATAAATTAGTATATTGTAAACTGATATTCAGTTAACTAACTTACTCAACTGCTTACACTGAATAAATCCCGATATTCATCAATTATAACATATACTACTACTTAAAATACTCTAGTTATTAACTTCTAATCTGTGATTTGCCCTGCATAAAAATCCACAAACTTCTAGTTCAATAAGTTTGACTCTAAGTATTGACCTTAACTCAATTTGTGAATAAATAAATGTTTGGCGTAACATTGGAATATACTTAGGAATCATGCTAGTTTGTGTTTAACTCAGATGTCAACGTTTTATGATCTTGGTGGATTAAGTAAGATATTCTCTTTCATATGTATGCTGCTACGGGATTTAAGAAATCCTGTTGGCTAGTTTGTTCTACCACTTTACTAGTTGTCATAAATTATTCAAGTATTTTTTCACTGTAATTTTAGCCTGATTAGGAGTGTAGATAAACAGATAAAAAAATTAAAAATTATCCACGAAACAGACCAGGTATTGTATTTTAATATTATTACACTCCCTTAGACATAGACTACTGACAAACCTATTATTCGTTTTATTGATCCGTGTTGTTTTATTCAATCCGTTTGCTATTATCACAACACCTCACTCAAATACATCAACTAAGTGTGTGAATAGGTTTAAAATGAACTTTTACTAGTTGCTAGACCACAAAACTTATTTGAATAACAATAGCTTGCAGTGGTGAATATAACGAAATTAATTATTACTCTAAAGTTGTTGATTTGCATGGCAAATAACTGAAAATCGCAGTGCTTAATACAACGTTTCATACATTTCATTAACATTTATTGTCACTTGTTGAACAATAATTCATGAAATTTGAATATTTATACTAAAGTAAAAGTGCCTCCTGTTCAAATTGTCAGACAAAGATTTATGTATCTCATTCCAAACAACACCATGGTATTACACTTTAAAACCTCATTACTTTATTACAAGACTTGTTGTGAATGAACTTATTAAATTGAATACGACAATTTAATTATACTATGCTCCTTATGGATACGGCTAAAAATGTACTTGGAGAAATACCGAGTCAGTCAACGTTGATTGTTACAAACCCCATATATGAAACATACGGTAATTAATTTTATTGAGTTAGAAGAAATATATAACGGAAGTGATAGATGCATTTCAAGCCGAATCACATAATCTACTGCCAAATAATTTTCATTATCATATTGCAAACAAAGGAGATAATTAATGCAAAAGACTTGACAGAACTATAATTTATGGACGAACCAAACAGATTTAACGTAGTGACTGTTAGATTTTGGAAGATACTTTCATTTACTCGTTAAGGTTAATAGTACTCTGACATTATAACTGATGACAGTTTGTGATGAAAATTCTTATTTTCATTCCTTACCCTAACTCCTAACTTTTACGTCTCATGTTAATTTGTCAAACTAATTCATAACCCAATTTTTAGTAAATGGTTGGTGATTTTTCAGCTACTATTTAATATCGCTCAACTGTCGTCTACAAATTACATGGTTTTGCTGACAATTTCTTTTTACTTAAACGTTTCAAGTCTGCATAAATAGTCATAAATGTTTAACAGATTTAAATAACCTCATCAAGATAAATAGTTTATCAGAGAAATGTGATATCGGAATAAATTATCTACACTTATTGATCACTGGAATAAGTATGTAAATTAAATTTTACCTAATGAAGAAACGACCATACCCTTTTTACATTGTATAGAACATATTCCCCTTGTTGCAGGATACTGTCAATGAGTTAGTCACCTTGTCAGTACATCTCAAATAACTAGAAATTATGTCAAATAAAACAATTAACTACATGTTGTTCCTAGATTTGAAAATAAATTGTAGAAAAATACACATGAGAATTCCGCATTCATATTCCTAAATTGATCAAACAGGAGTTCATGGACTACAAATGGTTAGGTGTTATTGAATAAAGATAAAATTAAAGATTGACGTGTAGATTTAATGTTGATCTATTAAATATATATCATTATTATTATTTATTATTTAAACACATAAATATTGGTACAAGAGGGCACCAGATATATATGCGCCGCACTAATTCCATTTGATTTGTGTGAGGGCTGTGATACTGTCCAGGTGCCCAAACTGAAGCAGGTGTGGAAGAATATACCATTGGCTAGTTTATTCTTTATTATATCTACAAAACTATTATTAGAAAATTAAAAAAATCTCAATTTAATTTTCGATTATATAAATTATTGATTTACAATGAGCTATTTTTTTTAATTTTCTCTTTTTCCTTTTTTAAAACAAATCAATAATTAGATAAATGAATTACATTTAATGAAACCTCAAAAAATTTCTGGTCAAAAATCACAACTACTTATCATTGGTATATCATGTTTAATACAATTTATTATATTAATTATTATATGTAGTATTACACCAACTATACCACAATTAATACTTTCCGATTATGAATTAAATCCACAATTAAAAATCAATAAAAAATCGATAACAATATATGAAGATGATTATTTAATCAAAATCAATAATCATCAAAAACGATTAATATTACATGGATTACCAAATAATTTAATATTATGTTTTCCATATTTTGATATAAAACAAATTATTACTATATTTATACCATTCTTATTAATGTGTTTATCAACTATATATGCTTATAAAATTCGTAAAGTACCAAGTGGATTTAATGAAGCTAGAGCATTAGCATTTGTGAATTATATTAATTGTATTTGTTTTATTACAACACCTATACTTATGTATTATGCTAGTAAAACAATGTTAGAATTAGTACCGTTAAGTTTTTTATTAATTTCTACGGCAACTAATGAATTCAGTGTTTTGATCTTACCAAAGGTAATGAATTTGCTTTTTTTCCATTCTTTTGTATTTATATCTTTTATTGTTTCCATTTATCAGCTATCCTTATTTATTTTGAAATATGATGTTTATTAAAACAAGTAAACTTGTATGTCACCATTTATAATTTAAATTACTCATAAGCAATTGAAGTTTTTTTCTAACATATTAGTGGTTGTAGTCATTTTCAAGCGAAGTTAATTTTTTGTTCATAAAAGACAAACAGTCATGTTTGACGTAGTATAGAACTTTAAACTGAATGATGTGAATATGGTTTCGAGCTAACTGAACTGAATTTTCGGTCGGAGATTTTGCTAATATTATATATAACTGAGAGCTATACGATTGCACAGATGATAGATTTAAAATGCATTTTACTTTTAATGGTTAACGGTGTTTTGTAAACTATTGTTCTTTGCGAAGATTTGGTTTAGTCTACCATAGTCATTTCATAATTAAGAATAAAAGATATTCACAATGCATTTGTTCAATATCTTTTTGAGTAATTTATGACTGCTTTCTACTTTGGTGCAGTTTTTTAAAATCATGGCTTAACTTCTTAAACGCACATTAGTTTTCTAAGGATTCATCCAGATTTAGCTTAAGTTGATTTTCCCCTTAGACAACTAATGAATTATTATGAGTTATATTGTGTTTTTTACTTACATATACTTTCATTAAAACGGAAATTTTCTTCAGCGACTTAATGTAAAATTATGTTTCACTACTTAACAAGGTTGAGCTCTTTCTGTTAACTAATGTGTATTTGGTTAGTAGTCTTTTCATTGATAAACAATAAAGCTTAAGTTCTTGTATCTCTGAGATACGCTTGCCTTGCTTCATTATATGAAATATCAGAATAATCAACTTCAATATAACAATGATTTGTCTGTTCTTAAGATGAAAATTCCATCGGTAAATAAGTTTGTCATTTGATAAATATAATTTTATACAATACATTTAAAAGTATTTATTAGCGTCGTTTGGATTCATAAAAATGTGGTTGAAAGATATTCAATGTTGGTCTCAGTTAGCGTTTTCCATAATAAATAGAACGTTGTCTTATTTTTTTCTAATTATGATGCATTATTTTAGATATACATTATTCTATTTCGACCATATAAAAATACAAGAGCCAGTATTATGCAACGTCTTAGAGGACTTAGTCAAGTCGAATGTACGGAGTGGATTAATGGTAAGTAATTCTCTATTTACAAAACTTAAGAACTGTTATTTAATAATATCTTACAAGTCATAGTTACTTATGAAAATAAATAACAAAGAGTAGCTATACATTTTAGAATTGTGATAAGATAGCGGTTAGAGGTGGTCAACAGGAAACCCTGGACCCTCGTTTCGGGCTACTTGGCACTCATCAGCAAGGTGTACCTGTAATCTTGAGGGAACTGGTGCTCCCTGACAGATTCGATGCCGTGTCACTCAGCTTCACAGCCAGAGACGTTACCACTGAGCTATTGGGGCCGCAACCGTCCTCCTGTAGGACTGAGATGTAATCACAATTGATTTATCACTGGGTGGTGATCAGTGTCATGCGTGTCAAGTCCTTCTTAGTGCTGATCGAATGCTATCGATCAAGTTGTGATCAATTGTGACTTTAGAATTGTTCTCGTGAAAGTTTAACGTTGTAAACAATAACAGTCTATTGCATGCTGTATTAGGTTGCTTAGCTTACGTACCTTTAGTTTTTTCGTTGGAAATTATTTCGAACTAAGTATTCCCAATAATACTCTCCTCTCTTTACGATTTTTATGAGTAAATTGTTACTCTTACAAAAAGTGTTGATCAGTTCTAATGCAGTTTATCAATATTCATATGTTTCCAAATAAGTTTGAAACGAATTTTACGAAGTTTTATTAAAAAACCCATAACCATTCTTTAAATCAGAGTTAAGATAGTCTGTCGTTGATGTGCATGTTAGGACTACTGTTTAAGAAAAGCTAGGGTTATTTGAAGGGTACTAGTTCAAGTTGTCAAACAGATTGATAGATTAATAAACCTTCATTGGCAGGGGTAGTTGAGATGTGTACTACATATGCTAAGCTATTGCCTACCTCGATGGTCGATGCTTATTGGTACAAGTTAGTATTAGAAGGAAGCTAAAGTTGGACAAACGAAAACGTGGTGTCAGTTCATGAGGTCATTAATAGTCGGCATTATCATGGTAATAATTATAGTTTGCCTGGCAACGATCGGTGAGATTATTGTAACCAATTGTTGGAGATATCAAGTTACATGGCTTACAATTCACTATTTATCTTCCCATAGATCAAGAGATTAAAAATTATCCTACATTTTTTAAACTCAGTGAATTAATTTGGTTCTGCAATCGTTTTATAAGTGTAATCCTTTCTATCGCTACTACTACTATATATATTTTTATCGGGTTCGTTATTATAATCCCCTGGAATTTGTAGTGATAATTTCATTTTAATGTGTTAATGTATTGTGCCAATTTGAACTGATGCGCATATTTACCAGGTTTTATTTACAATATGACTGATTAACCGGCTTATCAAGATAAAGATTACAATTTAAAAGCTACTATTTACTCAACGTTTCCATATCTTATCAATTTTAGGCTTTAGTCAAAATATTTCCATTTGACAGCTCAAATTTAATGAACGTGTTGTTCTTTATATATAATTTAACCACATAAATAATATAAAGCCTTTTTAATGATTTCACTTGCTAATGTTAACAACCGTTCATTTCAGAGGTTACGTCTAGGAGTTCGTCTGGTATATTTAGTATATCTAGAGGTAAAGTGCTAAACCCTTGGCTAAAAATACGAGAACTGTCTTCAAAATCTCTAGGTAGTCCAGCATCCATAATGAATAATCCAACAACACTGAAAAATCAAAAATTCAAGACAACCGAAAAGTGTTTAATTAATGAGTTCTCATGTGGCACATCGCTCATAATACAGTGCTACAATGTAAAATCACCTACTAAACAAGTACAGAAGAATTTAATTACATCTCAAATGAGACCAAAAGTTGTTTCTTTTGGTAAGTTCATCATACCTATTCATTTTGATTCAAAATAAATTTATCCAATATTTCCATCCAGGTTTATTATAATACTGTTTAATGTTTTGGAAGTGTTACATTTCAAAGAAAAATTCCAACTTTCTATTCAAAAAGTCAGAACAACATATATAATTCCAAATATAGAGTACATCATGAGATACACGCAAGTTTCATGAATATATAAGTGCATGAAACTTCAAAAAATTGTGTTTTCATCCAGTTATATACTGAGTATATATATATATGTTGGATAGGAGGCATAACATGATGTTTTTATTATAAAAAAGAGAAAGGTCTGTATGTGAAAAGTCATAAATTAAAACACGCACAAGTATAGTTTCAAATTCCCGTATATAGTGGTATCTTAGTTCGATTTACACTGTCAGTCAATTAAAATAGTACGTGTAAATAGTCAATAACAAAGTGTTTTGATAGTCATGGTGGCAAATAATTATAATTTCTTTGGAACAGTAGTTGTTATAATGTTGTTGCGAACTTGGAAATGTTTACTATTTTCATGCTGATGGTTGTTAGAACAATTTCGTCTTTGAAGTTATGCTAATTTTATATGAAAGCATGAACGCTCAGGTTTATCTTCGCATCAAAACAATCAATAAAATCCACTGCAGAAGTTATCTAAAGTATTCTAGACTTAGTCTACTCTTCATGATCATGTGTGTAAAAGAAACCTATTATGAATAGTAAGTAAATTTAACACTTGAACATCCGTAAATACGACTAGACTAAAATTAAACAATTTTCTCGTATGCTCGCAATATTTCTTAAACAAACAGGTTATCGTAATTGCTTCAAACGCTGAGCCAGTGACAATACGTGAAAAAAATCACTTAGTACTATGTAGGAACAAACCTCTCCAAAGGATTTATAATTGAAAAGCTTAATACACAATATATAACAAACTGAATTATCACTTTTCATATGATTGATAAGATAAATGTCAATATTAGGAAGTATTGTTCTCTGTTTAGGTACATAAGAAAATACAACTAGCTGTTAAATAAAAGCGGTATTCATTCCCTAACTGGTGAAAGAAACTTAGTTCGGTATTTATTGTATTTTATTACTTACCAGTGGAAAAACCCAATACCGAAGAAAATGACAATGAATGGATTACTTCACATCGGACAATGAATTTAGTTACGAGCGATTATAGTCGTGTAGATGGAAATAATGTTGATTCTAAAAATGATCACAAAGTTGATACCAATAATTACGTAAACTATAAAAACCGAATACTTTAGAAGTAGTAGATAAAATACTGACGGGGATTTTCAAACGTTCCACTGAAAATAAGAGCGGAGTATATTTCGCAAAGGAATTTTCCTTGTCTATACTTTCTTCAAGTTCTTTCGTTTTGATTGAAAATAATCTTTATTACTTCATAATTTCTACGGCTTTTTCAATTTGTGTGGAATTTCAAAATCATGCAGAGAAATTATTGTTTGTTCATTTAAAAAGTTAATAATCAGTTTTGTTTAATACGTTCGTTGTTATTCTTGATTTGTTAGAATTTTTCCATTGCAAAATTACTTACATTGACCAATAATTAGACATACATATTGTTAAAACGAGTACACGCAAAATGGAGCAATGATTCAGACTACAAATGTTTTTCTTAATATTTAAAAACGATTTCGGATATTCGTTTGGGTTCATGTTGATTCAAATTAATTAAATAGCTAACTTGATGACGAAAAATAGTGCAACTACGTTTACAAAATCACATACTGTTTTCAAGTAGACCAATTTATACTTAGTTATTTGAAAACCGTGATTAATTTATCTCAGGTAACCTAGATGAAGATTAACAAATGGTGGACAAATCTTAACTATCAGTAATCAGCATTACCTATGAAGCGTAAAATGTTTTTATGCTTTTTTCTCATACTTGCAGTGGCTTTGCTTCACCAGTCGTTCACCTCAACAACCGTTATAATGTAAATCTTAACGGTTTTTGAAGTCAGAAGGCAAAGAGAAGCGGCTACTTCAGTTTATTAGCGGATAGAACGAACCACAAAGTCATAAGCACATCAAACGAATTTTGCGCAGAGAGGTGAATAAACATATGCGAGCAATTACATAGGCAGATTTGTAGTCAAATTGTATAAGGGAGCAGCAAGGTAAAACAAAAGCTAATGTTAGGATTTGAGTGCATACATATATATGGGGAGGAGGAGAATCATTGAACGATATTTAAGCGATCAACATTTTAGCTAGAGTCTGTCATGTGCTCTAGTATCCATAACACTACAAAGAAATATGCGAATTGTTACTATTCTAACAACATTGTCTGTTAAGTAAGTTAATAAAAGGGCCTAACCAAAATTAACCACAATCGAAATTGGTTGTAGGCCATTTGCTATATACTTTCATTTTTAGTGTAGCCTAAATGTATAAGATTAATACATGTATAAAACAGTCTACTAAGATCATATTTTGAAAGAAGATGAAATACAATGAGGAAGTAAATGGAAGGTATGTGAAAAAGAATTGTATAATGGTTCATTCAGGCGTCTTTTGGAAATGTTCAGCGAATCTTTCCCATAATAAAGAATACATATACTATATATGATACTGGTAATGAATTAATCAACCAACTAAATTCATGAACTATAAAGGTATCTTGAGGATTTGATGCATATTACCAAAGATTAGTTAATATGAATTGTAATTCCTAATAATCTAACTTCATATATTTGTTTGTTTATTAGATTATATTTCCGAACCCATAAATACTTTCTTTGAGTATACCTTGATTACATTTATTCAATTTTCACTTTATGGTTGAAATGTAATATTCGCTCCAATTCATTCATAATGGAAATTTCTAAGTAAGCAAACACTGTCTTGTCACTGTGTCTCAAACTGTCTGACATTGATGCAGTTGAAATCAAATATTTTGTCGTGTTAAACTGATATTTGATCCTAAAGCATGTCGAAGTGATGGAAAATGCAGCAGTAAGCGAAATTGGTAGCGACATAGTAGTCACTGACTACTAAAAATCAACCTAATCGCGTAAAGTAATTGAAAATCATATTCACATTACTGGTCGGAATCAACAATATCGAGGCAACTAAAGATTTATTTCAAGCATTGTAGTCAGAGGATTGGATAACTCTACAGAACTGATGAAAAATTACTTGAATTTTTAGGTTTTGACTGTGAAAAAATTAGCTATCGTCTCCAGACAATAGTCTGTTACGTCTGGAAAATTCTAGTTTTCAGTTCTACACAGTAGCATTTAGAGAGAACATTTGTATTGAACTTGTTATTTAATACCATTAAGTTTAGTAAGACTGACGACTGTTTGTGCAGTTCTGTAGTTGTAATTTTCGTCATTCCTATGAATGAAATTGTGTATCTGTTTGTTGAATTAACCAAGGCTAGAATTAAGTTCTTTCTTTATTTCTATACATTATCATTAAACTAAAAACTACATTGACGGGAACTTGATATAATAAAATGTTACTGGTCATAAGCGATGTTATTACACTACCAACTCAAAGAAATTACTAATTTTTGTTATATTCCTGATTTTTCTTTGGAACAATTTATGTGTTCTTTTGCGTTCACTGAATTTAATCCGTAATTTGTTCCCATGATAAATTCATAATTATCATTGCATCTACGTAACACCATTTATAATTAGAATGATCATTTATAAGAACAGAAATGTAAGATATTGAATTTATCAACGACTATATCAAAAGGTTGATGTATGGGGAGAATGATAATGATCGGTTGTCTTGCTGAGTTAGACATGTAGATAGTGTGACAGGTATTATATCTATTATATATTCCTTTATCCTGACTGTTATTGATGGACTGTTCTTGTTGTTGGATTGTGTCAGATTTCGGTATGGAAGTACATTGACGTTATAGTCAGGCTAATCTCGTGTCCTGTAGAATAGATACTGAGTGGGAATCTAATGTAGATATTCGTCTAAGGTTAATTAACGTCCCATATACGTGTAAAAGTGAAAGGAATGTTATAACAAGAAACCCTAGCGTTATAACAAGCATCCTACCGTTTATAACAAAGGTATAACAATATTAACACAATGAAGTGATAAAGAAAGTTGTTCTTCACGTGTTTTTATTCATTTTAACCAGAAAAACAAAATTCACTGAATATATATAAACAAATCATGTACAGAAAAAAAATCAGCGAAATAAACTTAGTTTTACTAATCTACGAACTAAAATTCATTTATAAATTATTATATTAACGAATAAAATAATAAACATTAAAGCATCAAATGCACATCACGATGAATATTATTATAATATCATAAACAAATTGAAAGCATAGATAGAATCAAACCAATTTTCGAAAGAGGAAATATTAGATATGTTTATACAAGACTGATGAACTGTAGTGAAATTCTTCGAAAGATCATTTATTTTGTGGTATATAGTCGATTATTTCAGTATTTTCCATTGTTCATCAATTAAAAACTGAGAAGAAATCTTGTAACTGATGTTAGATTGTCCTAAAGTTTACAAAACAAAATCTCATAAAATACTATTTTTAGTATTATTATGCATGAAAAGAACGAAAAAAAAGAAAGATGAATTAACTTTACTATCATTAAACAAACAACAACACTGAAATCGTATTGCTGCTTATGGATTATTGTCACATTTAGTCCAAGTAATCAGTCAAGTGTTTAGTACATTATTGAGGATAAAATTCCTTTCTTTTGAAAAAAAATTACGAAAATTTCCCGAAAAAAATATAAATAAAAAACAAATTCATGATTATGCATTGTTTGATGAAGAAAAGAATAGTTATTTGAAGTATCTAATGATATGTTATGATATTATTCGGAATATAGCAAAAAAATACTCATACTATGATTTACGACGTAAAGAGAAAAAGTTCCTGATAGAACGACGATGACCATTACTTTGAAAACTTCTAGAATGAGTTCCCACAGGAAGGGTTAAAGTATGTCCAGTTTGATGTTTGCTGAATTCAGAAACTAAGCACTTAGCTGATTCATTGATGGCTGTAACCCAACGGTTAAGAACATTATCGTTTGCAGTTTGAAATAGATATTCACTACCGTCTCCAAGACGTAATCGAAATACACATGGTCGTTTTGTGTAATCTATAGCAGGGGCAGCTCTTGATGACAGTAAGCTTAATGGTGATGTATCATGATAGTATACGTTTGGTTTTTCTCGACGACTTTGTTGATCTTTGTAAACGAATAGTTGACCTGAATCGAGAACCAGATAAAGAGGTAACCAGCTCCGACCTTGACTTTTTGAATGTAAAGAGCCCCCAGAATCCAAATCGTGCTTTCGTATAACCGGACCCTCTAGCTTTGGTAGAACTGGTTGTTCACTTTTCGATGTTTCAGGTTCTTGTGATAACCTAGTTGGCTCTTGTTCAGCACTTTCAAAAAATTTCAACTTAGTTGTTGAAGTAGGTGATTCAGTCGTTGGTAAGTCAGATTGAGAAGATCTAACTCTTAGTGAACGGCTCCGGGTAATAGGTTTGTGCTGGTGTCCATGTGGTTGATCTACAGTTTCTCTATATAAATTAAAATGAATCAGTTTATGTTAATAGCAAATAAACAAACGTTCAGAAGAAAAACATTAAGTTTGCTTTAATTAAATAAGATTATTTTACTCACAAACCAAACACAGCGTTCAATCTACCAAATTAAATGAAGTGAAAACTGTTAAAAATCAACAAGTTATATAGCTAATGGATAACACATTTGAACAAGCTACAAAATAGACAATATTTGAAAGCCATGTTTATTTTACAGATGATAGTAAACAATTGAAACGAAGTTTTATTAACTTGACTTACTCATCATAGACTGACATCGATCAGAAAATGAATAAAAACCCAGGAAGAGTATATAGGCAATCTACCTTATTTATACGATTCTTAATAGTGAGGATCTGAAACTCTACATGGGGTCGACATAGTCACATATGATATAGTTGGTATTTTTCAGAAATATATTACATCAGCAAACAAAGAATTTACATCAAAAGAGAATATCGGCTATACCATCGTATTGTTACGACATCACAAATGGTTCTTCAGTTCTGCGAATCACTTCGTAAGATTATAATTATTTACTAGGACATAATTTTATTTTTATTGTCCCAATATACAACATGCCTCTAGCAATGTTTGTTTCCTCACTAGGCTATATAAATATGGTTAAGTTTATAATGAGTTGTACTATGCAGTATAACTTCTTTATTCAATAAGAGTTTGTTTCACTACTTACCTACCGTAAAATAGTATTTAGATTGTATTTATCTATTCAAGTTCATATTTACAAGACGTTCTTATCAGAATCGTAGATCTGTTGTCGGTTGAAATATGTATTCTGATTAATAATTGCTCATAAATGTTTTTAAATGTTTGGAAGTGAGCCGTTGGACAAGAACTATAGTGCATGTAAAACCAAAACGTTTACGTATAGCTGACTTTTAACAGTTATCAGATTATTTCATAAATGTAAAAGCCTAAATCGGCAAATAACAATAGGTTTTTTGATTTAAAATTGTTATTTAAGAAGTGACATGCAATGATACAGCTGAAGATTGATAATGCTACCTAGTTTTAATGAACAGATGGCCAGAAATCAGTACTTAAGAACAAATTAAGATTAGTTTTTCTACTGCACATCATTTATAATACACCGAGTGTGAATTTAAATTTGAATGCTACAAGTAGCTGAAAACGTTTATATGAATACAAACTAAATACCTTCAGTACAAATCAAACCGCATCATTCTATTAATTTAAACAAGTTTGGATAAAACAGACAGTCGGGTGATAGATATTATTTACTCAGTTCATATATATGAATGAGCATGTAAAATTGATAAAAGTATTTCGAGTACGAACCGGGTGAACATGTTTCGAGATAGAAAGTAGATGGAAGTTGAACAGTATGGAGTTAATTTACATCACGAACGATAAAGTGTGAAGGCATATATAACACTCCAGTACTAGCCGTCCCTACGTCAGTCAGCTGAACACACTCACACATACAAATAATAGAAAAGTATCTTCTTTTATCAGATCTTGATAACAATTGTGGAAAAGAATTAAGCCTGATAACCAAATGTTAGTTTCAATGGTTCAGGAATGATCTACATAATCCAAGTAGTGAAATCAGTTACTTTCTAGAGGAACTTTAATAATAGTTAGTTTTGTGCTAAACATTTTATAAATAAGTGTCAAATTTTATGCAAGACAACTGGCTTTAGATAAAAAGAGGTTCTATCTTTGAATATCTATTTAATGAGGGTTTTACGTCACCACTTCAGTTTTCGTGATCACTCGCGCAATCCAGCTCCATACATACACAAAACGTCTTCCATTATGAAACTATGGTTTTATTAGATTGCTACTCATATATAATACATGTTAAGTTTTAGTATACATTATATTTTAATACCGAAAGGAAACAATATAAAATTCTTACAGTGAACGAGTGTTGTTATTTCCATCACTAACTTCTTCGAGATGACGATTATTTGAAGGTTTTTCAGTTTGAATTGGAATTTTCTCCGACAAACCTTCAGATTTCTGACTAATGGGTTCTGATTTATCGCTGCTAGGTAAACTTTCTTCCTTGGTTATCACGACTGATGACTCTGGTGTCTGTCTAGAATGTGATCGTCTGACTGGTTTCGGAGACATTATAGTTTCATGACGTTCAATTTTCTTTTCAGGACTCTTGTACGACTCCACAGTTTTGGGAGGTGATGTTGTCTTAACTGCTGCCACCATACCATCAGATGCTGACGGGAGTTTTGTTCGAGGTTTTGGTTGTACAACTGGTGTTTCAGTTACTTCAATTGGTTTCCTAAGAGGTTTAACAGGGGGTTGTTGAATGTAAGCAGTAGATACCAATGGAACTTTTGCTGAAGAAACACCAACTGTATGTGATGGTAAGACAGAAGTTGATTTTCTCAAAGTCTCAGTTTGTCCGACATAAGCGGGAAGAAATTCTTTGACAGCGTTACGGACTTTGTTTCTTTGTTCATTCTCTCTCATAATGACTTCTTGTGGATCCCATTGCATTGATCTTAGTTCAAGCTGAAAGTGTAAGAGAAAATAAATAAAGATTATTTCACTTTCTAGTTTGTACTTACTCTACAATTATTCTAAATTGAAGGGTAATGCGCACAATGAATATTTGGAGGTAGTTATTACAGCACACTACTTGGATCTAGTTCATTTATTGCTTTTTATAACATAATAAATAAATAAGAAAACTCAAAAAAACAAGGGCTTTCCCTGGTTTGACTAAAGCTAGATATTGCATTGATTGGGAATCCAATGATGTAAATATCTAAATAGCTACTGAATAAACTTGTGAAGTGGTTGAAATGTATGAAATGTTTGCGAAATGTCGTATCTCAGTTTTTAGTACACATGTGGATATGTGTTTACACTACATAAATTTAAAATTATATTTGGATGTATGCATATATGTGGTAAATATTCCTGGTAGATCTTCTGTATGTTTGAGTTTTATCCTACTGTACATACTTAATCATTTGGTCACTGGTTCTATTTTGTAACATCCACCTTGTTGAAATTTATGGTTTAGTTCTGAAGACAAATTATCACTTTGGGTGGTTGAGTTATTTTAGAATTTAATAAAATCAATTGAATCGACAAAGAGAACGAGCTTTTCGGTAAAAATAATATTTCGGCTAGTCTGTTTTGTTATTTCTTTATATTGTTGAACAGTAAACCTGATGAGAACTGCACAACTCAATAAAAGGGTTACTAAGTCTAAAACTAAACATAATTATCAGTTCCATGTCTACGTATCAAACTTTAAATTAAAAAACTACGTCCAAATAAAATGTAAACAGTAATCATGGGATAACCTTTTCCTCAAGAGTAGCTAACACGTTTATGAATTATCAAGATCAAAGTGCTGAAGTTATTTATAAATTTATTGAGATGTACGAGCTGATTGATTTAGAAAATTGCCTACAGGATCTTATCCCATATCTTATGTAAATAGTCAAGTAATTGAGTATGTGAATATCTAATAGCAAATTCAATCTATTATTTGTATTTAATCACAATACTATAACTATGAGATTTCAATGGACAAATGAACCATCAAGAACAAATTTAAATTAAAATCACAAAGCAACTCATAATTATTCAACATTAGTGGATAACATGGGATTTTGAAAGGAAAGATATTAAGTTCGAGTCGCTAACTTTACCAAAACGGATGACCATATGCCACTATTGATGCAATCTGCACAGAATGTACATTATACCAAAAGAGACTAATCACTTTCAGTGCTTAACATCAACAGTGAGAAGATACATACAATATTACTCACTGTAGTTAGTCTTTTTAATGCATTAAATCTCTCGTCTGCTGTTGCTAATGTTTGCTGGAATGCGTAATGAGCACCAAGCAAAGATAATGTTTCAGCCAATGTTTCACCCAATTGACGACGTGCTGATTCTAATTGTAACTCTTTACCCATTAACCATATTTCTGCACTATTCGCATCACGCGCGAATTGACGTATTTCCAATAATAAATGTAAACGATCCCAACGTTCACGCCATAATTCATTTAATAAAATACGCCCAGTTGCTAATTGTACACATCTCTCGCGAACTTCGGTTCGTGTAGCTATTAAACTTGGTTTCATAGTTCGTACCGTTGATTTCTCTTCATGAGCTGCAAATTCAGCTAATAATATCCGACCAAGATTTAAGCAATCTTCAATTCGTTGATTACGTGATTCTAATTCCACCCGTAATTGTTTATGATCTTCAATTAAATATTCAACACCAGAAATATCTCTAGAATAAAATTGATTGATAAGAAACAAAATGAAAACATAATAAACATATTAAACAAACAGCAGATATATATATCATTGAAAAAGTAACACAGTTTATATAACACTTTGTGCCTGTTTGGATTTATCGATCATAAAAAGCTTGTTTACTCTTTATCTCTATGTTGAGGATTGTGTAGTTGAAAGATCTTGATAGAAGAGTAATCCTAAAACACTGGATTATTGTATATTTAATCTATTAAATCTATTACCTTATGTGTAAGTTAGTTACAGTCAGTAAGTGTGAGTTATTAAAAACGTACTATATTCCCTTAGTTTTAAATGAAGCAAAATAGTCACCCAGACCGGTCAGTTAATTTGCAACATAGCTTCTTCATTATCATAGCACTCATTAGAAAGCAACAAAACCAGGAACATAGTTTGTATTGTATGCTTGCTTTTACGTAAACATGTTATATTCACCAGGTGAAAAATCCATTAATTCACAGAAAAAATGTTTTTCAACAAGTCTATTTTTTCAAAGCTGTACTAAGAATTCATGTAAATATCTTTCATAAATTCTAACACCTTACATAAGGTGTATCTCAGCTAGTTTGTTTATATAGAGAATCTAGGTTTAAAAGTGATAGCATTGTTTTAAGTAGTGATAGGAAGAAAAATTTATGAAATTAAGAAATATATAATCAACTTAATAAATGGAGTTAATGTGAATGTCATTAATGGAAAGGTTGAAATAAAAACACACAATATGAATAATAACCAAGAATTTTAAGTAGAATCATTAATAATAATCATAATAATAAAATAGGAGAACGATCTAAAAAGTTGTTTCTGTTTACGTCAATGATACCTATCCTCAGAAGATCAGGTTTATTAGTATGCATATATTGAGTTAATCAGTATTTGGAACTTGACTTTTATTCAGAGCGGCGTAAACCAACGACCATGATACTGTGAAAGAACAGTCGGTGAATCAGGCAAATGTTGAATTAGTCTCTCTAGATAGCTTCTAAGTATATCACTAACAAAATCACCTTTGAAATCAAGGTTCATGTATAGAATTTTTTAGACTGTGATGATTGTTCATATTTTAGATTTCCAAAAAAGAAATTTAACGAATATCGAAAGGATGTCCGAACATCTATTTTATTTTCTAACCAGCCCAATAAACGCATTTTTGGGAACAAACAATAAGTATTGAATAAAGTAAGCTACATTGCTAAGACATATTTCGAAAAAAAAGACTGAACATGCTTCCTAAACTAGCCTGTTACTAAAGAAGATAATGTTACGGAGAATTATGCATACTGTTATGTCCGTACGAAGAATAGGGGAATAGTAATCGCCAAGATTCATTTGTGGATTAGTGTTACATATTTTCTGATTTTATAACCACTGTATAACTAACTATATTATATGCATATTCATATTCCTTTCATTATGAGCTTCTATTTGACCTATTGACTATTATCATACGATTTACTATTCTTAAGATTTTCCCAATTTGTAGTAACAGTCTCTCACAATAAATCACTTTTTGGCTTGATCATGTATAATTTCTACAAATTATACATGATCAAGCCACACGAACAAATGCAGATGAAGACAGCAAATGTAGCATCAGCCTCTGCATCGATAGGCTTCCACATTCACAAAGGAAAAAGCAAGATTCTCAAATGCAACACGGAGAACACCAATCCAATTACACTTGATCGCGAAACTCTGGAAGAGGTGGGAACATTCACGTACCTGGGGAGCATCGTTGATAAACAAGGAGGATCGGATGCAAATGTAAAGGCGAGGATTGGCAAAGCAAGGGCAGCATTTCTACAATTGAAGAATATATGGAACTCAAAACAACTCTCAACTAATTTCAAAGTCAGAATCTTTAATACGAACGTCAAGACAGTCCTACTGTACGGAGCTGAAACGTGGAGAACTACTACGACCATCATCAGGAAGGTACAAGTATTTATAAACAGTTGTCTACGCAAAATACTCAACATCCATTGGCCGGATACTATCAGCAACAGCGTTTTATGGGAGAGGACAAACCAGCTTCCAGCTGAAGAGGAAATTAGGAAAAGACGTTGAAAGTGGATCGAACATACACTAAGGAAATCACCAATGTGCATCACGACTCAATCCCTAACTTGGAATCCGGAAGGGAAGCGGAAAAGAGGAAGGCCAAAGAACATATTACGCCGGTTAATTGAAGCAGATATGAAAAGGATGAACAGCAACTGGAAAGAACTGGAAAGAAAGGCCCAGGACAGAGTTGGATGGAGAATGCTGGTGAGCGGCCTATGCTTCTCGACTAGGGATAACGGGCGTAAGTAAGTAGGTAATGTATAATTTCTATTTTATACTTTATGGTATGATGAGGGTCAGGTTTATTTGCATATAAACCCTGTATGTCTGATATATATTATTCGTATTGCGGAGGCTGATATTAGCGTTCTGGACTGAACCAGCTGAGTTAGGAGAGAAGCTGCTATTTCAAAGGATCAATAAAAATTCTAGGCTGTTTTATCAGTCATTAGCCTGGTCACATAAGCCAGTGTCTAATTGGCGACCGCATCACCTAATAATTAATAGGCTATAAGAACATAACACACATACTAATTGCATCTTCTGCAATGATGTGCATAAAATCCTAAAATATATTAGAAACTAATAATAAAAAGTTAAAACTAACCTTGGTCTTTCTTTATGTTCCATTATATCTTTGGCATGTTCTAACCATGAAATTAATTCACGAGCATTGACTAGAAAGTCATATAATCGACTAGCTTCTTTTAATAGATCACGTCTTATCTCAATAACTTTTAATAAACGTTTCCATATTGTTTGCACGCGTTCATGATGTGCTTGTAATTGTTCCGCTTGTATACCAGCATAACGTGGTAGTAATCGTTTAGCTGTTAAATCCAATTGTTTCAATTGATCACCAAAACATAAAACTTCTTGTTCCAATAAATTATGACTACGTTGTAAACCAGGTAAACCTTGTTTTCGTCCAGATGCTAAAGAATCAGATGGTGCTTCAGGTAGATTATCAAGACGATAACAAATTCTTTCTTCGAAATCCTATGATATTTACACAACAAAATGGAAACAATATTAAAAAATACATAATCTTATTAATAGTCAGCTGAATTTAAAATAGGATTTACCAAAAAATTTAAACAGTCAACAGAAGAGAAATCGTTGAAGAATATTGCACGCTTGAGTAGAATAAGAAATTTGTAGAAAAAAAAGAAAATAATTACATATTAGGGAAGAATTAAAATACATAAATTATATTGAGTAGAATAATGCTTGAGAAGTGAGTTACCCATAATGAATAAAAATTTCCTCTGGTATCAAATAACTTCTTATTGTTCTGGGTTTATGTGGACATCTGATCGCTTTTGTTAAGTGATTAGTAATATAACCGAGTGATTATTTCTGGTTTAGTAACATTAGTTAGTAGTTTTAATTCATTTTGTATTGTTTGTTCGAATCTTCTCATTGTTTAGGACTACAAATGATCAGTCTCTTATTAGCATATGTGCATACTGTGCGGATTGCCTCGATATAGCATTAATTCACAAGCATTACAAGCAAAGATGGAGGATGGTTAATAGTTGGATCCAAGATGCGCGTTTCACCCTTATTTCGGACTCGTCAGTTGAATGTACCTGAATCTCAGAGTTGAAGTTCACTTCGGAACTGGAATCCAGTACCGTCCGTTGCAAACGCCATCGAGTTATCCACTTAGCTACTGAATATGATACCTACTAGCTTGTACCAACAAGAGACTGATAAAGTGCAGTCTTAAATATCAACGGGCAGATTCAAACAAACAATACAAAATGAATTAAAACTTCATTCCATTACAGAAACTAATGTCTATCACGATTCAGTAGCTAAGTGGATTATGCGATGGCGTTTGCAACGGACGGTAGTGGATTCGAGTTCCGGAGTGAACATCAACTCTGGGATGCAGGTACATCCAGCTGACGAGTCCAAAATAGTACTTGATGCGTTTACTGAATCTCACTGCTAGCCGCCATCCATCTTTGATTATTAGTTAGTAGTATGAAATTCTGCTCTAAAAACCGAAAGATTTGATACTACGCCCACGCACGAAATTATTGTTAGTTGTGGTAAAACAATGTATGATGGAAGATGGTTTTGATTTCGTTTTCACATAATTTGTGGAATCATTGAATACCAGATATCATTGAACATAGTGTTACAGGTGTTTTAATAAAGCGAATCCATTGCTCTATAAGCAAAAGAAACTGGACCTTTAAGTATTTAGATAAGTACACATACAAAATAGGGATAAAGTGATTACAGTTACGATGGTTTGTCAATTTGCAATATGGTTTGACCATCATATTTCATCAGTGATTAAGCGCTACATTAAAAACTCTTTTGATTACATAACCAAGAGTTTCTACTGTAATCATAAAAAATCTTTTTTTTGAAGCAAATTCCTAGTGATGTGAAGATTAATCCTAGTATAGCTAGCCAGTTAAGGCAGTCGGCGTTTAATCAGTAGGTCGCAGGTTTGAGCGTTGCTCCACCTACCTAGATGTGATCGGCTGAATAGTATCAGAAGCGCTTGCATAAAACATGTATGACTTCACGTCCAGCATGTTCACCGAAGACTTGTAAATGAATTACACTATTATGAAAGAGTATGTTTTGAATCTCATGGTTTTAGGTGATAACTAATCGAATTCAATCTAAAATAGGAACAATTTCGTGTTTAACTACAATAGATCTGAAAGTTTTGCGTTCAATCAATAGTAAGATTGGGTTAACCAACTACTTGGAGGTTATAACGCTTGAATGAATTAAGTTTCTATCATTTCATTATAATCGATGGTCCACAAGTTGCTCAAAAAGTAGAAAAAACTCATGTCGACTGAACAAACCCTCCACGACCTTAGATCTATGTAAGGCATACTTGAGTAGTAAAAGAAGCTACGATTTTTCGAATGTGACCTTAATTTTGCTGTAAGTGGCCAATCATAATCAAGCAAAACAGTCAACGCCCTTAGAATGTTTATCCCATCATAAACAATTTTGAAAGAGTCTATGAATCTTATACCATTGAATAAAAAATGAGTCATTAAAACGCCCATTTCTGTATATATTCTCAGCATAAGTTACAAACAAGCTAGGGGCACACCCAATATAGTTACACTGACATTTTATCATAAGTCATATATAATGTAAATTTTGAGAAATGTTACAACCAATGTAATCATGATTGTTTTCACCATGTGCATTCTAAAACAGCAAAAAACGAAAATCAGTTGACTTATTAACTGAATTTACATTAAATGTTTTTAACGATAATAATTTAGGGCACAAAATGTGTACATACTACATATTTATCTACTCATAGCACTGTATAGGATATTAAAATGATTACGTTTTGTAGAAATAGGCAAGTGATTTCTAGTGACACTTTTTCACTTATGTTGTTAATTCCTTCCAGCGAGAAAGAGATGAAAAATAGAACTTTATTGATTGGTAATGTTTAAGAACTATAAATGTAAGCGAACAATTGTTTTCAATTAGATCGTCATCAGGCTTTACTCTAATATACATGAATATTTATACGAAAATATTAGACCAATCAAGGCTATTTGAGTCAATAATCACAATGATATAGAATACGTCACCGAACATAATAGGTAAAACTACAAGTTGATAGTGGGAAGACAGGTGTACTGATAGCAATAAAAATATTAAATAGCCTTGATTGGTCTAACATTTTCGTATAAATATTCATGTGTTAGAGTAAAGCCTGATGACGATCTAAATGAAAACGCCGTGAATAAGAAGCTAAGGTATCTTACCTATAATAAAACAAACCAATTTACTTGTTGAAAGCATTTATTCTTGTTAAGTTAGATAGTCTGCACTTATGAAGTTTCAGACTAGAACGCAGAAGGTGTGCAGTGCATCTTGGTTTCTAATTGTTATTGATGGCGTCGTTTCGTGCTGAATACTATTTTCACAGTGAATTTATCTCTATAAACAATAGTTACGTTTTGGTAATTCACTCGCTGTGAGTCTGATGGAGTTAAACTTTATCGGGAGTGAGACAATTACCCACCAGTGATATACTGTGCTAAATCTGAGAATACAATTGACTTTATATTGAAATCTGTTTATGTAAAAACAATTTGAATAAATTATAGATGTCTATTTTTGCAAATTGGGTCATGATCACAGTTTGAAACTCATAGCACTACGTTGGAAGCAATTTAGGAACGAAGATAACCATTCACTGACAACACTTGTTATTTTTTGACTAAACATTACCATGGTTTGTGCTTCGTTACATATTTTGAATTCGAATTCACATCTGGTCAACGTTAAATTCTCAGTCATAAAATAATACTTAAATAACTCTGAGTTTTACTAGTTAGACAAATGCTCATCAATTAACGCAATTTCAAAGAACACTAAATAACTGAATAAAAGCATTTGTTATGATTTCTACGCTATTCTTTGGTTCATATTTAAAAGGAACTTTTGATATCCAACTCCTAAATTTGATAATTTACAAATTTCGTCATAAATTGGCCTATTGAATGTAGCACTAAATGCTTTGTTCAGTTACAATGATCAATGTTATTTCTGTTGCTAACTCAATGCCATCAAATTACAATCCACATTTCATACTTCCAAATTTACAATATCAAAATTTACGTCGTTTGCATTTTTTCTCTTGATAACATATGTTTAAGTCGGATTAATTATAGTCTTGCCATTCCTGCATAGAGTCAAATGTGATTTATACTGCATTTAAGTTCTAAATATGATTCGGACAACTTTTTAATTGCGCCTAGATTTTCAATGGTTTTCCAAATGATATCGGTTTGTTATTTTATCTGTCATTATCAGATAATCTTCCTTAGATTATAATAGGTACGTCTTGTTTGCTACAACAAATCTATTATAGAATACAATTACTAGATACAATACAAATAGTAACAGTATGTAAAACAGTGTGATAATACGTTTAAAAATAACTTACTCTACAATCATTAACAAATCGATGCATATTCAAGGCAGCTTTTAATAATTGTTTTCTCGTTTCGATTAATTCCAATAATTCAGCCCAAATTTCATTGATATTATCTTTAATTGATGCAATTATCACGGAATCTGATTTGCCTAATGCAATTAAACGCACACATTTAGTTGATAAATCTGAGACAAGTTGTGAACCTGTTTGTACAGTTTCTTTATTGAATATCATGAATTTATCTCGTAAATTACAACAGTGATCTAAATCAACACCAAGGTCATTATTAGTAGCCAGTGCAACACGTTTATTAATCCATGTCTAAACATTGGGTAATTTGATAAACAGTTCAATAAATTAAAATTATTATCAGTTATCTGTTTTGTACTTCCAAAAAATAATAAAAGTACATACAGAAATTATTTCGAATAAACAATGCGAAAACGAAAATCCATAGACGTACATTAATTGAGTTTTACCTAAAATATTCCTAGAATACCTCTCAAATCCAAAACAAAATGTTCAAAACTTGGACTTCTGCTGAATTTGTTCTTTCAAATAAGATGTCTTACATTGATTCAGTATACAATAATGTAAGCAGCATATGTATATAACATTAACACTATTAGTCTGATGCATTTTACATGGTTTTTATAAATGTATGTAATTGAATTCGATTGAAACCAATGATTAAATAATGGGTGAGAAATGTGACCATTAAAAACAAATGAAATTACTAGTATCCGACCATAAGTGCCTTCAAAGCATTGTTTGTGTAAGCTGTGACCATCCAGTTGGCGTTACTAAGATTAGTCATTATGTACTAAGTGCCGATCTGTTGAAAGGGTTATGATTTTTCATCAACTGAGATAATTGGAATATATATTGAGCATGCCTGACAACCACCTACATCAACTAGCGTTACTAGTTGATGTAGTAGGATGACGGAAGAGAACAAGTGTCGTTCAAACTAAAACATGACATCAGTTCATGAGGTATTCAACAACTGGACTGAGCCATGTAGGTTGTTCCAGACTACCTGGTTGATGCCGGTTGTTATTACATAACCAGCTGGTGGAGACATTTTATGACATGCACAGTCACAATGGCTTAGTTACATTCACTATTTATCGTACGTTAGATGCAGAATCGCCAGTCTCCCATCACTTTGTTTCTTTGCTCCATACCTACTACTATCTCCCGATATCAGTATTGTTACTACTCGTAATACTAAGGATTTAGTCTTGATAATTTTATGTGCCTATGCTAATGTAGTTTGATAACTTGAAACAATATACATATTTGTCAGGTTTTATATTCTACATGACTGACTGATTTGATTGACGTCAAATATTATCAAGAAATATATTTGAGAAAATAGTTTCTGTCACACAACAGCCGAAATTAATGATTCAGACAACATAATTGTTCGGCTACATTTTAAAAAAGGTAATATTTTTCAGGGGATGAACACCTATTTTGAATGTGACTAATTTATAAATATTTCAAACAAACGTTACTTCGTTCTAATGATGGTAAGAGTCAAAACTGACTCATGATTTCAACTATGAAAATACTGAATTCTCCACAAAACCCCTTATGATCTATAATCATATGCTCACTAGTGACTGACTTCAAGAGATATTTCCTTGAGTTCTAGTGAGAAGCAGTGACCAGTGGAGTTCTACCAAATCTGTTGTAGAGATATCAACTCACTGAAGACAATTGGTGAACGGTTGCTAAAAATCGTAGGTTGGTTGAAGTTAGACATTAACACCGTTGGATGCCGGCTCAGTGGTCTGTCGGTTAAGTGCTCTGGCGCGAGACTGGTAGGTCCTGGGTTCTAATCTTGCGAGTAAGCGATCGTGAATGCGCACTGCTGAGGAGTCCCATAATAAGACGAAACGGCCAACCAGTGCTTCCAGGTTTTCCATGATGGTCTAGCTTCAATTGACTCATGATTTCAACTATGAAAATAATAAATTCTCCACAAAACCCCTTCTGATCTAAAAACTGAATTTCACTAAATGATGAATTTGTTCACATAAATGATATACAACATATTTCTAACTAACCTCCAATTCATCAGCTTCCCGAGTTAAACTATATTTAATAGCATTTGCCTCTAACATTGCAGCTACATTATTGACAATACCTTGAAGATTTTTATATGAATGACTAATACGATTCAAACATGTTGGAATTAATTTCAAGTAAAATTGTGATTCTTGTAAAATATTTGTATCAGGATATTTTGTTTGTTGAATCTTTAATTGTTGACAAAGTATTTGACCTTGTTCATTGTGATTTTTAACACGTTCATGCCATTGTTCAATTGTTTGTGATCGAATTTGATGCTTTTTCAAATTATTTAATGCACTTTGCTCATTCTAGTAAAATGGTTGAAGAAAAATAGGCAAACAAATAATAAATGGTAATTTCCTAAGAACCATAAACAACAATAGTAACATTGGTTGTGTTTTAACTAGTTTCTAACTTAATAATGTTTTATAGAACTAGGGATTTACGTAAATTTTGGAAATTAGATGAAATTCAGTAAATTTTCAAGGGATGCAATGGAGAGGAACCATAACAATTGTAAATTAAATATTCATGCAGATGGAGATATGTACATAATGTGCAACATAAAAGAAAGATCTATCATATACGGGAACAGAGAACAAAAGCCTTAATGCAAGGGATTATAGCAAATATGGTTGAACAGTTCAGTTCATATGCATATAATTTATTTTAGGGATATCGAAAATTCTGATAGCATTAGCCTCTGCTTTACATAAGTTTTTCATTTGGATTTCTATTGAGTTGACTAATCTCACTGTATGTAAGATTTAATAGGAGGCTTATGGTGAAGCGAAATGGTCGGAATCGAGTAGATTCTCAAAGATTGAGCTTTTTACTGACTTCTATAATCCTTTGGAAAGCCAGGCAGAGTAATGTTCGAAGATTCGTTTTGAAAGAGCTTGTTTTGCGCGGCCAATATACTGATACATCATTTTATTATGCTTATAGACCTGCATTTATTTATGGATAAACTGTTATACAATTGCTGTGTAACCATGAGATATTCCTTTATTTTTGTCTACATCAGTAAACATGATTTTATATGAATTTATGGTCATGTTAGCATCGTAATTTAATCTTCAATTCTTAAAGGTTTGATAATCAAAAAGTTTGAAACCGAAAATAAAACTAATAAGTAAAACTGACTTTACAATTTCATGTCATTTTACCATGTTTTTACTTTTCAGTAAATTGATGAAACTACTCAGAAGAATGTGTAGTTTTATACTAGTATATAACTCGTAAATTCTCTATTGGATAAGATTTGCAATTTTTTTGATTTAAATGTTCCATAAAAAAAGGATTATCCACATCATAGGAGATTTATTAATAAATAGACAATATAAAGTTGGTGTTACATTAGCCTTTCTAGGTATTTCTAATTGAGGTACATTACCACTCAATTAGAAAAAAACAGTTTTACTTTAAAATTTTAATAAGACCCAAAAGAGAATTATTAAATTTTAGTTATCTTTAAATACTTTTCCTTTTGATAGTCTAAACTTACAAAAATGAACACATTCGACAAGAATATCGCTAGGTTATTCAAGTCTTGAACAGTATAAGAGTAACATCGCTAACTGTAATAACGTGTGGTATAATTTTTAATCTAACGAGTAGTATCGATCAAGCTTTTGATTATTTTGTTCTTATGAGTCGAAACAATATATCAAGGTCAATAGTTGCCTCTATAGTTTTTTATAGTTATTCGCCTCGACTATCTAACATCGAAGAAAGCTACAAATGATACCTTGAATAATTTATTCAACATTTCACATAGTAACATTAGTAACGCTAATGATGTGTGTTTCGGAAACTAATATTCAAAAAGAGAGAAAAACAAATTAACCTTTGGTATTTCTATTCCATGTAAATAAAAATCTTCTTCAGATATCCATGATTCCAATTCACTAGCATCTAATAAAAATTGATAAACTGATTCAGACATTGTTATTCGCCCAAGTAGACAAGTTAAATTTCTATCTAATTTATTCCATAATTCTAAAAGTTCTCGTGTAAGACGTTGAAATCGTTGTTGTTGTATTTTATCGGTGGTTTTTGCTTCTTCTATGCAATATTCATTTTCAATGTCCTAATAAATGAACAGAAAAAAAGAAAACATAGTTGAATTGTTTTGGTGAAATTTGGAATAAAACAGGTAAACATTTTTTGAAATATAACATTTCTTTACTGGGATTTCTACTTCAATAAATGATGGTGTCATTTGTAATATATTTCCAAATGTATTCAACTTAATAATCATAAAAGACAATGCGAATATTTATTAACCATCATGATATTTCTTTTCTTTTTTCCCCTTTCCAATTACTCTTGCGAATCATTCCTATTGATTATTCGATCATAGAGGAACATTTAATTAAATTGCAGTAATACGACTACTACTCATTATCTTTGAATAAAGCAACGGCAATAATTCACATAGAATCCTATGACTTCACGGTATTTTGTGGATTTTTGTCAGCTGACTAAATTATAAGTCAAATTCAAAAAAAGTATTATATTCAGAATTTTGTTAATCTATTTGTGATGTTATATTATTTGAGGAATACGTATGCATTAACTGCAATTGCTCAGCTCTTCAAACTTACCTAACTTCTTTAAAACCGTTAATCAAAAGTATACTGTTAACCATTTGTTTGTTCTCGATAATAACTGCCTTGTTCTGATATCTTTTCATATACTTTTCAAATGATTATATATATATATATCATTTTATATAAATGACCAAATACATTAGTTGGTCGGTCTTCAAATGGATTCATTTATATTTCACAACAGTAAATTTAGTAAAACACTTGAAGTGAAATACGGACATTAAAATCTAGTGTTTAATTCGTCATTTCCATTTAAGCTTGGTATAGATTATTTATTTTCTGAATTTAAACTAGCAGGTCAGTCCTTCATTGATATCATCATTAGTTTAAATATTTTTTTTGTATCTATTGTATGTCCCTAATATATACTGATTTCGCACCGCTATTCAGATTATCATATAACGCCATACATTCTTATCTTTATTTATAGTTAATTATATCATTATTATACATCTGATAAATAATTATACATGTTTATTGTGATTAATTTTCATGAAACATATTAGCTAAACTTTTGTGTACAAACAAATGAAACTACTATGAGAATAGAAAAATGGAAGACTTTCTTTTACAAACAAGCTGATTTTTTGTAACTTAAGTTAACTCCTGACAAAACCACATTTATAAAGTTTTACTGGATGTTTTTTTTCAAAAAAAGTTCAATGATTAATGTTATATCCTAGTGAAGAAATAAGTACGGGTAACTTCCGAGACCTATTAATTAGAGATTATTCTATGTATATTCTCGTTTTTAACTGTTGAGTACCTAGATTGTGTATGTCTATATTCATCTTATTATAAGCTTCATTTTGATCCATGAATTATTATTATACGAATTACTGTCCCTAAATTATATTCCGTTTATTGATTATTGTCTCCCACGTTCACAGCCACATTTGGCTTGATCTTGTACAAATATTATTTTCTATTTTATGGTGTGATATGGTCTGTCTGTCTAGTATATAAACCAAGTATGCTTGAAATAAATGATTCGCGTAGATTCGTATAGCAGAAGCTGAAACTGGTGTTCTGGACTCAATTGTAAGGGCTAGGTGGACAAAGGATCAAAAAAGACGCTAGACTACTCATACTGGTCGAACGTCATTGATTTGTCACAGTGTTAAAATCGGAAAAGTCGTATTTCGGTTGGTGGATAAATCACGTGATAAAAGTTGGACATAAAAATCAATAACGAACTAGCATACGTCCTATATTTTTTATAAAGTCATAACAATTTGTGTGTAATATTTAAAGTGAAAGTGTGAATAGAAAGGAGTTCAATGTATTTTGAAATGTTTATTGCTGTTATGAGTTGATCAATTGTTACGAGGTTGATACGAAACTTTTGACTAGTACAAATATCCTCGGAAACAATTACTGTAAATCACAATATCTATATTTCATCCCTTAAACTCTATGTTTCATAAAGAGATGACCATTTATTGTTAAAATTAATGAAAATAAAATAGAAATGTAATGATTATGCATTACAGTTTAGTTAGTTTTCAATGAAGTATTTTCAATCCAAATACATAATATATTAGAACCAGTTTAAAATGGTTGAATAATTTTAAAGTAATGAGCATTTCCTACCGAAGTTATTTCATTACCAGTAATATCCAATCATAGTGGACAAAAAATTTCTTTTACAAAAAACAAAACTATTCAGTCATTTAAAACTATGCATTACGTAAGTATTATAGTGACTATGATCATTGATAATAATAGTATGTAAATAATCAATGTCAATATTTATGGAAAATCCTATTAGTGAATAGTTACAAAATAACCTTTTCAAAAACAGTAACCGTAGAAAAGATCTCGAAATCTCGTGGCGGGGGTGTTGTTTACGAAATTGAGAGGACGAAAAGCGAATGTCCGGCGCTCTAACCGGGTTGGTGAACACGGAAAGTTCACCTAGGGGAGTTGGAAAACCCTGATTCCAAACCAATGGTGCACATGGGCTCCAGTATCATGAAGGAACAAATGGCGTTTGCATCAATCGTTGGTCACCGGCTACCATGGGACTGCATCTCCTTACGATGCTCCACTGCCTTGTGGATCAGATCTTTAGGTCAAAAGCTCCGGGTGTGGCTTCCTAAGAAAACCATCTGCTTCGGTTTGAGCACCTGGGCAGTATCACAGCCCTCACACAAATCAAATGAGATTTTTGTGGCGCATATGCATCTGGTGCCTCTTTGTACCAATATTTATGTGTTCAAATAAAATAAAAATAAATGTTGAAATCTAATTAAACACTTGTGTGTAGTTTATTGCCAGCTTTTGATCAATATAAGGTTTCTTGATGTTAATTTTATTGATCTAGAATAATATTGTATGTGAACCAAAGAATACTACATGTAAAAGAAACTTCGAAAAGTAACAGTGTTAGTTACTTGCTTCAGATTAATCATGAATACATTTAATAAATTAGAAAAGGACAGATTTATGATTTTTCATACGTTTTCCTGTTCTTATGATATAATGTATCAAGTATTAGTACAGATAGAACTAACTGAATAAAACAGTTTTGTATGACACTTGTAAATGTTTCAGTAGACAAGTAATATTCACATCAATTTCCATGTTGTTTAGATTGTTATATAGTAAAACTTAAAGCTAATTAGTTTAATATAATAAAGCGATACAGTAATAACAAATTATTTATTTATTTAAACACATATATATTGGTACAAAAGGGCACCAGGTACATATGCGCCACACAAAATAATGAAAGTAGGAAGAGAAGGGATGAAAAGATAAGGCGGACTGAAATGTACAACCAGAAGACTCTTTCAGTTAAGAAAGTTAGAACCACTCTTTATGTAGAAAGTAAAAGAAGGTTACAGCAGGATCGCCATTGGCTTCTATTCTGAGCCATATCTGATAACGTCTCTAGCTACTGTGTTGCACCATCTCTCGGACCCCAGCCAGGGAGTCGTGAAGGACTAACAGAAGCTAGCCCTTTGCAGCTTTCTTTCATGCCACGACACCATGTCATACACTGACCTCCTCTCCGCTTTTTCCAACCAGTCCCAGAGTCGGCAAATAATGCACGACGTGAAAGTCTCTGGGACGACATTCGTAAAACATGTCCAAGCCACCGAAGTCGGTGTTTCAAGACGGTGACACCTATTGAATTATCGTCTCTGCGCCCGAACACACGATGCCGAACCTCTGCATTACTAACATGGTGTTGCCACTGTATGTCAGCAATCCTTCAGAGACAACGATGATCGAACACAGAGAGACGTCTGACATCCTCAACTCGGAGAGGCCAGGTTTCACAAGCATAGAGCAAAACTGCTGTCACCGACGCGTTGTAGATCCGACCTTTTACAGCCACACTAACATCACGAAGGCGCCAAAGATGGCCCAGATTGGCATAAGCCGCTCTGGCTTTCATTATACGTCACCACCAGCACTTATATAGCTACCTAGATACACGAACTTCTCAACTACTTCAATCTGCTCACCATCAAGGGTGAGTACAGGATGTGAATCCTGCCAGTCTTGTAGGAGTACTTTGCACTTGGAGGGTGCAAAGCACATGCCGTACCTGCGGACACTGATTGCCAACTGATTAAGTGCTGATTGCATGCCTTGGGCATTATCGCACAGTAAGACAATATCATCCGCATAACAAATAAACTATACAGGAAATTTAAATTCACTTAGTATTGCTTGTTTGAATCTTTATTGATGTTTAGGACTGCAACTGGTCAGTCTCTTATTGACATACGTGCATGCTGTGCGTATTGCCTCGATATAGCCTTATTTTACAAGCATTATAAACAAAGATGGCACGAAACGCGCGTCCTGGATTCCACTGCTAGCCATTATCCATGTTTGCCTACTACACGGGAAGTTATTTGTTACAATGAAAAATCGTGACAAAATGTTGTTTTTTTTAATTTATAAATTTTCTTGTATGGTACATTTATATTCATTGTAAGTATGATCGTTCTTTCTTCTCAGAACAAAATATTACCTCCTCTATTAGGTAAGATAAAAGATATATAATTAAACTTACTTTACATAAAGCTATAACCCTAGGTCTACGATTATTAGCTTCAAGAATATGACTTTTAAGTTGTCTTTCCAATCTATGTATAACCATTAATCTTTGACCAATTTGATAAGCATTTTGTGGATCAAGTTCTAGTGTTTTAGATAAATTTTCAACTTGTTGTGATTTTTCTCTGATCCATGCACCTTCTACAGTCAATTCTACAATACGTTGAGTGGATGTTTCCATATGTTGTAAATTCATTAATTTTTGATTGAGTGGTTCGTCTAACGCTAAAAGTTTACGCTCAAGATCATTGACAATCGGTGCAAATTCTTTACTTTCACTAAAATTAGGATCACCGACTTGACTCTAAAACAATTTAACAAGTGAAACAAAAAATATATAAATCATTTAAAAATAATTTAACGACTATGACAGCTAAACCATTAATAGCTGTTTGCTTTGAATGAAACTTAGGCTAGCCATTTGTTTGTTGAATATTAATGAATTTCTTTGTGTTTAACCGAAATAAAACATTTTTCCACCTTAAATTAGTCACCCGAAATTTCACGGTTGATAAGTAGACGTGATATTTGACTTTGCAGATGTACAATGGAAACTGCGTGATCTCTGTTACTTAAGTAAAAAAATGTGTTGTTTGATAATTCTTAGCCACAACGACCCAAACTGTCATTATATTTATGACCCAAGATCAATCTGCCTCACAGTCAACATGATCTTTTCAGATCATTAAGTCCCAATCCACTGTTCTATATTTATTATTCCAGTTTTCGCGATATACGGTGACGATTATTTAATCCGACCACTGACAACTATTTCACATGAGATCTAATTAAAATTCCTGTAGTTCTCCAGGAATTTATCTAATATCGATTCAATGTTAATAACTATATGGTCACTAGTTAATTGAATAGCTAGTGTAGCTTAATTCGAACAGAATATAGTTATTGAGATATATAATAAAAAAGGTTGGTTCAATATTATAGTCATGACTATCTTTTTTTTTTAAAAAAGTACATTTGATAGCTTTGAAAATGAATTCGCCGAAAACAGAACTCTCCACTGAGCCAATCTTTTTTATTTTATTGCTTAATTCAATCTGAATACGATTTTCATGACAAACTAACATTAAGTGAATAATAATTAAAAACCATAGAGTACTGAACAGATATTTCATTCCGCTTTTTCAAAATTCTATTAATAAATGGCTATAAGTGAAAATTTACAAACGTATAAAGTTACGCATTTTTTTCGTAACCAACATGTTTTTGTTTTATGGCACCACACATTACCAATGGATACAATAATAATGCATCTACACGCTAATACCCAGGAATATATATAAGGAAGAGTTCATTCATGTTACTTAGTAAAATATAATTTGATGTATGAAATATTTATTTAATAAGCTTAATTGATAAACAAACCAATTCTATGACTTTTAGAATCCCCTATTAAACATCCATTTACGTGTGAATAAGTAAACAATGATTTATGATTCATGTTGTTTAGAATGAAAAAAATAATACACATCAATTTAAATGAGAATTATTCAACCTTTACAAATTTTGTTTCACTTTATTCTATTCACCTTTAAAACATTTATAACAGCTTTTCGATCCATATAATCTTTAATATGTTTATTATGTTCTTTTATTTGTGTTTGTAATGTTGTCATATCAACTTGATCAACTGGTAATTTACTATCTGGTTTCTCTAATTGAACATTCATTAAATTAAGCCATGTAGCAGTTTTATGAATTGCCTCTTTCATTAACTTTTCTACATTGACACATGAATAGTGAAGACAAAATAATGGCACAATTAATTAATTATTAATTCGAAGAGAAATGATTAAAAATTAATCATTTAGCGAATAAAAAAAGATACATTTTCAGGTCAATCACAATGATTAATTTGTTTCTCAGAAATACAACAAGATACTTTCTTAATGTAGCAACAATTGGTAAATGACGATAAATTGTTTCTATAAACGATAGATCCAATAGTTGTCGAATAGTTAAAACTGACTTCTATTTGCGTTGGTGAGATTATTAAGAACAAAAGTAAACAATTCTTGAAAGAGAATCCAATACAAACAAAGGCATATGACTTCATGTAACATGACTAGAGGCTGTTACCGAGGAGCACTGGACCAAAGTTTGATTTAAAGAATACTCAAACAACGTTAGTTACTGACAATATTTCTGTTCATGATAACAGATTATGCACGTTCGAATCCTAAGGAGATCATATGTGTAAGTCGTGAGTTTCGACTAGCGCGGAACCTATTTCTGAAGCTATTTGCTTACGACTTCTTATAAACGACCCATTGAACAAGATGAATTGTGATATCAAGTCACTCAAGCTAACAAACATATTGTAAATCGCTCGATGTAATTTGACTAGCAATAATGTTAAGACAACATAAAACCATCTACTACTTGGTGATAATTTAGTTTAAAAACACGTTGAAATTATTACCAAACCCTCCTTTTCACTGTTTAGGGTCGTTGGTCAGCATTTCCCCTCGTACACCTCTTGTAAGGAACAAACAGCGATTTCATTGACATCCATGAACCAAATATATGAAGCAATAAGAAAACACTGTGTGAACTAAACTAATAGGAAAAAGTTTGGAGATGATAATAAACGCTACGTAATCAATGTTCAAGTCATGTTTTTTGCAGATTTCAAGTATCAACACGCTAGCTACATAGTAAACGAGAATTTATCGCAACACTGTAAATCGAAGTTGCAAATTTTTTACTGTGATCAAACATATTATGATACATTAAGTGTTTATTATTATTACATTTTTGATTTTAATCATGTTTCTATTGCTTGTACGTTACATTTGTCTAACCTAAGTGTTAATCTAAACATTTCATTAGACTTGCGACTTGGTCAACTAATCAATACCTATCAGTTATTTTAAGGTAGAAAATCTCAAGAAACCGCATTATACTTACAATTCTAGATATATAATCTCCATTTTGAAAATATCTCGAATTTGGTTGGTCATTATCATCACTAATTTGTAACTCAATAATCTGAAACTTGATGATGTTTGGAAACGTACAACGTCCATAGATAGACTTATTTTACAATTTACATTTATTTCTCACTTATTTGGAACAGTGCATATACAACTTGCACATCGTTTTATATACATAGTGGATTAAATTTCACACACTATATCCATTTAAAAAATCTGGGTACCGGGAAATATTAAAATACATCGATTATTTGAAAGTGGACTCAATAGCTGAATGATATCATGACGGCCTAAGAACTGAAACGAATGACACTACATCATGTATTAAATCTTGAATGGAAAAAGATTTGGAACAGTTCCCAATGATTCTCAAGTCACTATCAGTAAGCACATGAAAATCTATTTTTTCCTTCAAAATTAAGAAAAAAGTATTTACCATGCTTACCTCGATTATCTTGACTGATTACATTAACGATATACCTAACTAAGTCAACTAGTTCTTCCCAACGTGTATGCAAACGTTCCAAACGATTTTTTACATCATTTTCAAGATGTGGATAAACTTCTGTAAGTTTACGACCGACCTAAAATCAATAAGAATTTCAAATTCGTAAAGCTTTTAGTTACTAACTGTAAAATGCTATTCATTTTTACAAATAAAAAATCTTATGCGATGGCAACACGTTTGCCTATGATCAATATTTTCTAGTAGATATCTCTACTAATACATCGAGAATACGTGATGCAACAGTTTCCAGGCAATAAATCGAAAATACTTCCAGTAACAACAGTTAAAGGCAGTTTTTAGTTTATTGACTGAGATTATTATTGTTTATTTGTCCATAATCTTACGGCCTTTAAACAACTAACAGTTCTAAAGTCCCAAATATGAACACTGATTTGTAACAATGATGACATTACGCTTTGCGTTTTTAATAAAATATTTTTATTGAAAACAAATTAAATTCTAAAACTTCTAATTTCTTTTCCTTACAAAAATCATTGAAACCATGAAGCAATGAATTTGTGTTTTCTGGTATTCTGTGACTTTCTATTGTTGTCAACTAAAAAAACATTGAAACTTGATCAATCTAATCCAATTAGCATTAAAGGACTATCGAGAATAATATTGGTTTCTATTCAGTTCTCCATCAATGTAAAAGTGACAGTCATCGGGTTGAATGATGAGATTTCACTATAACCGTCGAAGGATGAGGGCTCTAAAATAATCGGGACGGTTTTGGTATGTCTCCGATGCCAATTGATATATCTTGCAGAATTCTCCAACAAGAATTCCGATTATAATTTTTCTACCCAGCGTCTGATTTTTGGTCCATCACCTATAGTCCTTAGCTTTGAACATTGATGCAGTTTAACGAACAAAATTAACCTTTATTGCACGTCACCTTTATACATAAAATTTTTTTGTCCGCAGTTGTCAGTCAAGAAGAGAAGTCGGTATCGAAGATTCTATTACTAGCATACTTCAATCATCCAAACCAACAGCTGTCTCACTCATCAGCTTATATACATGACAAACCAGAATGCGTCACGCCCAAAAATATAAATCATGGTTATTACACAAACAGACCAAGATTGGCTGTAAACAGATAAAACTGTAAATAATTGTTTAGCAGTAAGTTAAGAATAACAAGATATATAATAATGGTAATGTGTTAAGCAAAAGCTTACAATGAATAATATATGAAAACATAGTATCCCACTTGTTTAGCGATTCTACAGTAAGAATATAAATAAAAATAATCCAGAAAATATTTCTTAAATTTCCAATTGCTCTAATACTCGTTCCGTTACGGCAGGATTTAATTCATATTTATGACGAAACAAAATTTTAGCATAGACAAAATTATCGATTGCAGATATTAATGATTTACGAACTCGATGATGTTAATGAATAAATAGTTTTTTAGACTTTGCTTCTTACTTGATTTATGTATTTCAAATTGACCATGAATAAAACGTATGGTCAATTTCATCATCCTAGTTACTTGAAGTATACAAATTGCTAACTGTAAATCATGACACCCATCACTATCAACAGTTAACTTGATAATTTCAGATAAATTGAGCATTATTTATGATAATAAAGGAGACTAGGTGCAGTACTTCATGCTAACCTATACTGAGATCGATAGGTAGGGAGGCCTGACTAAAATCTTCCCAAACTGTTATATTTAACCAATTTAATATCACAGCGAAAAAAAACATAAAAGTCGTCCATTACCATCACGAACATTACATTCATCACACTCAATCGTATATACACTAATACACAAAAGAATATCTCATATAGAATTACATTTAGCGTGAATGATATAGCATACACATTATTGAACTTATTTACACGATATATGTATTTGATTGGATTTGTTCCATGTCCTATTTTAATTTTATTTAAACTTAACATGCATGCTTATGTAGTTCTATTGTGTTGATTTCAATGAAATATTTGTTCAATGACAAATCTATAAGAGACAAAGTGAACATGAAGGGCATAGTACTCACAGTAAAACTTGATCACTAATTTACAAAGATTATATTCTGTATTACTCAACGTGATTATTACTATTACAATTGATTCTATTAATCTAATCCTTGAAACAACAACATATTCCCTTGTCACATGGCATATGTTTTAAACACCAACTTGAATACTAAAAATAGATGACCTAGAAATGTTCTCATTAGTCAATAAAAGTGCCTAATGAAAATTCAATTAACACACACATAATTTAGCCAGTTCATAATTTGATCGAGTTATGAACCATAATGATTGTATAAACACAGTTAAGGAAAATTCAAGCATGTGATTTATTTGCACAGTAGAATCCACTTCAGTCTGTCATTTATTTTGCATATCATTAATTGTCAGTTAAGCAAACTAACTTTATCTAATGATTTTAAACGGGTTACAACAATTTACCCGCCAGGTTATTTTGGTTCAATGAGCTTATTTAATTTTTCAAAAAGACAGTTATGGAAAATCCTAATCTATATAAAATGACAGTTTCTTTACAAGTATTATTACTATATAATAAGTATATAATATTTTAATAATGAGGCATTCTTTTATAATATGAACCTATTTCGAATTCGGTTCAGTTCTGTTTGAAAAAGAGTTTTCATGTAAAAAAAAACTTGGTAAACAATATAACCTATTAGATGAGTAGATTCGAGTGGAAAACTACACCAATAATTGTAATCAATAAAAAGAATATTTTTGTAAAACTATAGATGTTCATTTACTTACCTCTCTAGAAATTAACTTATTCTAATTACAGTCATCATTTAGGTCTATCATCTGTCAAACAAATGTTTTGAAAATGTTATTTGTTTCAATGTAAGATGTGACTTTTCAGTAGTATAGGAAAACGAAAACTTTATAGTAAATGACATGAAATGATGATAGCCTTGGATCTATGTTTGACACGTGGTAGTAAGATGCATCACAGTTACAACTGATGGTCCATTAGTAATTCGAAATAACCTTTTTAAGGGATATGGCTCATAGCGTTAATATTGAGCAATTAAAAACCAAATGATTTATGATATAGACTGGTGAATGGCAATGAATATAATGTTGTTTAATACACTTAATTACGACTATATATACCCATCATTGATAATTTCTTAAAATCACTGAGTATGTGCATTATCTTTAATAACCGAATGTTAAACTACTTCACCAGAAAAGTGGATCATAATAATAATATTAAAGGTCTAATTGGTCTATCATCACCATAGAGTATTAAACAGGGTAATGATCTGTATCATTCGATGAACGATTTAATTAAATTATAATGAATGAAAATTCAATTTTAACTAACCTCAATAAAATGATCACCACGATTTCGATTCATTTCAATTTCTTCTTCAAATGCTTTAATCCGACTAAAGGATAAATGTGATCGTTGTTTGATTGCTAACTGAATTTCCATTAAACAATTCGTTTTATCTAAAATCCAATCTTCGAACTATAAAAGATGAAAAAAGGTTGTAAATGAATATTCTTAGCGAGTAAAATGATCCGAAAAATAGATAAAACCGATAATAAGTGACAACTTACTTCACTTATATATATATTTAGTCAATCAGACGCCGTGTCAACTCATTATTTAAATGACATTATATTATATCTTTTAGAAAAACACGACGATTCTTATCGTGAAACGAACACATGAAAGTACAACTCAACAAAGAAAAATACACTAAGCTCATATGGAATGTGAGAAGAATTGACGACAAAGTATACAGAAGAGTGAGGTTGTCAACACATACGCTGCTAAAGGAAAATTAGGCCTATTTCATATACATACTCAGCTTTGTCACGAAAACTTTAATAGACAGGTAGATAGCTTGATAGATAATATATCAAGATATGACAACTGTATGGTTAAATACGGCTTATACTTGTAAAGAAATAAAAGAAAAAAAGTAACACCAGAATGTCTTTGTATTGAAGGAATAGATAAAAAAATATATATTTACTATTTATTTATTTATTCAGTTACACTCCTTTAATTTACATTTTTCAAACAGTAGATAACAATGAAACCCAAGATGTACATTTTGTTCAGATTCAAACTATTCATCTGAAGGGACCTCATTCTAACGATAATGATGATGAACATGATGGTTGTCTTGTGACTTATAACCAACAGTTTAAAATCCCAGATCATTATGAATGAAAGGATTAAATGTTGGCTAAGAATGAAGAAGTTCAGTTATGAATATCATTAATAGAAAATAATAAACTTTATTTCACTTAGTATTACTTTTTCGAATCTTCCCATTGATGTTTAGGACTGCAACTGGTCAGTCTCTTATTAACATATGTGCATGCTCTGCGTATTGCCTCGATATAGCCTTATTTCACAAGCATTGTAAGAAAAGATGGATAATGGCTAGCAGTGAAATCGTCCTACTTGGGACTCAGCTGGATCTACCTTCTACTTTATTGTTTTATATTTTGTTTAACTAATAATTTTCATTTATTATTTTGAGTTAATACTTTCCTCTGTAAAATCATACTCTTTTAATTATCTATAATAATAATAATAATAATAATAATAATAATAATAATAATAATAATAATAATAATAATAATAATAATAGTACCAATAGCAATAATTTGAGAACAAAACAATTAACAGTCATCTATATTAATTCAATTAAAATTTCTACCAAAAAATTTACAATAATATGCTTCTTAATTAAATTCCAGAGAAGGGGAGTGGCTTTTCAATTAGCAAATAATATTAATGTTAAACTAGAATTGTTTCTACTAAAAAATATGAATTTTATGAGTTTCCTAGGACCACTTAGATGAAACATGAAAAAACTATCATCAGTAACTAATTATTATTGATTATAACAGTAAAGTAGTTTTTTAATATTCAGCTCAGTAAACATGACTAATCTGTTATGATCATTGTAAATGTTTACGATTTCCATGAACTGTATCATAGGCAATTATTTTGAATTTTATAAGACTGTAATAAGTTAAACCGTTTTCATAAAGCAACGTCAGACGGCTACTTTTGAATATAATTAATCGTTTTGTTTAATCTATGCAAGCGTTCAAATTTAAGCTTCTATAACTGAAGTGTAATCGTTAAGCTAAAAGACCCAACATCAAGATTCAATACATTCACGTTTCGAAAATTTGTGAAAATCAGCAAATCAAGGGAAAATTTCATGAAGTTAATTTAACTACTCCAAACTATCAAAACATTTTCAATACAAAATCAACAGTACTAAAAAGCTATTTTTTCAATGAGACAACTGACCAAATCACAAATGACACAATTTTTAGTAAGGTATTTTATTATCTTCGATGCCTCAGGTGATCATTTTACTTCTCAATATCACTGAGAAATTGGATGGTTTTACACAAAATTATATCGAATTATTCGATTAGTTAACTTCATAACGTGTATTATTCTGTCAGTATAAAATCCGTAAATCAGAACGTTTAAACTGTTTTTTCTTTTGTTCTGTTGAACATTCTCGAAGTTATTGTTGTTATATTTGAAAACATTACGAACATTAGTGTAAAAAACACAATGATCTCTTAAAATATTGGTCGAATAAGCAGTGTGGTGTGTGCTACTGATGTTGACTGGCATTATTAGTATGTATCGTCAGCCGAAAGTGAAATACCTGGCAGCAGAATGTTAAGAAGGTCCAAGAAAGGAGAACAAGAACAGAGAATGATTGCTGTAGAAATGAAGGAACAGTAAAGTCTGAGACAATTGATTGACATTTTGCAAACTGAGCCTTTACTGAATGGTTCTCAGATTTTACTAAGACGTTCTGTATATACATTTGGATATTTCCACTTGTATTCTCGTTCACTACAGCAGTTGTCCACTGTTGGGCGGTGATCATGTACAACTATCATTAACGCAGTCGCTTTTATCTAAAAAAATGTACTTTAATCAACAGTACAGCATTCTATGGTAAAACTGAATGAGATTCTAATAAAACTGTTTAGAACTGTCACTTTTGGTGATTATCAAGTCGTAGGTGTGGATTGTTTGTGTAAATGACAAAATTTTCTTAACTGAAAGCATGGTAAGGAGTATGTTAATCAAACTTTTAATAAAATTATTTCCAGTAACATAAAACTCACAAGACAGTAGGAACTAGACAATTCATTTCTGCACTACTTTATCGTGAATAGTGAAACTTAAGCTGGAAACGTTCCTAGATGCGTCAACACAAATCTATCGTAACCTTAATTAAATCTACAACACAACGAGCTTATAATTTCTAAGAAATTGTGTGTGGTTCATTCAAAAAATTAGATGATAAAGTAGTATCCAGAGTTTAAAAATGTCAATTGTTTAACTGTTTTTTTATCAGAACAGTTCAAAGTGTTTCTTGTTATACAGAACCAGCCATTATATAAAGTCTTATTGTACATTACAATTGATAGATATAACAAACAAGTATGCTTTAATAACTTCATACCATACAACACCGATTAACTTTTTATTTCATCTAAATAAGAATTAGTCAGTAATCATTTAACAGAGAATAGTATATTTATTTTATTTTAATTAATCAAATGAAAAATGTATGTGACTAAATAGGTTTAAAAATACTATCGCATAATATGTGGAAATGTTAATCAACATTCAGACGACTAGTGATAAGATTAATCATTGAGAACAAAACTAATCTGACTTATCAACCAATTTCAGGCCTAGGTACTGATATTAATCAGATTATTCAGTTAGTATGAATACCATCTCACATAATGATAAGGAAACCATCAAGAAAAAAAATATTGTATTGAAGGATGCAACAACATATAGATTTAAAAGTTGTAGTGTTACTATGACAATATTTTTTTCATTAGGAATCATTTTTGATATCACCTAGGATAAAAAAGAATTCCCTAGATAAGACAGCTTTAGATTAGATAATTTAGTTTATCCATATAGTCTTAGAAATTTTCTTACTACTTCACTGTTTTTTCATACAAATACATAACCAACAAGTTGTAAAACAAAATTCTATGATCAAGACAATTACTTCATGAGGTAAAATACTCATATTCTAAACTGCGTTTCATCTAACAGTTAGTGGTATCATTTATTATCACCAATTTGTTTGTAAACAATGAAATAATCATTGATGAAATACCACTATAATGTCATCGCTGTGATATGCCGTGATAAAAAGGGAAAATCAAATTTCGACTCGTGATTGTTGGCAAACACTACTTTCAATTGTTAATTCGATATGAGGCTTATTCAGTGTAATATTCGTTTTGTTTGCCAATGTGATCTTTTAATTCACTGCAACATTAATTTATTTGAGTATGATGTTTATTCAAGATACCATATTCCTTGTACTAAATTAACATAAACTATGTTCAGCATGATATGCAGTACGTGATTTGTTGGGTACTTTTCATATATGTGATTTTGTTCTAATTATTAATGAAAAATTGGTGTGCAATCAGTATATAAATGAGTGTATTTTCGACTAGGGATCATCGTCATGTTTTGGGTTTAATTAATCTTGGTGTTCTTCGCGTCGTGGGAAATATAGTGGTTCCTCGTTTCTTTAGGTATAAGCAGTAAACAATGCGAATGTAACAAACTGTCATGTTTATTCATAAGGAATCAAAGTCTACCCATGAACAATTACAACATGTAAAATTGATAAACTAAATAGATTATGGAATTATATATAAAGTTTTTAATAATAATTACATGCTTATGAATAGTGTTTTAAACAAAATGTCATAGTAACAAAGTGATTACAGGTAGGGACAGAAGGACAATGTTAAGTAAAAACATTTTTTTAATCTACCAAGATTTTCAGGTAGTTAAAGTATAGAAAAACAACAATCTCTTTACTTATGGAAAACAAGTAATGGAAAAATCATTCAATAATGATATCTAACACGATAGTATTCATAGTTTCAACTACATAAAAATGTCTGATGTATTATTTGCCAATGATACATTCTCAAAAAACATTATGCATGGAAATTATATTTAAATAAAGGAAATGATGTAGTATAGATATCGTATTATAACAACATTCTCTCTATTACTGAAGTAGAGAACATAATCTTGCAAATAAATCAATACAATAAAAAATTGATTACTTTATTGAAGTAAAGCAGGAAAATCATCTGCTTTCAATTAATGTAGACATGACTGGACTATGTGCAACATATACCTGGTCATTAACTCAGAATTTTCATATCACTATAATACGATAGGCTAGTCTGAATTTCTCATTAATGCCCCTACTTTAATGGCTTCATAAATAATAAACAATGTGGTTCAGTGTTATTTCATGTAGTTAACATACATTTGTTCATGAGTGACACATTTGTTAAGTTTTGTTTATTTGGAATGAATCACTACACTTTTTTAATCCCCGTTATTTTTTTAAAAAGTATTGAGTTAACTAAATGAAAAATAAATGCAATTCGCTAACAATCGATTACAAATCTTCATATATGTTTGTAGAAAATGAACTAGTTGATGAGGTCATGAATCTTCATCGACTGAGATGATTGGGTCACGTGTTACGTATGCCTGAACACCGACTACCACGACGCGCAATGCTGACTCGTGTAGGGGATGGTTGGAAGAGAGTTAGGGGCGGCCAAACCAAAACATGGCATCAGTGCTTGAAGTCACTAACTTCTAGTCTGAGTCATGTTGGCAGATGCAAACTACTTGGTTGAGGTCCGCGTGACTATCGTAACCAATGGTTGGATACTCTGTGTGACATGGCTGACAATCGATCACAATGGCGTCGGTGTACACACTTTTTATCTTTCCTTAAACTTTGAGATTAAAATTGCTTCATATCTGTCTTCCTTCCTGTACTATATCCTTGTATACAACCTTTCTTTTATATATTAACACCACTGAATTAACTACTATGAATTTGGTGTTCATCTTGTTTTGCAAATCAGGTATGGCAACTTGGACCGTTGCATATATGTGCCTAGTCCTACGTTGTAGCTGACTGACTGAATTAGAAAATGAACTCATAAATAATAAATTACAATACACTTACATCTTCCAGTTCTTCATAAAATTCATAAAGTTGTGCCTTTTCTTGTAAATATTCAATTCGTTCTTCTGTTTTAATTTTGTTGGCTTCATATCTTTAAAAAATATTGTAATAAGATTCAAGAAAAAACACAAACAGGCAAATCAAGTCATTTGTTAAGCACAAATGATTAACGTTATTCAATTGATAAGTTATTTAGTCGTTGAAATCATATGGATTCAACTACTATCATGAAGCATTCTAAAATTTCTCCTCAACAAACCAACCACTAACGACTTTTCATAAAACGTCTTTTCTACAACTTGTATTATCTTAAGTCATTCAATGAACAACCCATTTGTAGCTCATCTTATCCAATTCATGTGATATATTTAAGTAAAACTGGTACCTGGTTAGTCCTGGAATGAACTCTAGTGTTGAAGAATTCATGGAAGGAGAGTTACTTTTGTTCCTGAAAGTTATGAAAGCAAGTAGCTCAAATACATTTTTTAATATAATTTTGTATTCAACAAAGTCATCTAACAAATAATGTGTTGCGTAGATAACGTTTTTCAAGGAAATTACTTATGAAAACTAGTCAGTTATTTAGATCAATGTTTTATTTATATGTTTATTCACACGAAAAACACTCGATTAATTTGATCCCTCAACATTAAACTCTCATGAATAACTAAGGATTGATTTCTGATAGAATGAATAGCGTTAACATCTCTAATTTACACCTTACAACTAATTCATATTTCCAACCTGTCCTAAATGAATTCCAATGTAACAAATAACAATTCATTAAAACTTTCCTGAGTGGCATTTTTGACTATAATTACTGTTACAAAATCGTCAAAAAAACAATTCACTTAAAAATTTGTCTCGAAAAAGATGTACATGGTAATTAAAAAGTCTTGGATATGAATATCTAATTAGCCATTTACAAAAGGCAGTGACATTATGTGAGATTCCATATTCATAAATGAACAAAATCAGATAATTATCATAACAATTTCAGAATAAATTGAAAAATAATATGATCTCATAAAGATTATTTTGTTGACTAATAAATTTCCCTATTTTTCATTAGTAGGGGAGGGGCGGCATTCGACTCCACTAATCGTGAGGCTCTATGGCAGTGTTTGTCACTGAAAGGAGTACCAAAGAAGTACATTAACTTCATAAAGGCTCTCTACTCGAACACAACTGGTCGAGTTAGAGCCTATGGCGAACTGTCATCAGAATTGGTTACCTCAAGTGGTGTTCTTCAGGGCAGTCCACTCTCACCATTCTAGTTTAACTTTGTCATTGACATGCTTTTAGAGATAGCACTTTCATCATCTACATTTCCAGGAGTTGAACTTTTACCGGGAGACTCATTTGTTGACTTAGAATACGCCGACAACATAGTTCTATTCGGTGAAGACGCTGACAAAATGCAGAGTCTTCTGACCACTATAAGCAACTATGCAGGCATGTTCGGGATGCGATTCTCTCCCTCAAAGTGCAAAATGTTACTTCAGGATTGGGTTGCATCGACACCTGAACTAATGATAGGGAGTGAAGTAGTTGAGCGTGTTGACAGCTTCACTTATGTTGGGAGTCTGATCAGCCCTTGTGGTCTGCTGTGTGTGACGAAATCTCAGCACGGATACAGAAGGCTCGTCTAGCTTTCGCCAACTTGCGCCATTTATGGCGTAGGCGAGATATCCGTCTAGCAACAAAAGGACGGGTTTACTGTGCAGCAGTCCGTTCCGTCCTACTTTATGGCAGTGAAACATGGCCGATAAGAGTAGAGGATATTTGTAGGCTACTAGTATTCGATCATAGGTGTCTTCGAAGCATTGCTTGTATATCCTGGGACCACCGAGTAAGTAAGGCAGATGTTAAGGAACGGGTACTAGGTAAGGATGGCAAATCGATTGATGAAGTAGTGAAACTTCATCAGTTGAGATGGCTGGAACACGTGTTACGTATGTCCAACCACCGACTGCCCCGACGTGCAATGCTTTATGGTGTAGGAGTAGGTTGGAAGAAAGCTAGGATCGGCCAGACCAAAACGTGGCACAAATCCATGAAGTCGCTGACAAGTGGACTGGGCCATGTTGGTAGGTGTAGACTACCTGTTTGGGATTCGCGAGATGATAGCAATCGATGGTTAGAGACCTTAAATGATATGGCTCAAAGTCATTTGCAATGGCGAAGGTGCATCCACTTTTTGTGTTCTACCGAATTCTATTCTTCTGAGTTCTTAATGTCTCTTTCTTCCTTCTCCGAATTTATTTCACTGGATTATATTCCTTCAATAACATCTTCAAACTCTAATCTTTCACATTAATGATTTTAGTCTTACTACTTTTACCATTATGGGATTTGAATCGACAACTACATCTCTGTGCTAATGTAGTATGGCAACTCGAACTGATGTACGTACGTACGAAGTTCTACGTTGTGAATGACTGACTGACTATTTTTCATAATTTACACATAACAGCTTAATAAAAAATATGTCCAATACTGTTTTATTGTCCTTGAAGTAGACTATACCAAATCTTGTGACAATGTATACAATTGATTCGGCTTAGTTAACCATGGACAAATAATCAATAATATTAATTCATTGAGTAAAAATCTCTACGATTCAATACAGCAAAAAATTATTAAATATTAACTAGGACGGGAATCATCTCATAACAAAATAAGTGTTACAGAATGAAATGATTCATGCTTTTAGAGTTGGAACATGGGTTGAAGTGGATAATGACTACAACGGTGAATGATTGATGGTGAATAATGATGGTATTTGCTGATATAACATGTAAGTGTGAAGCCGGACAATGTAAACAATCGTTATTCTATACTGCTTTTACATCAAACATATATAAGTACATGTGTATGAATCAACAGTAAAATTATTTGTTTATTAAAACAATTGGATATCTTTTTAAAAAAATCCAAAACAACGTTTTCATCACCTTACACTTTTTTACTTAAACTATTACTTTTCCTTTACTATTTACTCTCTGCCCTTTTTCTCCTACTAATAAAATATCTAGACGATGTCATGACAACCAAGCCTTCTTAAAGGTAATATCACTATTAACAACACAAGTAACCGAGATAACAATAATGATGATGACAATGATTTTGATGAAAGTTATTTATTTTAAACTAATATAGATAATGTAGGGAAGAGGAAAAAACTACATCTAGAATGTACATAACTCTTTCATAAAAAGATACCATTGAATAGAGATCATTTATCTGGGTGCAGAAACTAGTCTTAATTTAATTGTAACACTGTTAACATGTGACAGATTTTATGTGATTTTAAAGATGAAATCCAAAGAATGATAGGCATTATGAACTGTGTATGTGTGTTCTATGAAGCTACTTAATCAATATGATTTGATTGTCCTCACAAAAATAATTAGAAAACTATATTGTAAAAACCAAATCTACAGTAATACTCGTTTGTTATTTGTTCACCTTGGTTTTCGCTAACTCTTGAACTGATATAACTCAAACATTACATTTTAACAATCCGTAAAGCGAAAAATCTAAAACGTCAACTAAAGGTGCCTTACGGATGAATTAAGATCTACGTAGAAAGAAACATAAGATTAGGTCTGGAATGATATTATTTAAAAAAGATGGTCACATAAGATCTTAATTATGTTACAATGAAAAGTATATATTTCCTCTAAATAGAAAACAACCATACTAGATAAAACACCCATAGCAAAATGCACACTAACTCTTCATAAGAAACTTAATATAAGTCGTATTCGGTAGTGATTAAAACAACAACATTCAGATACCGTACTTAATATTTTTAGATTTACATAATAACAAAACATGTACTAATGAAATAGCTTAAAAGTAATCTCCATAAGATATTAAGTGTAATTTATTTCTATCTACGTAAATAATTCAAAAAATAAGCCAACGAAATCACAACTGAGTTTGCTTTCACTCGGCTTACAAATGTGGATTGTTTATCAAGAATCTTGTGAAAACGCATTCGTTCATTGGGACTTTAGCTTGTATTCAAATTAGTTTAAAAGAAACTATCTAAGTAGAAATGACCTCCATTTGAAGAATTAAAGTATCCGTAGAAACTCAAGATGATTTGACTTGGTAAAATTCTAAAGAAATTAATAGTATAATCTACAGTATTCCTTCTTTCCAAACTTCTTTTAACAAAAAGCAGAAATCTTTGAGCTTTCACATGAGATCGATGAAAAGCGGAGGAATGAATTACATTACAAACTTTTGGTTTTCTGAGGTATCATTCTCCATCTTATTATTGAACACATAATTAGTGAAGCATTCCCTTATTTTTTTAAACTCTAACTTGAAATAAATGATCGATTTGTTTCTCTTAAAAAGGTAATTGCAAATTATTTTCTGAAGTTGCTTAGACTTAGCCAATATAGTGTAGCATAACATATACAATTGTATATGATCATAAATAGAAACATCTTAACTAGTTAGTCTTGTTAATTCCAACCGATTTATTATCATGGTTATTCAATTGTTTCCTTACTGATAATTCTTGTCCTTAATGTATTTTATACAAAAAAGCAAAATATTATAGGGAATATACAAAACAGATTACCAAGCCTTATGTTGAAATAAGTAATGCATTTGAACGTATTTGTATGGTGAATGTTTGACGATGGTAGAATTTTAAAGATTCCCATTGTGAAAATTAGAACAACATATGTAAGCGAACAATTGTTTTCAATTAGATCGTCATCAGGCTTTACTCTAATATACATGAATATTTATATAAAAATGTTAGACCAATCAAGGCTATTTGAGTCAATAATAATCACAATGAAATAGAAATACGTTACCAAGCATAATAATAGTTAAAAGTACAAGTTGATAGTGGGAAGACAGGTGTACTGATAGTAGTAAGAATAGTAAATTACGATAACAAAAGTCTTATCAATAATTAAACATAAGAATAAAGAGGTCAAACGTGGGTAAATAGTCTGGAATAGTAATCACAAAACATTAAAATCATTACGTAATAAGAAGTATGTAGAAGAAGTATGGTAGAATTGACCATACTAAGTCAATAGTGGAGTAGTTTCAGTTAATATTTCGAATATAGTTCGCCAGAAATATATGTTATATTATTTTTTAGGAAAAGCACATTTAGGCGTTAATAGCTTAAACAGCGAAAATAAATTAGCAAATAATCAAACTACTACATAAGTGAGGGTTATTTTTAGTCAAAATTGTGTAGTTTTTGTGATCTTATTCATGGTTGCTAATGATATTGTCAAGCCGGCCTACCATTCCCGGATGTTTTGAGGATACACTTCCTTGTTGGGTCACATCGATGTGCATCGATACATTTACTTGCTCCTGTTGGGCAAGTTACATTGGCAGCTCAAAGCAATCATTTTCTAAACGCATCTCAGGACATTACTCGGCTTGGCTTTTAACAGGAGAATAAACAACAGTTACCAGTTCAGTTCAGGAGCATCCAATCAATTCTGAACACGTGTCTCCGAAAGAGTCTTCCTTTAAAATGATCTACATAATAAAAGGATTTGGATCGAAGGGAGGTTAAATCAAAAACTTATGCTCTACTGAGGTATTGGCGATCCATCATTTCAAGCCCGAACTCTGCGTGCCAAAAAGGTTAAGTCCAACCGTCCATCTTTCCTTGGCCCTAACTCCCTTCTGTAGTATATTTCGGTACTTTTATTCACTGTTTTGTAAATTAGAACCGTAATCAGTTATTAATATCCTTTAACAATTTTCCATGATTTTTAATGTTATTATTATGACCTTTGTGTTTTTTGTTCTTCTCCATGTCTGCCAAGAGGACAATTATTTTTCAGAATTTTGACCTGTAAATTATTTCCACTCTTCTATTCTTATCTGACCTCCGATTATTACGTAACCTCATTTGATAATTGGAGTCCCGAATCTCTTTATGATGTAATCTTTTCTATACTTCTATAGACATTTATTTACCATACAACTATAAATACTTATGTACAGCTTAAGTAAATTATTTCGTCGATAAAAACATTCTCTTCGCTGAATTCCCCTCATTTTTATTCAGTGACACAATGGGTTATTTTAACTAATATATTTGAAGCAATTAGTCCCTTTGATAAATTTCGATAATGCAATGAGAAGACGAAGATTATCAGAACTATGTGATATATTAGCGCAATACATTTCGAACAATCTGATCACACATATACTTGTTAAGAACATTTATATATAAAAATAAAAGGTCAACTAGACTGAAAAAGGGGTAAGAATAGACAAGGGCACAGCGAGACCTACTGTAGCCTTGGTAGAGAAAAAGCCTGTCTACATCACCTTACCATTTAGAGGTGATTCAAATAGCCTTTTATTGAAACAAAGGCTTAAATCTGTTATCAACAAAACGTATTGTGCTGCGAAAGTCATAATCAAGGAAAGAACGAGGTCCATGCTTCATTCAAAACCTAGACGAAATGAAAACGATTGTGTCACATCCCACTGTGTTTACCAATTTAAATGTGTGTGTGGTCACACATACATAGGGAGGAGCAATCGTGATCTGAAAATTAGGGTGGGTGAACATGTACCAAAATGGTTGCAAAAACAAATACAGTCGAATGACCCAATAAGAGTAGAGGATAAACATCCATCATCCTCTATTGCTAAACATATAATCGAAACAGGTCATAAGATTGATCTAAACTCGGCTTTTGTGGTGTTGTTTAAAAGTGTAAAAGGGCGTATACTAAGGTTTGTTGAAGCCTTAGCCATACGAAAATTCAACCCCCCTTTGTGTATTCAAAAACAGTTTGTTCTCTCTTTAAACCTACCCTGGTAATATATGCTTATTATCCAGAGTGATTAGGTGTCAAATTGTTTTCACATTATTTTATCATTATTATCCTTGTCTATTCTTACCCCTTTTCCAGTCTAGTTGACCTTTTATTTTTATATATAAATGTTCTTAACAAGTATATGTGTGATCAGATTGTTCGAAATGTATTGCGCTAATATATCACATAGTTCTGATAATCTTCGTCTTCTCATTGCATTATCGTAATATATTTGACTAAGAAATTTTGTATGTACATTAGTCAAATGAGGTCATTCTATAGTTAACATTATTACTGATTTATTGACCGTGTGGTCGGTGCCAACGTAAGAGAAAAGATTGAATATATTCCTTTTGTAAACCCGAAAGACTATTACTTTTGCCATTTGAAGGACTTTGAGAAAGACTAGATTTGGCAAAAAATTACTAACTCGATAAATTATTGAAAAAGATTGACTTATACTAGAACTATGATCAGTTTGCATTAAATGGGCTAGTATTGAGCTGTTGTCTTGACTACAACTTTGCTTAGCCACACTGGGAGATGTTTACGAACATGAAAATACGAATTAGACCAACATGTTTACGAGTAATCGAATTTGTAAATACAAAACGAAGTGGACATTCTAGTTAATTCATTTGAAACTCCTCAAACGGTGGGAGCAACAGTCATTACGATCAAAAACACAGAAACTTGTGCACAAAGATTCAAATCATCAATAGAACTTACTTTCGTTGAAATAATTCACATTTAGCTAATGCACGATCACGATTTGTTGGATTTTTTTCTGCTATATTTCTACCTAATTCTAAAGCGGCATCAACCCGATCTTTACAAGCCAATAAAGAAAATCGAAATGTTTCATATTGTTTTTGAATATCACGAACAGCATCTAGGTTTGTCTATAAATGTAATGCATATAAGAATAAATAAATCAACCAAATAAAAAGATACTGTAACATGAATAGATAAATGTATTTTCGAATGTCTTCTGTATTAACCTTGAAAGAAAAAACACGAATATCGAAATTCAGTTTCATCAACTTTTAATTTTCATCTTCGATAGGCGGATTATGTATCAATAAAAAACGTTCCAAGTGGTATGTTACATCATCTGGTTATACAATTATATAGTCAAAGGTTTTCTATAACCCTTGTGATGATAAAATACATCTTTACAAAACCTTTATACCATAAAATATCATAAAGCTTCAATTGTGAATCCTGATAGAATTGGTCATACTAAAACTAAACAATAACAATGTAAACATATGACCGACTTCAAATCCCCGTCACATTAAAAAAAGATATATGAATGAAGAATATTCTTTCCAGTAAATTCTCTTCAGATTCTACAATTATATATCCAAATTAATAATTTGAAAATTGGCTAGGTATAAGGCAAAAGGCATCGTTAATTTTGAACTGTTTGTAGAATAATATAAAATTATTAATGTTGAAATGACTAATATGAAATGTAAAGATGAAATTGTGAAATAAATGGTCCGGATAAATATGGTCAACATGGGAATAGAAAGATTATGTTGTAGTTACAAATCAAAATAAATATTTGGTCAAGAATATGAATATTGATCAAATCATGAAATCATATCATCAAAATTATCGTTAAGTGATTGGGCCAAAAGTTGGCCAAGAACAAAAAAACCGTTCAACATTTTTCTTCTGGGACCAAAGCTCCGGTTTTGTCATCCGAATAGCTCTTGCTTTAGCTATCTGGAGGATTTTTAGTCTGATAGGTTTAGTTAGGTTACTGATCACATGATATATTATTGTAAATAATTGAATGTATGGCCCGTTTGTACTAAATGCGCTATAATCCAGCTGTTAACAGTTTTAACTATGTCTTTACTTAACTGCACTTAGAGATACTCGGGAGCACGAAAATAAAAATTTCCAAAATATCTATCAATATAACTTGCCCACAAACGCAGTTGAATTGATAGATACAGAAAGAAGTGGCAATTACCAGGTAATTTAGCCTTCGATCTCCGAGTGACTATCGGACATGTAGAAAACAGTAACTGTGGTTTCCTTGCATTAAAGGTTTTTTGGATTGCTCTCTCCAACTTTAGTATTAACATTTTGATGGGTGTATCGCCTCTAAATTGTAAGCGTATATACAGAGGCTTTTCGTTCACAGTTAGGCCTTTCTTATGCTCTCTTTTCTTGGCTTAATGTTTGCTTATAAATAACTCCGGATATCCATTTTTTCAGGATAGTATGAAATGCCTTTGTTTCTTATTCAACAGCATCTAAGGTGTATATGGTCTTGATTCTATAACGAGTTATCTTAATCGGGCTCTTTCTACATTTTAGAAGAACAAAAGTAAGAACTCTGTATATCGACCAGTCCAAGTGGTTATCTTGTTTAATTTCCTTCTTAATAACCCATCTATTCTCTTTGTAACTAGAACATCTAGATAAACTATTCCACCTCTATTTTCCTCTGCACATGTGAGTTTTTTTAGACGGACGAGCTTCATTAAATCTCTTGAGGGTTTTTACCCGGTCAATATGGTCTACACAAAGAATGAACATATCGTCCACATATTGTCATTGAAAAAGCTTTTTCTATATTCTATGCCAGTGGACGGTTTTCTAGTTTATTGGGAAAAATCCCAGCCAATATGGGACATAGTAGTGAATCCATAGCGAAACAGTCTGTTTCCATATATTTCCCCAATAAATATGAAATTTACGTTCATAGTACATTTTAGTTATCATTTCTTAATGACGTCACCAGGAATTGTGGCCTTTAGTTATTGTTCTCTAAGTTGTTCACAAACATATTCGACAATCTCCCTGAGTGGGACATTCGTGAACAACGATGACATATCTAAGAATATCGTAATAGTAAACGAAAGAGATTTAACTAGGTATGCTTTGTTTTTCTACAGCATTTTTAAATTTCAGTTTAGTTTTTTGACTAAATAATGACACAACAGATTTGACGTAAAAATGTTGGATCCAGTTGACAATCAAATTACTGAAATAAGATACACAAAAACATACATTCAATCAAAATATTACATACCAAATGCCATTTTATTCGTAAACTAACGTCAACCGGGAAAGAGACGGAAACTAAAAAACATTGGTTAGAGTTCACTTAATATTTTATAGTTAAGATCATGAGTCAATTGAGGCTAGACCACCATCGAAAACCTGGAAGCACTGGACGGCCGTTTCGTCCTATTATGGGACTCCTCAGCAGTGCGCATCCACGAACCCGCTCTCGCAAGATTCGAATCCAGGACCTACCAGTCTCGAGCCGGAGCCCTTAACCGATAGACCACTGAGCTGGCATCCAACGGTGTTAATGTCTAACCTCAACCAATCCACGAAATCCACGCGCAACCAACTTCCAATGTACTGAGGTAGATACCTGTCTCTACCTGACATGGATTAGCTCCACTGGCCACGACTTCTCACTAGAACTCCAGGAATTACCTCAAGGAGCCAGTCACTAGTGAGCATATGATCATTATCACAAGGGGGGTTTTTGTGGAGATTTAGTAATTTTATAGTTAAGATCATGAGTCAATTGAGGCTAGACCACCATCGAAAACCTGGAAGCACTGGACGGCCGTTTTGTTCACTTAATATTGTTTACTTGAATCTAACCACTGATGTTTAGGACTGACATTGATCAGTCTCTCATTGTCATTTGTGCACCCCATTGCACAAGCAAGTGGCTATCATGACTCAGTAGCTGAGTGGAGAACGCGATGGCGTTTGAAGCAAACGGTACTGAATTCGAGTTCAAGAATGAACATCAACTCTGAGATACAGGTACATTCAGCTGACGAGTCCCAAATAGGACGGAACAAGCGTTCCACTGCTAGCCACTATCCGTCTTTGCTTATAATTGGTTGGAGCTGTTTTATACGTGTCTGACACCCCACAACAATATTAATCTACAATCCTAAAGTTGCCTTAACAATCCAAACTTAGTAAAACGTTCCAAGTGTTTGGATCTTTGAATTATTAACATATACCTTAATCATAAACATGATCACTCAAAACGTTTGGTGGCTTTCAGCAATTATATAGGTGGTGATTTATAGTCACCCTTGAAAAAACTACCATAACACGAAATTTCGATACTGAATGATGGTGATTATAAACTCACTAATACATTTTCTTTATCCAAAAATGTAGCCTGTTGATCCAAAGTCACTTCAAGTAATGCAGATTCAGCCAAAAAGCACTTGAGAAAAATAAGAGAAAAGTTATAGAAATAATCACAAGAGATATTTTCAATGTGTTTTGAACCAATTAGTAATAACGAAGACGACAAACTCGAAGTGCTTAACCATAAAAATACGATAAATTCTGTAATCATAGCATTAAGTTACTTTTACTGGCTTAGACTTTAAAATCGCTCTCTGTTTCTGTAATCTAATCATATGAATGTTCAGAGGCCTGGTAAACAAATCACTAATAAAACCTTAATGTATGAGCGTCCAATGTACAAATTCAGAGGATACGAATTTTCGAGCTGTATTTAACAATCTATCAAGCTCATTGGCCATAACTCAAGACTATTTATAATATGTTGAACAGTATAAAAGACCAAACAGATTGACAGGTAAATTACTGTTAGAAATGAGTTACAATTCAAAGGCTTGAAAGTAAATAGTTAAGAACGAAAAGCAGGAAATTTATCATTTTTCGACGCAATCGTGATAGTGTCTTTACTAATATTTGTGACGGTATGGTGTTATTCAACGGGTTATCGGCATTTTTAGTGGTGCCGCCTTCTCAGACTAGCATGGACAAGCAAGTGAAAGTGGAGAGTAAAACTTACATATATTCTGTAGCCCTATCCAGTTAATCCAACAAAAACTACTCACAAAAACACCCTTCTCAAGGTTTGTGAACATGCTCCCAGGTATACATGATTTGAGTAAAAGTAATGTCTTTTTTATCTTCCCTCAAGAAAAAAATATCCTTAGGTAACATGGATGACAAGAAAGCAACTACTCCATGAGCACACTCCTTACACTGCTCCAGACTAACTCATTCTACATATGAAACTCCAATAAAACTGCGTACTTATGTTTAATTGGAGTAATAATTATTAATTTTTTCAATAAGCAATCATTGTATTTAAAAGAAAATCACGGAACAAAGTATTATATACATAGTTGAAAGCGTGAGTCAATTGAAGCTAGACCACCATGGAAAACCTGGAAACACTAGACGGCCGTTTCGTCCTATTATGGGACTCCTCAGTAGAGCGCATCCACGAACCCACTCTCGCGAGATTCGAACCCAGGACCTATCAGTCTCGAGCAGAAGCCCTTAACCGATACACCACTGAGCCGGCATTCAACGGTGTTAATGTCTAACTTCAACCAATCCACGATGTTTGAGCAACCATTCACCAATTGTCTTCAATGAGTTCCTATCTCACAACAGACGTGGTTTTGAACTCCACTGGTCACTGCTTCATGGATGCGCACTGCTGAGGAGTCCCATAATAGAACGAGACGGCCGTCTAGTGTTTCCAGGTTTTCCATGGTGGTCTAGCTTCAATTGACTCACGCTTTCAACTATGAAAAATACTAAATCTCCACAAAACCCCTTCTGATAATTATTATATACATAACTAAAAAATATCTAGAAATAGTTACCAAATGAATCAACTGGGTAAATACTAAAGGGTCATATTTGGTATTATTAACTTAAGGTTTTTTAAAGTTGCCATGATCATTTTTATTCAGTTGATTTTATATCCATCAATGAAAATGGTTTTAAAATCTTAGTGAGTAATTTAACTTATTTACCAAAGCTTCATGCACTTCTAAATGTGAGCCTAATTTCGAGCAACGATACTCGAATTTCGGTAAAATAGCCAAAGTGACTTGTTTGTTATTTAATAAGCATATAGTGACAACAGTTTTCAGCAGTTTATCTTTTAAATTGATTTTATTTTTGTTTAAGTTATCTACCCACAAGATACCTTGTCTTCATTCTTGGATATCTGAACAAGTGCTCAGACACTTTGACATCAGTATTATGAAAATGTAGGAAGTTTATATGAGCAATTTATGTATTATGTTAATTTAAATTCACTTGTTAGTGTGTACTTGAACCTTCCCATTGATGTTTAGGACTGCAATTGATCAGCTTCTTATTGGCAGATGTGCATACTGTGCGGATTGCCTCGATACTGCCTGACATCACAAGCATTCTAAGCAAAAATGGATGGTGGCTAGCAGTGGAACCAAGAACGCGTGTTTCGTTCTATTTGGGACCCGTCAGCTGGATGTACCTGCATTTCAGAGTTCATGTTCACTCTGAGACTCGAGCCAACAAGAGATTGATCAATTGCAGTACTAAACATCAACGGGGAGATTGAAACAAACAATACAAAGTGAATTAAAACGTCATCCCATTGCAAAAGCAGCTGGCTATCAGGACTCAGTAGCTGAGTGGATAACGCGATGGCGCTTGAAGCGAACGGTACTGAATTCGAGTCCAAGAGTCGACGTCAACTCTGATATGCAGGTATATTCAGCTGACGAGTCCCAAATAGGACGAAACGCGCGTCCTGGATTCCACTGCTAGCTACTATCCATCTTTGCTCATATGATTTTTTATTATGATCATTACTAATACTATGAATTATTAGCCTACAAAATATACAAAGTCAGATGAATCTATATCTTAATTATAAAGATTTACGGACACTTTTAAATGATTTTCTTTCAAACATATGTAAACAGTAAACATACTATAACGTAATTAATTAATGATAGATTTCCGAAAATAGCATTCATCTGATGTTAGGTTCAATAACTAGATAAGTAGTTGGCTAACTCAGATAGGGATGTGGAACCTTATTTAGACAACTCACTCAAAATAAGCTCTCTTATCATCAAATTTCTTACTATCTATGCTTGAACAGAATATGGTTTATCCTGACTTGCCAGTCATATCAGTTGACCTCAAGATAATTATTTCTGTGTCAATATTTAGTCGGTAAAACATAGAATCCTTTCATGGATTATACAGTTTTGACTATCACAAAACACTACTGATTGTAATATATCCTAGATGTTTTTAGATATGTCATGGAGATTTTTGCATTTTTCATTGAACGGTGAACCGTTGTTACCGTAACTTATACTACACTTTTATCAAATACATTCGAGCGCGAGAATGGAGATCCTGAGTTCGAGCCCCACATGTATGATCATAGATGAGGACTGCTGAGTCCCATACTAGGACGAAACAACCGTCCAGTGGTTAAAGGTGTTCAATGGTGGTCTAGCTTAGATTGACTCGTTAATTTAAATGTGAAAATACTACAATCTCCACAAATTCCCATACCAAAAATAAATTGTTAACAAAATCTACCAGTCAGCAATTCTATCATTGCAACTAAATCAAATTTATCAAATTACGAATGCAAAAATATTTTCGTTTAAGATGAGTTTTTTAAACTTTCGAACATCATAAACAACATAAATTAATTGATCGTTTAAATTAAATAATATTTCATTTAGTGAAATTCATGAACAAATTGTAACAGTAAGGTACACAAACACAATTAGACAAATAAACATACTGTGTGGATTAAATATTTGGACGTTATTTATAATCTGGAAAAAAACAATAATGATACAATCACACTAACTATTGTAATAATTGAAAGCGTGAGTCAATTGAAGCTAGACCACCAAGGGAAACATGGAAGCACTGAACGGCCGTTTCGTCCTATTTTGGAACACCTCAGTAGTGCATATCCATAACCTTGGCTCGCGAGATTCGAAGCCAGGACCTACCAGTCTCGCGCCAGAGCACTTAACCGATAGACCACTGAGGCGGCATCCGATGGTGTTTATGTCTAACTCCAACCAATCCACGAAGTTGAGCAACCGTTCACCAATTGTCTTCAGTTTGTTGATATCTCACAACAGATGTGGTTTGAACTCCACTGGTCAATGCTTCTCACTAGAAATCTTGGATTTACATCTCGAAGTCAGTCACTTGTGAGCATATGATTATTATTATCAGAAGGATTTGTTTGTGGAGATTTAGAATTTTCATAGTTTAAAGCGTGAGTCAATTGAAGCTCGAATCTCTCGAGGCGAGGTCGTGGATGCGCACTAATGAGGAGTCTCACATTGGGACGAAACGGCCGTTCAATGCTTCCAGGTTTTCCATGGTGGTCTAGCTTCAATTGACTCGCGCTTTCAACTATGAAAATACTAAATCTCAACAAAAAACCCTTCTGATATTGTAATAATTGTCTAAAAGATAGAGGACAATGAAATTATGACAACTTAACTTTATATAGTTGAATGAAGAATATGATTGTTATGCAGTAGAATTTATTTTCACTATCTTTATTAATTTTGTTTATTCAGAGTAGAACTGTCCTTTTTTTAGTAGAGATTACTTCGATTCGAAAATAGTTTTTATTACAGACTGATATCATTTAAAGAATCATTTGAAACATGATAATACAATTGAATAATAATATAGACTCCTCAGTAATGTAAACATATGATAGCTTATTTAGTTGAATTTAAGACCTATTAAATGAGTAGCGAATAGAAATCATGCATTCTATACCTTAGAGTTTAGTCTATTTACAAAATAAAGTAATAATCGTCTAGTGCCATAGATGATAGATTTTTCATTCTTAATAAATATAAGAGAGTTCGTAATTCCCCTCAAGATGCTCTCAAACACACGTGAACTTATAAATTTTGTTAAGGAAGTCCTACTCACTGAAATCTAGGTTACCAAAGTATTGTTACGAAAGTGAATACTAGGAGTTTAAAGCAGAATGGTGAGTACGGAAGTTTCATCAAGGTTAGTTAGAAAACTATGATCTCGAACTAGTAGGCTCTAGGGCATATGAAGGTAGTTTACAAACCTATTTTAAAGACTGGATACCACGGCAGCGAATTTATTGACTGTGACCTATTACTTTATGAATTGAGCATTTAGTTCAACGGCTCAGGGAAAGATCGCCCAAAAAAACACTTGATTCCAGGTGTACTTGGTAAGTACTTCTGGCCACGCTCAAGTATGTTGATGAGTAATTACAAACAAACTGAAGGCTGAATTATACGTTTATGGTTTTTCATCAGAAACAAGAAATTTTTTCTCAAATCTGTTTATGTGAAACATTTCTTTGAACCATATAATTCAGCTTCAATCTAAAACAACTGCATAATTTAATTCCACACATTATACAGATGTTTCGATAAATCATGATCCAACATAGTGGAAAAATATAATTCATCTGTGAAGTCTAGAAAATCTCTTTAATCTGAAAATATTTTAAACACTATCGTTTTTATTTCCATTTTAAATGTTTGAGATCTCTCGGATTATCACAACATTTCTTATTCATCAATTTTTTCTCAATTGTGATTATGCCTGAAATCCCTCTCACATTTTACAAAAAACCTGAAGCAGGAACTCTTATAGTTCGCAAACATTATTTGTAGAGTTTTTGTTGCCAATATTTCCATATCTGAGGTTTATTTGTAATGAAAAATAACTTCACATTATATTAACTTTGTACAATCAAACTCAATACTCGTCAGTGATGTAACTACAAACGAAAGTTTAAAAGCTGAAGCGAAAATTCCATGTTTACATTTATTGACAGTGGCTGAGCATATGTTAATTATATACATACATACATCATTGAGTTTAGATCACTACTGAAAACTTGGAAGCACTGGACGGCCATTTCGTCCTAATGCAGACTCTTCATCAGTGCGTACGCAGGATTCTGTATATGGAACTCAAACCCAGAACCTTCGGTCTCGGGCGAGAACGCCTAATCTCCAGACCACTGAGCTGGCATCCAACGGTGTTAATGTCTAACTTCAATCAATCCACAATATTGAGCGACCGTCCACCATTGTCTTCAGTGAGTAACTACCTCACAACAGACACGGTTGAACTCCACTGGTCACGGCTTCTCATTAAATTAATTTGTCTACAAATTTTATATTTAATAAAATGCTAGAACATTGAGTGGTGACCAGGAATTCTAATCCAAATGTTTAAGTAAACGGTTATAAGAAGTATGTGAAGCGTAGAAAAAAACGTAATCATTCGAATAGTTAGAGTAACTGAAAATGTTTAACATTAAAGTCACAATAAAGTGTATGTAATATGAATGATAATGAATAATTTTTGTTTAAAATATTATCAGGAAGATAAGTAGCACAATGAAAGTTGCTTAAACTGTTTATGGAAGAACATTTATAAATTACCTGCAAAGCATAACGTTCTTGAAGTCGAGTAGTACAATTGACCATTGAACTTTGAATCGATTTCCAATCATCTTCAAGTCCAGCTAACCGCTGCCCCAGCATAATATGTGGTGTGTCATAGTAACCTTTGAGCAGTTGCCTCCCAGTATCAAATAGTTTATTTGCTTCATTTTCATAATCTTTGATTTCTTGAGCACTTTGTTCTATAACTGTTAAACGATTTTCAGTTTCCTGAAAATGTTTATACATAATTTTACACACTATACATCAATAAAGGCACGTTTTAAATTTAGTATCATTTTCTGAGAACGTATTATGATTTGATTTGAAAACATAGTTAATATTAGTCAAAATATATTCATCAACCAACATAGTATATTCAATGGCAAATGTAATTTGTAGATACAAACATTTGGATACGCTACGCGAATGACCTCTTAGTTATCCCGGAGAGAAACCCAAAAATATGCATAAATTGAATCAAAACATCTTCGACGATGCGGAACAAAGTGGAGGATCTCTTCATTTGTACATACACAATCGCTAACTATCAGTAAAATGATACGATATGCTATCACTGACGTCAATGTATAGTATGAGAAAATTATAACAACCCCAGAGTATTTCTGAAAGCATAAAATTCAGGCCAATTAAAAACCAGTAAACACATCGAATCAGACTTGAAATATCAACCCATTCAATAAAGGTCAATCAATAACATGGTCAGAGATCAACAGAAAACAATCAACTTAGAAACAAGGGAAAACGGAAGTAATCGAACCTATGGAGATCACCAATCATCAAAAAGGCCACCGGGATAAGCTGATAAAATGTTTGTGGAGTAAGTAAGAAGCTCACTTTTATATGAAGTAAGCGTTGATGTTTATGTACAGAACGACAGTGAAAGCTCAAGAGACTCAAAAGCACCAAAAGTATTTGTACATCTATTATCAAATACTCTTCGGTTGTACGTTAATTTGAAATACCTTAGTGATAGAAATATTCCCATAAACAATTTTAATGTGATTCATCAATAGAATAGAAGGGAAATGTTGATGAGGAAAAAACGGTTAAAGTGTTGGAGTCTAATGATATAGAGTGATTTTAAGAGGCTAATTTGTTCAAACCAAAACATAATAATATTGAGTAATAACCAGTGGAATCATAGCTTCACAAATGTTGTAATAATTCGTCACAATTGAATATACATCCGTAAACTACCGATTACGATATGATATCAGTTTGGTGTTTTAAACCATAGTGACTGTGCACATGTGTTTATTCCTTCACTTTGCTACAGCTCACAATACGAAGTCAAAAGAAAATCAATATAAACGTACGACAGTTTAAATAAAAGAGGAGAAGGATATAAATGGCAGTAAATGTTTATACTTTAAATATCTTTAAGAGTATATTAAAAGTCCCACGAAATACGAAAAATCAAGGATTATTCTGAACTTCATAAGCATATTGAGAACTGATATGAAAGTCAAATTAAATAAAGGATAATATATTTATTAAAATAAACAAATACTTCCTTTCAATATTCCCTTTCTCTTTTCTAGTTAGGAATCTCAAAACAAACTAAAATACCAGTCAGTCAGTCAGTCAGTCACAACGTAGAACTTCGTACGTATGTACATCAGTTCGAGTTGCCATACCTAATTAACACAGAAATGCAGTTGTTGATTCAAATCCCATAGTGGTAGAAGTAGTAAGAGTAAAATCATTAATGTGAAAGATTAGAGTTTGAAGATGTTATTGAAGGAATATAATCCAGTGAAATAAAGTTGGAAAGAGATAGGGACATGAATTCAGATTAGAATTTGGCAGAACACAAAGAGTAGATGCACCTTCGCCATTGCAAACGATTTCGAGTCATGTCATTCAAGGTCTCTAACCATCGATTGCTATCATCTCGCGAATCCCAAACAGGTAGTCTACACCTACCAACATGGCCCAGTCCACTTGTCAGCGACTTCATGGATTTGTGCCACGTTTTGGTCTGGCCGCCCCTAGATTTCTTCCAACCTTCTCCTACACCATAAAGCATTGCACGTCGGGGCAGTCGGTGGTTGGGCATACGTAACACATGTCCCAGCCATCTCAACTGATGAAGTTTCACTACTTCATCAATCGATTTGCCATCCTTACCTAGTACCCGTTTCCTATCAACTGCATTACTTAATCGGTGGTCCCAGGATATACGAGCAATGCTTCGAAGACACCTATGATCGAATACTAGTAGCCTACAAATATCCTCTACTCTTATCGGCAAAATAGTCAACAACTGACTTAGCGTTCTTTATTGACTCAATTTTATGTAATTATAAGATTATTTTGTTACTTTATTTTTCTCTAGTTTATTACAAATACATTTTTGTAGTAAATGATTATTCATACTTTGAAGTGATGCAACGGAAATGATCATTGACTTCTTTTAATTCAAGATATTACAAAATTGAATGAGACTAATAATAACAAAAAAATGTTACAATATTAAATCATTTGGCATTTGTTTATTTACAGTTTAAAAGTTTACGTCGAATAATAGTAGTATTTTTTTAATAAATATATCGTGACTACTAGCAAATAAATAATCTTCCGTTATTTAGTATAATCTAATGAAAAACATACTATAGTTATTAAAACTTTTGAAGGGGTGTTTTCTTTATGCAAATTAATAAAAGACAATAAAGGATATTACATGGTGAAAGAATATATATATATATATTTCTTAACAGAACTAAATTATGTGGCAGAAATTTCATCTAGTAAATAAATAGTTGAACAGGTTAATCAGTCAGAGATCATAAACACCATAAAGTAGACTAGTATCATATTTAATACACTCACTGTTAAACTTTGAATCAAAGTAGAGACGTAATCATAATAATGTTTTTAATTCACAAATAGTATTCATACCAATTAAAAGCTAACTGTTGCAAACATTGAACTCAGTAATGAACTTTTAAATAATTAGTAACTCTTGTGAATATAGTTTCATATTAAATTATCCGACATATTAATATACTCACATTAAGTAAAACAAATATCAATACTTTAACTAACAAATAATAACAAAGAACAAATTGAAGAATATATTCTACAATCATACTTGTTATCTGATAACGAATAACATAATATATATATATATATATATATATATATATATATATATATATATATATATATATATATATATTAATTGCGTTTAATATCTGCTATCAAATCATTAATTTACTGAACTATGACAATATTTGTTACTTGAAATGTGTTTCATACTCATTTTAAGTTATTATTCAACTGGTTAGACCAATAAATGAACGGAAAATTAATAGACCATTTAATCAAACTATAAGTAATCGTTCAGTAAGCAGGCTACTTTCTTTTTTTTATACAAACAAATCGATAGGCAAGTGAATAACTTATAAGTCAACCTATTGATTAAATGACTTTTATACTTTTACTGAACTTCTGAACGTATTACTTTCGAAGAAAAAACCCTATCATATATAGAGGAAATTATACTGAAATACAAGTGGATTAGAAATACAAAATGTTCATGACCATTTAAAACCGTTTACACATTTATAAACAATAATTTGCCCATTATCGGTCAACCGTGGTCCGAGCACTCTAGTTTACTTAACAATTTTAGATACAATTCAATGTTGAGAGAATATTACTAGATGTCACTTTGAGACTGCATTACTAACACTCACTTCGTTCACTTATTATCTGAACACTCAATTTTTTTAAAAAAAAACATATGATATTCGAATATGGTAGTGTTGTGGTGATTGGAATTGGTTATCAAATGCAAACATGCAATGAGGCTAACATTAGTGAACACATTTTTGACATCACCATTTACAACCTCTTAGTGTAACGGTTCTAATATACTAGAGATTACCATCAAAATCTCTTTCTTTGGTTAACACAGGAAAACTCACACTTTAAGAGCTAATCAACTTATGTGGAATCAGTAGCATCCATGACAAATTAAGATAATGTGTTGACTGAGACATTATAAAATAATTTACAATGAACGTAAAAAAAACATATGATATTCGAATATGGTAGTGTTGTGGTGATTGGAATTGGTTATCAAATGCAAACATGCAATGAGGCTAACATTAGTGAACACATTTTTGACATCACCATTTACAACCTCTTAGTGTAACGGTTCTAATATACTAGAGATTACCATCAAAATCTCTTTCTTTGGTTAACACAGGAAAACTCACACTTTAAGAGCTAATCAACTTATGTGGAATCAGTAGCATCCATGACAAATTAAGATAATGTGTTGACTGAGACATTATAAAATAATTTACAATGAACGTTTCTAGCAGATCGCAACAACAAATTGTGCAGGTGCTTTCTTAACCGGATGAAAAATCTAACCATTAATCTGGATTTCAGTGATTTTTACTTTGGTATTGATTCGTTAACACGAAACACTTTTATCTACAATTAAAGTAAATCTTCAGTATATGTAATAATGTAACCCTGGTTAAGGGCAAACAACAGGTACAATTATGCATATAATACGTCAATTTAATGGATGAAATCTTTAAAAACTAGTGAAATTTTTCTTATGGATAAAGTTACCTGTAAATCACTTGGAAATTCACGAACAAACACATCAGTTTTTAATTTTCTCATCCAATCTTGAAATGAATCAAGTTTCTCAAGAAAGCGACTCACTTGACCTTCAGTAGATATTCGATTAACTCTTTGTTTAAGTGCTTCTTTTAAATTAAGCCACTGTTGTGTAAGTTTCATATGTTCTTTCATTAAATAATCCGCTCTTCGTTTAGACTTTAATTTTATATCTTGTTCATCGTATGCAATTTCTTGTTGTTCCGTCATACCAAGTAATTCTCCTATACGTTCACCAATATTTTCAACTCGTGCTTCAATTGCTTTTAAATCTCCTTGTAAATTAAATAAACGTCTTCTTAATTCTACCAAACCAGTCAAACTATTAGCATCAATGGAATCTGTTGAAAATAAAACTGCTTCTTTTTCTGTAATCCATTCAGATGTATATTTACATTCAATGAATAAATTAACATAAAATGATTCTTCAATTATTCGGTCTCTGTGCGACTCAACTGTATCAGCAATTCTATTCCAAGCCGAGTTTAGGTGATCTTGAACATTGATAACTTTCTCAATTGTCATTTCTTTATTAACTAATGATTGATCATCTCTTTTTGGTTCATTTAAAAACCTAGTTATCATCATGTTTACAGTAGATACCTAAATATTTATCGCATATAAAAAATAGTTTTTATTTTTTAGAATAGAACTTCAAGAACTCCAATATAAAAATTATACTGAGCATTTAAATTATTTATTTTTAGTAAAAGCCAATATCATTCAATGATTTATCCGTCTCATAGTCAATTCTAATAATTTGTGCATCCTATGTATCAATTACATTGCAGTTTCAGTTATGAAAAAAAAAACGGTTAAGATTTATTCATAAGCAGTTGATGAGAAACAACGAAATATAATGAATTCATATGATTCTGCCTTAATTATTATCCTGGCTTTATTTAATTTCATTGCATGTAAGTTCATAATATCTAAAAACACTACAGTATTTGTACCGTTCTAAAAATAAAATTTACAAAACCCAAAACAATTTGTTTTGGCTACTTTCTTGAAACTCAGTAATTCTTTAATTTCACTTAGTATTGCTTGTTTGAATCATCCCATTGATGTTTAGGACTACAACTGGTCTGTCTCTTATTGACATATGTGCATACTGTGCGCATTGCTTCGATATAGCCTTATTTTACAAGCATTGTAAGCAAAGATGGATAGTGGTTAGCAGTGGAATCCAGGACGCACGTTTCGTCCTATTTGGGACTCGTCAGCTGGATGTACCTGTATCTCAGAGTTGATGTTCACTGTGGGACTCGAACCCAGTACTGTTCGCTTCAAACGCCATCGCTTTTTCGACTCGGCTACTGAGTCCTGATAGCCACTTGCTTGTGCATTGGGGTGAAGTTTAAATTCACTTAGTATTACTTGTTTGGATATTCCCATTGATGTTTGATGGGTTCTAGTCCCAGAGTGGACATCAACTCTGAGATACAGGTACATCCATCTGAAGAGCCCCGAATAGGACGAAAAGCGCATCCTGGATTCCACTGCTAGCCACTATCCATCTTTGCTTCAGTAATCCTCTATTTTTCCGTATGAATATCTCGTTTTTATTTTCAATGTATTAATGAGTTATACACATGAGAATTAAAAGTAAGTCCAGTACATGAGATGTGTTAAACAGAATTGTGGAAAGTCACTATATCGTTTCGTTTAGAAATTGGAAACTGGCAAAAGAAAGGTACTTGAATTATGTTTGATGAACCTTAACATAGCATACTGGCTTTTAGTTTGTCTACCGCATCGTCACATCAATTGATTTGGTACATCACTATCAAATGAATTATTAATTTTTCGAAAGTTATCAACCTAATAAAATAGGTTTATAATGTACTTTAAACAATATGAAATGAGGTGGATAATCAGTTTATTAGTAACAAATTAGTCAACATATATGACATTAAATGTATTCTAATATACTATTCCCTTGCTTATTTGTCGTTGCGAGATTTGGGGCGCTTTTACGTATTTCCAAGGAGATAATAATTCTTCATTCTTTTTCTATTATTTGTATCCCAAGCTTTCATATCATGGTTTTTAGTTTGATCTTGTTATTCTTAACTCGACCTTAATGTTCATAACTACTTAATCTCAATGTTGAAAATCCACCTTCTCTCATTTCTAATAGTTTACTACTGTGGTATTCTTATTTTCCTAAAATATATGAGAAGATCCAGTATTGGTGTTATATATCGTTTGTCTCTCTATGATAACTTTTTAGCCAAAACATAAAACTGACATTAGGTCTCGCATCAAGACTACTTCAATCCTCTATAAAGGAGGTGAATGAACTGCATCATGCGGGCTAAATCCAACCCATCATAAAACTCTGTAACCCAAAAGACCACTTAGAGGAGTAAAAGCGGTTGTAAGTTAAATGATTTAGAATTACTTTAAGGAAACATGATATTTCATATTACAATGTTATGGTGTGATGTTTCAAGTCAAACTCAAACAACAATCTAAGAAACTTAAGAAAAGTAGCAAAGTTCGTTTCACAACTTTAGACTCGCAAACTGTTTTACTCAAGAAGTTTGTTTACCTTTGTTTTATAGCCTGGTAAGATGCCGGTATTATACGATGAATGTTATACTGAACATTCATTAAACTATCACTTATTTGGGAAATAGTGTGGAATAAACGCTAGTTTAATCCACTTGCAACTTCTCAACATAACCGTTTGTTACTACAAATTGCTAATAAGACAACAAACGATTTGCAAATTTGCTTACTTGCTCAGCTGCTGTACTCATCTGTTCCTCTAGGTCAGAGAATCTATTTTTAACAATTTCTAATCTTTGAATTAATCCTTGGTTAGCACTGACGTCACCTTCTATAATCTTAGAAAACTCCTCTTCTTGTAGGTCGTCCATTATTAACAGCTGGATATAAACTTCCTTCTCAGTAATCCAGTTATACGTCGATGAAGCCATTTGAAACAACTGATGAACTGATACAGCATCTAAAAGTAGTAACTGTGTCTGACGAATGCATCCACTAAGAACAGAAAACGAATCTAAGAGACCTTTCATTCTATTCTTTATTAAATTTCCAACCTCATTCTTAGATTTTATGGTAGCCTCCGAAATCGGTCCTATTGATTTAACATCTTTATCACCTACAGTATACAAACAATCTATATATCCTAATAACTCGTCTGCTTGAAGCTTCATTTGATCAATAGTGGTCTGGAAGTTATTCAAACTGGAAATAGTTTCCTGATGTTGTTTCGTTAATTTTTCTATGGTATAAATACTGTCAGTTTGCGTAGCAACACGCATTGCACCGGAACTTAGTTCATATTTTTCCGATATCCATGCATCTGCATCATCACAACTTAACATAAAAGAACGTAAATCTTTCATAAATAATAAATTAGTTTTACGTTTAGCCATTAGATTTATGAGCTGTTCCCACGCTCTTTCAACCTTTGTCACTTTTTCCTTTAAATTTTCATAATTTGGACATTCTTCTTCAACCAAACTGGACGTTCGTTCAAATAGTCGAGTGATAATCAATCTTTGTGTTTCTAATTCAGATTCAGCCGCTTTATGTCGCCGGGAGAAAACATCAGTATTACCATTGTCAACAAATGTTTCACTTTTCTGCAAAAATGATATACGTTCTTGTATTGAAATTAATTGTTCATCTAACTCATATTCTGAACTGTGATAAAGTTTCAGAAATTCTATAGACCGTCGCTTAGATTCAATCAGTTGTACAAGTTGTGAATAGGCATCTTTTAACAGATTATTTTGCTTTTTTATTTCAATTGCTACAGTATTAGTTTTAAAACCAAACAACTCTGGAGAGTGATCAATTTGAGATTCTAATTCAAATAGGATTGATATATTTCGATGAATTGAACGTATATCTGTTTCTATTAATTCGTATTGTTTTAAACGTTCTTCAATAGCAGCTAAGTGATTATTAAATTCATCGATTCGTAATTTAGATAAAAGCGACTTTATAGATCCCATGAGGTAATCTGTTTCTGAAAACTTTTTAAACAGGTTTTTTCTATTTTCAAGAATTTTGTATCTTTCATTCATTACTTTTAAGAGTCGATCCCACATATGTTGGATTTCTTTTTGAACTTTTAAAACAATATCTCGCTTAAAAAAATCATTACCAATGAGTTCATCAGCAATTTGTTGAATTGTCTGTATTCTGTCAAAATATGCATAAATATCAGCTTTTAGAGCTTCATACTTTTTTAACGACGCTTCAGTCATCGCTAAATTCCTATCATCATCACATACCTCAACCAATTTGAAATTATCACTAATCCAAGCCTTTCTCAAATTCGCTTTTTTTTCGTAGCGTGAAAACAAATGCAGTAGACGTTTTTGCTTGTCCAGCACTTCTCTCAAAGCTATTTCACGTCCATACTCAGCTTTCTCTAAGGCATTCCATGCACGATTGAGTTGAGATATTTGTGCATCTGTGGATGGTATATAATTTCTAAGTCCTAGTGTTCTCATTTTTGCACGTGTTAAAAGAAAATGAGCCTCAAGTTCACCTTTTTCATTGAACTTGTCTGACTTTTCTTGAAGACGATATTCTTTAAATGAGACCATAATCTGTTGAATTTCTTCAACTTGATTGGGAAAACGACGATCATTCAGCCACAGCACTGTTTTGGCAATCCATGACAAAAGATCTGATGCGCGTCTTTCGTACCAATCGAAAGAATTCTGGAGGTCACGCCAGTAAGTTATAAATTTTTCCAAACGACGAGCACGAACAGTTTCCGATTTCATTTTTGAAAAGTAATGATAATATGTAGCGACATAAGTAACAATAGATTTTTCATCTGGCTGTTGGACATATATGTCTTCAGGATCGAAGAGTCTAGATATGCCCAACTTTTTTTCGGCAACTATAAAGGCAGACTCCAAATTTTGCAGTGGTGTGTTCACTGACAATTCGTCAAAATTGACCAGATCTGGACGATGCCTGTGGATAAGAGCATTGAAAGCCAAGCCATCACGCCAACTAGTTGTAAAATTTTGCACGTCAACGTTTCGATAACCTGAAGTTTTGAGCTGACACCATAATAATAAAGCCTCCTTTGAATATCGTTGCACATCACTTTTGATTCCTAAAGGATCGACTTTCTCCAAAAATATGATATCTTGGATTTGAAAACGAAGAATAATCATCCATAATAACCCAAGCGTAATCCTTGCATTTCCATCAACAATGTCATGTGCCCCAATATTTTCTAAATGAACTCCAAAATTGCTTAAAAAGAAGAGAGATTTGTCAATGTTTTCCAAACAATGAATCCTCATTCTCCCTAAGGTAGGACTAGGCTGTAAACAAAGCAAGGGAACGATAAGGGAAAATAATCGCTGTGAATATAAAACATACCATTTTAATTCCAGAAAGTATTTCTAATAGCTGTAATAAAATTTTTCCGTCACGTAAATCCAAAAAGAGATCATATATTTCAATCCCTACCCTCCTCAGAAATGTATTCGCCCACTTTGTAAATGTCTTTTTTTGGACTGTTTGCCTCTCCGCTTTACAGAAATTAACATCACGAAATCAAATTTACCTGCTAATGTATATATCCGTGTTCTTTCATAAACACGAGAAGTAGCCAGACTTTTATCATATTCAGAAGAACTTCCTGGACTAAAACCATCACAAGACGTTCCAACATCATAATAATCACGAAATATTTGGGGTCTTAATCTCTCCACATGCATGAGTGGTAGATAATATTCAGCTCCAACGCAAAACGTTTAGGAAAACTGAAATCAAATAAAATAGAATTTAATGAATCGTCATTTATTCTCAATAAAACCAAACACTGATCTGAGACGTAAATGGTCATATCTATTTTCAAAAACTAGAACTGGTCAAAAACTGATAGCATCGTCCTGATGACGCATCTACGTATATATTATCTAAATAATTTGAGGTTTTTGGACCAAAAAGATGTAATATTATGTTGCAAATACAAGATATAGAAAGATAATTATCAATACAACGACAAATAATATGGACCAAGAAATGCTAAAATTAAGATTATTCATTTCCGTATAGTAATTTTAGATGGCAGAATTTTCAGAAATCTCTCTTGACCATTTATATCTTAAGTGAAATAAATCGCAGGTCGTAGGTACAGGTTCTCGATATTATAGATTAAAAACTACGCAAAGAAGTCTATTTGTTCTTTCTTTTACCTACGTTTCAATTTCAATCCCAAACAAACATAATCGTTTGTCGTATTTTCAGTCCTTCAGTTAGCTAGCGACATTGTATCTTGAGTAATATCTTATGATAAATTTGGTCAAGGCTCATCCAGCCGGCAATGTTTAGTAGCTATAATCTAGAATATCATAGATATTTAAAAACATGTCATTAGATCAGTTTTTTAATTTTACTCCGACAATTATTATTTCGCTCACAAGTACTTATCATGCACCTGCCATTTAATCAATAGGATACAGAAAAAACTTTATACTCTCTGTACCTTAGGTACGAGACCGTATTGATCTAGAAGTTAATGCTTTAAGACGAAAATCTTTCATAACTACATAAGAACTGCTACTTGGGTTTGAAATTATAGTTTTTTCGTTACAAAACGTCTACCTTCTTTCAGTGCACTGCTCGGTAATTATCACCAGCACCTATTAATAATAAGTTTTAATAAAATTAATTTATTTGGTGATACGTTATGTTTGCGATGTAAATACGGTTGGATCTTTTTAAATATCTAGGAGAAAGTATGCTTGTAGGGACACTTTTTGACTAAGACATGAACGGGAGGGATAGAAATAAGACATGGGACGCATATTACTTTACAAACCGGGTAAAATGTTATTAATTTCAAAGAAATGAAATTTCATCATCACAGGTTCAACAAGTCACGAAACAGTCCTAACTTAAAACATATAATTTCATTACTTAATAGAATAGAAATCTATTATTCAACCATGTCTAAATCCGCACTTTTGTTTTTTAATACGATGAGCTAAGAGGTCAGAAATATTTAGATAATCCAAGTATATATAGTAGCACTAATCTGACCTCATATTTGACGTTAGGTTATAAAGCTTGTCTTGACCGTTTTTGAAAGTCAAGAGTACGGCATATTATTGAATAACAACACTAAAAAATGGACATTACCTAGAGTTAAGTTTTTAGCATTGTTGATGTTACTTTGTTATCTTAAAGAAATTTCAGGAGCTCAAATAACCTATGCTGTGAAGTTGAATATAAGAATATGTGGTGGAAAAACGTTTGCGTCATAGGCTCGTTCACCGCAGTTTCTAAAAAGACCGAAATGTTATTGGTTTAGTGTTCAACATTTTAGTGGCGGGATACCAGTATTCAGTATATTATCTGAAAATATTAAGTCTGTTGTTTGATCACTCATTGGCTTGCAGATTCCTATTTTTTAAGTTTAAAAACATCATAATCGTTACTCTATATAGAACGTTCAATATTTGGTCTGGAAGGTTTTGCAACATATCAACTCTCATTGCGACAAATCTGAAGATCAATATTGTTGCTTCAAGTTCTTAGAACCGATAATCATCGAAAGCGGAAAATCACATAGATTCAGAATAAAATATAAAGTTTTAAATTTAAAAACCTTTCAAATAAAGCGAAATATTTACACGTAGGAAAACGGATTAGATGGTTCAAATAATTTATATCTTCATAGTGTTTGTAAATTTCTGCTTTCAAACCTTGGAAAGAAAAAACAGCGAATACGGTTTGATCTGTGACAAAAATGACATATTCAATACAGATGTATCAAAAAAATATATTTTAGTACTTTTGTAAAACGAAGTCCAATGTAGAAGAAATATTTATCAAATCCACGCTTTATAGGACAATTAAGTACACATTCATAAAAATCCTTTAGAAGCTATGGCATCATTATAGGGACCATCAAAAATTCAAAACTATGAAGTTCGAGGAGTTTATCAATTACAAAAGTGTAATCGATGTGGGTTAAAAAAAAACCTTGGAAAGAGTGAGAAATATGACGTTTAACTCCCAGATTTCAAGTGGTTTGAATAGATGTAACAATAATGTTGACTTTCAGCTACTAACACTGGATGGATCATAGTTTTGAAAATTTCTCTGATAATGGACGACAGAAAAAACTTTAGTCGTTGAAAAGTGCTCAAAAAGTCACCTCAACTGATTAAAAAAATATGATGGAGATAACTAACCAATAAGTCAGACATACATCTGTGGTATCTTTGCAGAACATTGTGATGTTAAGATCATATCTACATTGAAATGTTGCATAACGATAACAAAAGAATTTATTTATGGAACCTCTTGAACTAAATGAAAACAGAAAATATTTACTAAAAGAAATAGAATATTGCGAACTAGCGTTTTGGATTTTTCGATCTTGATTACTTCTGTAATATGATGTAAAAGCATACCTGCTAACAGTATGTGGATCTACAGAAAGTTAATTGCAAAGCATGAGCTCGTTTCGAACAAATTATAAATGCGATTGTATAGGTTGTATCTTGAGTAATTCATTTGACCAATTTAAACAATAAACCTAGAAAGAATCTTTTGAACTTCAGAAATGAATTTTTGGTATTGTGATTTCAGTTTTCGAAGAAATGGTTATTGGATACATGACTAATTTCAAGTGAATTTTTCTCCGTCGTACAACTGACTTAACTAAATGACATTCCTTTTCTCACATCATAATCGGTCTTGCTGTATGTTGACTATTTGAAGATATGGAGAGCAACAAAATGTAAAGGTGATAGCTTGGAGTTTCAAAATGATATGGTAAAATTATCTGAATTATCTCAAACTTGGAAGTTGCCGATGAAAAATTGTCATAGAGCTTTGTGATGCATATTGGTTATCAAGGTACGGATACTTACACATTGAATAACATTGAGCTACCCGTTGTCCAGACAACTTGACTTAAGAGTCATCGGTAGTCAAGATTTAAAAACCACTGCATACTGCCGTGCAATAGCTGCCGAGGGTTCTAGAACACTATGGTCAATTATCAGAGCCTTTAATCATCTCGATGCTAAAAACTTTTTGACCTTGCATACAGCATTCGTGTGTCTTAAACTTCAGTACTGCATACAAGCGGCTAGCCACTGCTAGAAAAAAGACAACGAGCTTTTGGAAAAGGCCTAAAGAACCGCAGATAGCAAAGCTCCCTTATGATGCTCAACTGACTGGACTGAACGTATTCCCATTGTCATATTGTAGAACTGTAGGTAACCTGATTACAGTTTTCAAATTAATTGGTGCTGAATTCGCATCTGATATGCCCTAACTTTTCTTGCCTTCTAAAACAGAATACTTACGAGGTCACTTCAAAAAAGTTCGCATACTCAGGACGAATTCCTTGTCAGCTATCTATCACGTAGAACCATAAACGAATAAAACTCGTTTCCTCAGCACTTGACCGAAGCTCCGTCTCTCGACACTTTGGAAAGAAAGTTGGATCACTTGGATGCCGTCATTGTTATACAGTCTGATATTTACACATATGTATTAAATAACTGGGGTAAGAATAAGTACAAAGCCTCCTGACTAACAGGTTTAAACGAATTCAACCAAATGCTCCATTTACTCTATCGAACTGTCCTGGTTCAAATATAAGCTTTTGCATCCCCAACATTTTAAAATAAATTGTCTGACAAAATGATGATGTAGATAGTTGTGTATTTAGTGCAACAAAGCTTTCCAGAAATGTCCTTATCCTATTTTTGTAGACAATATAGCAAAAGGATATACTCAACATTCTAACATCTAATCACTATATATTACGTCAGAGAAATGGTCTTGTTTACATTCATGTAGTTAATGAATTTGCCATATTGTGATGTATTTTTACTAAAAAACTAGATTATACTTTGAACTTTGCTATGGCTGTAATTTTTATTTACATCAGTTTGCGTTATACCGTACATCTGTAGTACATGCTAGAATAATATCCTAATGAGGATACAACGGATATTCTAGTTTGGCAACTAGCAACCAGTAGTATCTTCTATAATCGTTCGTTCCCAGTCGAATAGAAACCAGAAGTCAGATGAGGAGAGGTAGGAAAGATATATTTGATACGTTACCAATATATCGAGGAACCTTTACTATAAGCTGGCTAATGAACGTAGGAGTTGTGTCCCACGCCGTGTTGCAACGTGATCTGGTACGGATGCATGACCGAAAGCCTTCAGTTAAACAAGTCCACTTAAACAACGTGGTCAGCATCCAATGTCGAACACTTAATGAGCCATTGATTTTGGGGAATTATTTACAGCCACAGATCACTCCCCCCCTAGTGAGGTAGTGATGTCCCTAAGACGTGACCAGTCAGAAGTTTAAACCCAACGAGTTTGTCGTTGATAAACACTCTTCTGATAGCTTGCTTCGTTTAGCAGCGTCTGGTCGTCTTTCCTTAAACTATGGGGCCAAAATGTACAACATAGCAATAAAGAAATATAGTTCAATGAAAATTTCGGTTCCTTGCGAAACTTCGTCGTTCTTTTCCAGCCGTCCTGGAAAAGAGGAAAAATAAAACGTGTGAGTGCATGTCGAAAATACACTCGTACTTGCGTAAGGACACAAGATGAGCGGAAAAAAAATAAACTAATACACTTACAAACAGCGTAAAAGCGATCGGAAAAAAAGGATTTTTTGGTTTTTTTATATATAAATATATATATATATATATGTACGCTCAAAAAAATAAGAATGTTTTGTTTTTTTTGGTTTTTTTATATAAATAAAAAATTATCGTATTAAAATTTTTTTATTTAGAATAAACTATGGAAGGGTAATTCAAGATAGAGCTTATATCCTACGTGCAATATTCGTTAAGATGTTCTGGAAATCTTACTCGTCTTCCAGAACGCGTTGTTTTAGGTTTACCTAATGTTGTTGACGAAGTATCAAGTTGTGTGTTGGTTGTCGTGTAGGGTACTACGAGTGTAGTGGCTGTGTCGTTTGCTTGTACCGAAGGAAAATAGACGTAGCTAGGGTTTCCTTCTAGGTACGCTGGTTTGAATCGATCGATACTGATGCTATCGTTCGTACCGTTCTTATCTACTACATAGTACTTAGGTTCGCGTTGAAGAACTTTGAAGGGTCCTTCGTATGCTGATTCGAGGGGTCGTCGATGTGAGTCTCGACGAACGAAGACGTGTGTACTATGTCGTAATTCGGGTTGAACGAAAACATCAGTTGATTGAGGTCGAGTGTGAGCAGGTTTAACTGAACGCATAGCGTTTGTAAGCCTACTTGTGTAAGTGTTTAGATCCATGTTCAACGAAGAAGCTGAAGGATCTACGAATTCTCCTGGGAGTCGGAGTGTCGTTCCGTAAACGAGTTGAGATGCCGTGTATCCAATGTTAGCTTTCACTGCATTGCGGATACCTAGCAAGACGAGTGGAAGAGCGTCTGTCCGCTGTGAAACGTTTGAAGCTGATAATGAAGCTTTTAGTTGTCGATGAAAACGTTCTACCAACCCGTTTGCTTGTGGGTGGTAGGCGGTCGTTCGGAAGCGCGTGATTCCTAAAAGTGGGGTGAGACAACGGAAAAGTCCAGATTCGAACTGGCGTCCGCGATCTGTAGTGATGGTTGAAGGGTAGCCGAAATTTGCTACCTATCGTTCGACGAAAGCGCGGGCCACGAATTCAGCAGTAATATCCTTAATCGGTACTGCTTCTGGCCATCGAGTAAAACGGTCTACGCATGTTAGGAGATATGAGTATCCATTCGAGTCGGGTAAGGGTCCTACTAAATCTAGATGGACGTGGCCGAAACGGGAGTCAGGGGTTTTGAAAGAGCCTAAGGGACATTTGTTTTGTCTTATGACCTTAGATTTCTGACAGCTTATACAGGAGCGTGCCCACTCCCCCACGTCTTTATTCATGCCAGGCCAACAAAGGCGTTCGGCTATAAGTTTGACAGTTGCACGAGCACCTGGATGAGAAAGATTGTGCAATGTATTGAAGACGTTGCGTCGATAATCTTTTGGTACTATTGGACGATCCCTACCTGTAGATGTGTCACAGAGTAAGGTTTCCTTACCTGTTCCCATCTGCTTAATACTTAGTTTTAGAGTTGATCAATGACTTCTTTTTGAAGCTGAGCGAGTTTAAGATGGTCGATTTCTTAGAAACTGTTCAAGGAACTTATTCGAAACAAGGCGTCTGCGACTACATTGTAAGCTCCAGAAATGTGTTATGTGTCTGAAGTAAACTGTGAAGTGTAGTCCAGTTGTCGAGACTCTCACGGTGAGTACTTGTCTGAAGATGAACTTAAGGAGAAGGTAAGATGTTTGTGATCGGTAAAAAGCGTGAATTCTCTTCCTTCGATGAAATGTTGGAAATGCCGTACAGTGCAATACATAGCTAGGAATTCCCTACCGAACGTGCTGTACCTAGATTCAGCGTCTAGCAACCGTCTCGAGAAAAAGCCTAAAGGTTGCCACGAGTTGTTAACCCATTGTTGTAAGACTCCTCCGATTGCTGAGTCGGATGCGTCTACGGCGATACTAATGGGCGCTTGAGTGACCTGATGAGCAAGCAAGGTTGCTTTAGCGATGTGTTCCTTAACTGTGGAGAATGCTTCACGGGCTATGTCGTCTAAACTAATTGATTTTGCATTTCCACGAAGTTGGTCGGTTAACGGTTTCATAAGGGTTGCGCATTTGGGTATGAACCGTCTATAGAAACTTACAAGTCCGTTAAAAGTTCGTAACTGCTTGATCGTGGTCGGTTCTGGGTAATCCAGAATGGCCGCCACTTTGCTCCTAAGGGGTCGGATGCCTTGGGCATCAATGGTGTGTCCTAGGAAGTCTAAGGAGTTTGTTCCGATTTGGCATTTCTGTATGTTGACAGTATTGCCATGCCTTTGGAGTCGATCGAAAACAATGTCCAGATGCTTGAGATGCGATTCTCTGTCCGGACTTGCTATTAGACAGTCATCAACATAAGCATGTACGAAGTTGAGACCTCGAAAGACGTCGTCTATAAACCTTTGGAAGGTTTGAGCCACATTTCTTAAACCGAAAGGCATTCGCAAGAATTCGTAAAGACCGAAAGGAGTGATGATGGCGGTTTTCGGAATGTCGTCAGGTGCCATCGGTATTTGGTTATAGGCCTTAACCAAGTCGATTTTTGAAAAGACAGTTTTACCTTTCAAGGTAGCTGTCGAATCGTGAATATGAGGCAACGGGTAACGATCGGGAATGGTTTGTGCAATCAGACGCCAGTAATCACCAGTTGGCCGCCAATCATTGCTGTCCTTTTTAGAGACCATGTGCAATGGGGATGACCATGGACTATTCGATGGTCGAATTACACCTAAGTCTATCATATGCTTGAATTCGTTTTTGGCTAACCTAAGTTTTTCGGGAGCAAGTCGACGGGCTTTCGAGAATACAGGTGGTCCTGTAGTCGAGATGTGATGTGTAACCTTGCTGGTTACACAAGGCAATTTCGATTGCCATTGGTATATCCCGGGGTATT